GTGAGAAAGAGGTTGAAGAAATGATTGACGATATGAGGAAAAATGACGTGATAGAGCCCTCTTCTAGCCCTTGGTGTTCACCTGTCGTGCTTGTCAAGAAGAAAGATGGTTCAACGAGGTTTTGCGTAGACTATCGACGATTGAATGATGTAACCAAGAAGGATAGCTACCCGTTACCAAGAATCGATGACACACTTGACACACTGAGTGGCATGAAATGGTTTTCAACGCTCGATCTGAAAAGCGGCTATTGGCAGGTGGATTTGGATCCCAAGGACAAGGAAAAGACCGCATTCTCAACTGGAAAGGGACTCTGGCAATTTAAGGTGATGCCATTTGGATTATGCAATGCACCAGCAACCTTTGAGCGTTTGATGGAACAGGTGCTGGCGGGACTGCTGGGCGAAACCTGCCTAGTTTACCTCGATGACATCATCATTGTTGGACGGGATTTTGACGATCATCTAAGGAAATTGGAAAAGGTACTCGACAAGCTGCGTGGAGCAAATTTAAAGTTGAGTCCAAAGAAATGCTCTTTCTTCAAGCGCGAAGTGAATTATCTAGGACATGTTATTTCTGAGAGAGGAATTGAGACTGATCCAGCCAAGACTGTCGCTGTTAAGGAATGGCCAACACCTAAAGACAAAACGCAAGTTCGGGCATTTCTTGGATTGTGCTCGTATTATCGGCGGTTTGTGAAAGGATTCTCGGACATTGCCAAGCCTTTGCATCGATTGACAGAGGAGAAACGTGCCTTTATCTGGGACGAGGATTGTGAGCAAGCCTTTCGAGAACTTAAAGAACGGCTTTGTAACACACCAATTCTCGGATACCCCAGCGCGAAAGGAATATTCGTAGTAGATACGGATGCCAGCAATATTGGAATAGGAGGTGTCCTTTCACAACGCGATGGTGAGCAGGAGAAGGTTATTGCTTACTTCAGCAAGTCACCATCCAAGCCGGAGAGGAATTATTGCGTGACCAGGAGGGAATTGCTGGCCGTAGTCAAAACTCTGCACCATTTCAAGAAGTATTTACTGGGACGGAAATTTTTGATCAGAACTGATCACGCTGCTTTGAAATGGCTGCTTCAGTTTAAGGATCCCGAAGGCCAAGTAGCCAGATGGTTGGAACAACTTCAGGAATTTGACTTTGAAATCGAACATCGCGGCGGAAGAATTCATGGCAACGCAGATGCATTATCGAGACGCCCATGCGTGGAAGATTGCAAGCATTGTGCCAAGAAGGAAACTGCTTTTCTTAAGGTGATAAGGACTGATACTGTTGACGAGGCATGGGGAGATGATGCGATGAAATTAGAACAGGAAAGAGATGCAGATATTAAACCAATACTGGAGTGGCTACGAAGTGGTAACAAGCCAAGTTGGAGTGACGTCGCCCAATATAGCGCGGTAACGAAAGGTTTATGGGCACAGTGGAAAAGCCTTACGCTGCATAACGGACTTCTGTGCAGGAAATGGGAATCAACAAACGGCAAGGACGAGCATTTGCAATTGGTGGTGCCTCGTTCAAAAATAAGGGATGTATTAAAAGCGTTCCATGATGGATCTTCTGGAGGACATTTGGGAATTAGGAGGACTTTGGTGAAGATCAAGGAGAGGTTTTATTGGTTGCATTGCAAATATGACGTCGAAGATTGGTGCCGGAAATGCACTAGTTGTGCAGCTGTCAAGGGTCCACAAACAAGGAGCAGGGGGGCGATGAAAATCTACAATGTTGGTATGCCTTGGGAGAGGATAGCCTTAGACATCGCTGGACCATTTCCAATAACTGATTCGGGCAATCGCTACGTTTTAGTGGTTATGGATTATTTTACAAAATGGCCGGAGGTCTTTGCCATACCGAATCAAGGGGCAGTAACTGTAGCCACGAAGTTGGTAAACGAGGTATTCACCCGATTCGGAGTGCCCTTGGAGATGCACAGTGATCAAGGACGGAACTTTGAGTCCCAAGTTTTTCAGGAAACTTGTAAACTTTTGGGAATCCATAAGACTCGAACGACCCCTTATCATCCACAGTCAGATGGAATGGTCGAACGTTTCAACCAAACATTGGAGCGACACTTAGCAAAGGTGGTTGACAGCCATCAGAGAGATTGGGACACTTACATACCTCTCTTCTTGCTTGCCTATCGGACTGCTGTACATGAAAGTACCGCAAAGACGCCTGCATTTGCAAATTTTGGAAGGGAATTGAGATTACCGGCAGATCTTGTATCGGGCTGTCCACCTGGCGACTCTCGCACCGAGTTTAGCGATTACATAAGCGAGTTAAGGGCAAAAATGTTGGACATTTATGAGCAGATCAGGGAGGCCGGCCTTCAAGCTAGTGATCGCGCAAAGACGCGCTATGATCGACGAGCCAATTCTGTTGGATTTGAAGAGGGGTCATTGGTCTGGCTTCATAATCCAGTCAGAAGGAAGGGAAAATCCCCGAAGCTGCAACCGAGTTGGGAAGGTCCTTATGAGATAGTCACGAAGATCAATGACATTACTTACAGAATTCGGAAGACTTCAAGGAGCCCTTTGAAAGTTGTCCATATAGACAGGTTGGCGAGGTATTACGGCAGCAACGATGCTCGGGACGAGCGAATCTAAGAGGGGGGCAGTGTGACGGAAAAGTGGTTCAAACTCTTTGACATCATGACGTCAATGGATGGTTGTCAAACGTTGCCTAGAGATTGTAAATTTCGTCGTGAATTGTCAATACGAGTTGGTGTAATTGGTAAGGCGTGTGGATTACACCACAGAGACCCCGAGTTCGAATCCCGCCGTAAACATGAAGTTTTTTAGTTGATAGAAGTTTTGTCGAACTTTCTGGAATTATTTGTGTGAAAGGAATGAAAAACTAAAGAGCGAGAAGGAGAATAAATAAAAATGAATAACGAAATTATTGGAAGGTTCTGGAGGCATGACGATCAAAAAGAATAACGAAATTGAATGTTCTAGAACCTGACCGGGGGTATATAAGCGGAACTGCGGCTCACCGCTGGCAGTTGAGTTCTAAGTCTAAAGCGATTCGGAAGAAAAGGAAGAAGTGAAAAAGAAGAAAAGTGAGTGAAATAGTGAAGTGCAGTGAAATAGTGAAGTGCAGTCAGTTAAGTGAGTTAAGTCAGCGTGAACGGCAAAGTTGTGTCAGTCGGCCGGACTCTGCTGGAGAGGAACGCCGATAACTTAACTCCGTGGACGCTGTAACTTAAGTGCAATAGAAAGTCTGAAAACCGGTATTAGTGTTTCATTTCATCCAATCCCGTAACCCAAGCCCGCATAGTCAGGAACGTGACGTCAGGCACGTAACAATATAGTGTCAGTCTGTCGGTCAGTCCTCTTAGTGAAGCTATTTGCTCGTTCCAAAGTGTAGATTCCGATGGATAAGAACGAGCAAGAAACTCCATGGTTACTCTTTTTAAATCAGTTTCACATACATATTGACATACACATACACATACATACACAATTAAACTAACTGTTTGTATAACACAAACAGTTAGTTTAATTGTGTGAGAACATAACACTAAGATTTATCGAGGCATGGGGAGGGAAAGGAGCCTCTGGTAACCTCACTCACGCGGCCCGGCCAAATACATCACACAAGCTCCTGTGTGCTATAGAAAGGTTTACCTTTATCTTTTTATTTATAAAAATTGGCAGTTTTTTGTAGTCTTTATGTTAAGTGTTCAAAGTCTTAAGTCATGGACAAAACTGAACCGATTTTAATAAAACTCTGTACTTCTACGCACATCTAGGTCTAAAAAACTTTAAATGTGCGCTAGGGTCTGGTTGTGGTCTGGCGGCGAGCTACCTTTACTCGCCGCCCGCATACCGGCGCTTACGGTGGCCGGAGATCATCTCTCTATCCCCGTTGCATTCAAGCAGAAACTTGGTTCTCCCACACTAGAAATAATAATATTGGCTATATCCAAATTAATATTATAAATGCCAAAGTAACTCTGTCTGTCTTTCTGTCAGACTGTTTTTTTTTCACGCCTAAGCTATTGAACCGATTTGTGTGAAATTTGGTACGGACATAATTTGGAACTCGAGAAAGGACATAGTATAGTTTTTATCCCGAAAATCCAGCGAGATCGGGATCTATGTGGGTAAAACCAAAAATCTCGAGGAAGTCACTATTCCACGCAAGCGAAGTCGCAGGCAAAAGATAGTATATTAATGCATGTATTCACGAAATTAATAATTAATTTCATTATTTCTTTTTATCCGGTCCTTTTTTTATTTTTGTTTTAATAAAAAAGTTACGTGTTGACCCGTCTTAACGTTCAAGCACGTTTTTCTAACGAAGTTAGGATCGGTGTGTGTTTGTGTGTAGGTTAAAATTTCAATAAATATTTAGTTAGTTTTTTAAGATTTTTTACTTGCGAGGAATTTATAAACAAAGTTATTAATATAAAACTAGAATTAGTGTTTGCTTTAGTTAACCCTTTGTTCGATACTGCCATTTTATTTATTTGATGAAAAAATTTCAAATATCTTCTCCGCCTAGAGCAGAGGGATTTTTTAGTCAGTAAGAGTCTGACACTTCCTCTCGCCTCACCCTGGGCCGAAGAAGTATTTTGAAGATTTTCTCCTAACAAAAAAAACACCCCCACCACCCATAAAGGGAATTTGTGATTCACAGAAATCGCTTTGGAAGATTTTTGAATAGCGTATCTCTTCGGATTACGATTTAGTGGGGGAGATCCATGCTTCGGCACGAATGGGTCGTCTCGACCGGAGCGATGTCACGGCCTCACAGAAAGCCGGCGTGAAACAACCACAGCGTTGTGTTTCGCCATATGATTGAGGTTACGGGAGATCTAGTCGCTTCCGCTCTCTATCAATCTTTAAATATCTGAAACTCTTATCCTCAAAAGGGCAGAATGCACTCGTAACACCTTTGCCGCCTATGTATACCCGTACATCGGTGCCGACCTATTCCATAAAGGAACGTACCTAATGATTTGAATTTTGATATTGTTTCAGTGCGTAAAAGATGCTGCCATGTCTCCTGGAGCGCCGTCATGCGGTGACGCTGAGCGCACAGAGTTATTAGGCTCTCTGACTACACAGCAACAACAAAGGACCAGTGCCAGGGTGATCAAGAAGCTTCGACTGGAACCACCTGCTGATAGGGATAAAAGACCTGGTAAGAAGAAAGAAAATACGACCAAGATGGTAGCCAAGCAATTGTTTAGTTATGCGTAGTCTTCCAAAGGTTCCAAAGGTTCAAATTCCAATTCCAATTATCGAACATAATGTGCGAAATCGAGACTCAAAAAGGTTCAGCAATTTTTTTTCTTGTCAGACGTCTTTGAATAAGTGCTCTTAATTTTTTTATAAAAAAAAACTGCATCATATCTGACTAGCACTTTTTGTACTTACGTTTATTTAATGTTCAAGATTTTCTTACTTTCCATACCATCTCATATCATCCGTTTAATCTTTTAGACGGCTTAAGTTCACAAATGGTATACAACAGACTGACACACCATCGATATTGTTTTATTAGAATACATTAATTTTGATTACAGATATCCCAGAATGCGAGACCCCAAACAAAATAGACGAAAAAGACCTAAAGTTTCCCACAGTAAAACAGAGAATGCCAAAAGCCCTCTGGTCTACTGACGAAAAGAACTTGTTCTTCGAGGCACTGAACGAGTATGGGAAAGATTTTGATGCCATCACTGCTTACATCTGCGCTAAGATGAAGAAGAAAGGAATGCCTGATGTGAACCTGAAGACCAAGACACAAGTCAGCCACTTCTACTACAGAACCTGGCATAAGCTGTCCAAACATGTGCACTTTGATGAGAGTAAGTTTTTTGCGAAGTAGACTTTAAAATACCAGCCGGGTCACCTGACGGTAAGCAATCGACTTTACCAAAGGGCACCCATAACACTAGAAGCCGTTGCCAGCCTTTTTGGGAGATGTTTGGATCACAGGACCTTTTGTCGTGTCACGCCGGTTTTAGGTTAGGTCCTGATATCATGTCGAAGTTGGTATGGCTCTCCAATGTTTACGGTTCATCTTTTCATCTAGTCCGCAGACATTGCTTGAAAATGCCTCAAAATGTCGAAGCATTTTGTAGGTATTTAATTATTTTGCTACATGCGAATAAACACCAAAAAAACATCCAATGACAACCGATTCTTTATGATCCACACCTCCTTAGGCCCACCACCTCCACCTCCTCCGCGTGTGCACACACGCTACATCAGCCGATCAGGAGGATCAGGAGCGTCCTTAGGGACGCTTTTTTTTGTAAGGGGAAAATCATCAAATTACTTCTCCCGCCCCGCCCAGGGCCGGGCGGGAGGGAGTGTCAGACTCTTACTAACTAAAAACCCTGTTCCTTCTTCTGCTCTGGGCCGAGGTCGCGGTCCCTCATTGCGCTTACCCCGCAACCCCGGCTAAACATCAGCCCTATAGGGCCCCGTCTGTGGTGGTCTATTGGCTCTTTGAGGCGCGCGCGGAACGCTACGCGCCGTACGCTCGGGCCTGGTTCTAGTCGGGCGGCGAGCTGCCCTTACTCGCCGTCCTAAGGACGCTTGAGGGGTTAATCCATACTTATATAGTATTGTAAAGATGTAGAGTTTGTTTGTATGAACATACTAATCTCCTGACCTACTTGTTCGAATTGAACAATAGCTTTTGTATTTGTTAGTCCATTTTTCGAGGAAGGCTTTTTAAGATCACGCTAAGATCTATCGAAGCCGTGCAGCGAGTGAAATCGCGCGAAAGTAGCTAGTTTTTAATATGTTGTTGATGATAATGTTGTTTGTACACAAACACCTTAATTGTTAAAAAATATTAAAAAAGGTTTAGAACCGAAATAGTTTTTAGTGATTCCTCACTCATTGATGAAAATAGGGAGATACACATCGCATCATCAGCCTATAAGTGCCCACAGTCACTGCTACGCAAAGGTCTTCTCACACGGAGAAGGTTTGAGCATTAATCACCACGCTTGCTCAAGGCGGACTGGCAATTCCAAACTTACAATTAGAAATTATAATTAGTCCAGGTTACCTCATAATGTTTTCCTTCACTGTTTGTCAGTGGTGTCTAAATAATCATAGAAAAAACACTGACTCGGAAAAAGTCACATTGGTACTTGCCAGGTTTGAGAAGCGGGAGCCATTTTATGCTAAACACTGTCACGGCTAAAGATAAATAATAATCCAACCATAATAGTAATTATAATGCATTTCAAGTCATCATTATTAAAAACGAACATTAGTAAATTAATTATTATAACGACATCCATGGCTGTTATAAATTACGGTGTACAGTCATGCAAGTAATGTGTCGTCAGTACATTATCAAAGACTGCTTTATAACATTATATTAATTAATCCAGCCATTGTACTTCATTTGACATGTGAAGCTACCTTGTTATAACACTAAACAACTTGTTATATTATGTACTAGCTTCTGTCGCGCGGTTTCACTCGCTGCTCGGCTCTTATAGATGATGTTTTATACCCTAAAGCCTTCCTCGATAAATGATCTATTAAATACAAAAAGTTTTTTTCAATTCGAACCACTAGTTTTGGAGATAAGCGCGTTCAAACAAACTCTCCAGCTTTATAATATTAATAGCTACTGTCACGCGATTTCAGTCGCTGCTCGGCTCCTAAAAATCGTAGCTTGATGTTTTATATCCTAAAGCCTTCCTCGATAAATGGTCTATTAAATACAAAAAAAAATGTTCAGTTCGAACCAGCAGTTCTGGAGATTGCCGCGTTCAAACAAACATACTCTTCAGCTTTATAATATAATATAACGTGTAGATATTACGTATTATGAGGAAAATACCAATGGCTTTGTACGTTAAACCGGTACCCAGGTTCATGTACAAACATCTAGATTCTAGACTCTTCTTTGTGACCTGTATACAAGTTTTGGCAGATTTAGCTATTTTATTTGAAGAATTTTGATATTTATAAGCCTCATATAAAATGTTTCAAAACAAATCTAGTTATGACCGAATTTATGTATGTTTATTGTACTGCGTGACTAGTTAAAAATGGTCATAAGTTGTAGCTTGTTTTGCGGCGTGTACCAAAATGCTTTCAGAATCGGTCATCAAAAAATCAAAAGTCAAAAATCATTTATTTCTATTACACCTAGTGTCCGACCGAAGGTGCGATTCTGGCCGGAGCCGAAGGTGTCATTGACCTTGAGAAATACGATAGTTACTTTGATCTCAGAATATACTAGATACATATTGTGAGAGCTTTAGAGATTTATCCCAATAACGAGCCGAGTAACCAACCTATACAAGTAGGTTTTTTTTATGTAATTGGTCGGCAAACGAGCAGACGGATTACCTGATGGTAAGCAATCAGCGCCGCCCATTGACACCCGCAACGGAGGATTTACGAGTGCGTTGCCGACCTTTTAGGGATTAAGGTTTTGGAGATTTAGGGATTGAGGAGGGACTGGGGGCGGGGAAGGATTGGGCCTCCGGTAACCTCACTCACACAGCGAAACACAACGCTGTGGTTGTTTCCGCCGGTCTTCTGTGAGGCCGTGGTATCACTCCGGTCGAGCCGACCCATTCGTGCTGAAGCATGGCTCTCCCACACTTAAGGTAATAAAATATTGTCTAAAATAAAAGTTTTAAAGCGGTGCGGCGAAACTCTGCTGCTCTGCACACCCTCCATTTCGCTCTTCAGTAAATTTCAAATTTTGACAAGTAGCAAACCTTCGGCAAATTTTTAGCCGAAGCCGAAGATTTGGCCGAAGGTGGCCGAAGCCGAAGCCGAAGCTTCGGTCGGACACTAATTACACCCTTACAGACACTTTCGAACGTCAAACAATAAAGATATAAAGTGTCAGTCTGTCGGTCGATACTCTTAGCGAAGCTATTCGCTCGTTCCAAAGTGTAGATTCCGATGGAGAAGAACGAGTAATATATGACTGACGACTGTGGCTGGCAACGTGTCACGCGTTCGATTACCGCACGGAACAACTCTTCGTGTGATCCACAGATTGTTGTTCCGGTCTGGGTGTGATGTGTATGCGAATTTGTATGTTTGTACCCACGACACAGGAGAAAATCCAAGTGTTAAGCATCGCTTTAAATAAATATGTATATATCTATGAACTAATATAGGTATAGACAAATCCAGGCTTGTTGCAGGATGCAATCCCACCCCATGCAAACATGCATATGCACATGCAGCAAAGTGTGCATGGCATGTTTTTCCGGTTTTTTAAAAGTAGATAATTTACATAACATTTAATGTCATGGATTTCCGCAAAGTAACGCCTGGTTCTATAAATTTATTAATGCCGAATCCAAATAAATATTCAAAAACTGAACGGAGCTAAAATCAAATATAATAATATTGTTTGTTCTTTAAACAGATGTAAAGAAGGTAGCCCAGGAATTGTACGCGCTAATAAACTATGGGGAGCTTCGTAAGAAGTTGGTGTCTGTGAATGAGAAGACGTGCGCCCGGCTGGGCGACATGGTGCTGTGTGGCAGCATCGTGGTGCGCGCGCGCGGACGGAACCTGCGCGTGCGCACCCCCATGTGTCGCGCGCTCAGGAGGCTCAACCAAATCACTGGTACGAATTCTAATATATTTTTCTTATCTTTTTTTCTCAAGAGTTTTGACTACTCGGTTGACGCGGTGGCTGGGCAACTGGCTGTGGCGCAACCTGTCGCGGGTTCGATTCCCGTACGAAACAACTCTTTGTGTGATCCATAAATTGTTGTACCGTGTCTGGGTACGATGTGTATGTGAAATGCTATGTTTGTAAACGCACCATCGACACAGGAGAAAAACCTAGTACGGAGCAACATTTTATTTTAAAAAAAAAAGTAATACAGTTAATGAAAAATCATAGTAAACTTTAATGATACAAATTCTTATAAACGATCAAAATTAAATACCTATAATATAATCTTTCTATATAATTTTGAATATATTCTATTATAATTTTAAATTTAATTCTATATAATTTTTGTAAAACAAAGAAATTTGATCGGTCTAGATATGTTAGATTAAGGTCGGATATTTATCGTCATGACATGATGGTAAGCAATTAGCACCACCGCGTCAGGAGTTAGGAGTACCAAGGCTTGAGGTAGTGTCTGTTGGCCTTGGAGTAGTGAATAACTCGTCCCCCCTGTGCAGAGCGCGCGTGCGGGGCCCGCGTGTGTTCGCGCGCGCAGGTGGTGCTCCGCGCGCGCGACGCGGCGAGCTGGGCGCGCGTGCAGGCCGCCGCCCACAACCCGCGCGCCGCGCTCTCCACGCCGCTGCGCGCGCGCCTGCATGCGCTCATACGCGCGCTGCAGCATCGCTGGAGGGAAACTGTATCCTTTTACTACTTACATTAGACCCACATGAAACAAAAGAGTGTTGACTATGTCCAAACTAATATTATAAATGCGAAAGTAACTCTGTCTGTCTGTCTTTTCTTCAGGCCTAAGAGAGAAATTGAGAAATTTTGTACAGACATAGTTCCGAACATGAGAAAATAATAATAACAAAGAGTAGCTTAATTTTTGAGATTATTTCATTACAAATATACACTCAAACATACTAGTGTAGATTAGTATACTTAGATGTAAAAAACTAGTGAACACAATCCTCCATGATCGTTCCGTAACTCAACCCAGTCTACATTCAAGCACAAAATGTGTAATACCATCGAGGTGAAAACAGAAGATACACAGAAGGAGGTAGAAGATTGCCCGTGCATGGAGGAGAACGAGCCAAATAGAGAACTAGAGGAACATCTCAACTTGGAGACTGACAGGATTATTGTACAAGGTAAGTACATCTATTTTAATTCTTTTCAAGTTCAAGGCAAAACGAGCAAGCAGATCACCTGTATCGTAAGTAATTAGGGACAAATCATAACATAATTTTCAGGGGGTTCTTTTTTTTCATTTATTTCTTTTGTTTTTTATAAAAACGTTACCCCACACAAGGATTTTCTCCTGTGTCGTGGGTGCGTTTACAAACATACAATTTCACATGCACATCACACCCAGACCCGAAACAACAATTTGTGGATCACACAAACTGTTGTTCCGTGCGGAATCGAATCCGCGACACGTTGAACGGCAGCCAGTTGCCCAGCCACCGCGCCAATCGTGCAGTCGTCGGGTTGCAACTGGATATGATGATTAGGCGTCCAGTAACCTCAAACACACAAAATATGGGTTTCTCTTAGTACGCATTAGCATTGGTAATATGAATAAAAGACTTGGATCTTGGTAACTTTGACTTTATTATCACAGTACACAGTCGGGCAGCTCACTGCACCAGATTTACACTGTCAGTGGTCGACACTCTCTCGACCATCCTATTTAAAGTATGGCAATGACAGTGATATTGACAGTTCTGGTGTTACAATAATTAGTATGACTAATTAGATATGATACAACAGCCAGCCCATCAGTGTCAAAACACGGCTCGCCAACAATTCCATTTTAATGATTTAAAATATTTTTTTTTTATATATATTTATATTTCTATATATATTTTCTTATGTTTCCTATGCCATATATTTCCTTACAGCCTTTTAAAATAGTCCTTGCATTCCAGAACAAAAAGCCCCAAAGAAGTTGGTGCTCCACTTGGGCCCGAGACCAGGGGCCGACATACACCTGCCAGTTGTCAGTCCCAGTGAACAGCTCTCCAGCCAGAAGATATGCTTCTCCTCATATCTTGAGCGAATGGGTTCGCAGCGGGACAAAGATGGCGGCGGTAAGGACGCTGACTAGTTTTTTTTTTATTATAACATAACGAGCAAACGGATTACCTGATAGTAAGCAATCAGCTCCGCTCATGGACACCTGCAACAACGGAGGAGTTACAAGTGCCTTGCCGGCCATTTTGGGGATTAGGGATTTGGAGATTTTGGTATTAGGTTGAGATTGGGGGAGGGCCGAGATGCGGCCTCCGGTAACATCACTCACACGGCGGAACACAACGGTGTGGTTACTTCACGCCGGTTTTCTGTGGGGCCGAGGTATCACTTCGGTCGAGCTGATGTATTCGTGCTGAAGCATGACTCTACCACACTTAAATTAATAAAATTCTTTCCTTTTTTGTAACGACATACATTGTAGTAATTTTTTGGTTGGCAAAACCGTTCGAATAATATAAAAAGAAATACTACGAATACTGATTCTCTAAATAAAATTACAGCAAAAATACGTACACCGAAACGTCAACGAAAAGACAGCGCCACAGACAAGGATAAGGAAGAACAGAAGAAGTTCAAACTGGATGACTCGGACAAACTCATCAATATAGAGGAGACTGCTATTGATGGCATAGAACTTATGGCCAGCTACAAGGTGCTGCAAGAAGATGAAGAAAAACCGAGCACAGAAGATGAGAAAGAAAGAGAAATTGCAGAAGATGACGCTGGGTACTTGCCAGAAAGGGATAAGGATATGTCTGAGAGGGAAAAAGATAGTTTCTCTGAAATGGAAGATGATGAGAAGTATAACAAGAGCGACACGGATAATGAAAGTGACCATGGAAAGGATAAAAATGGGAAGGATTCTCAGTTCAAGAATTTAAAGGTAACTTAACTTGCTGTTTTTTTTTTGTGGAACTTATTTTTTTTTATATCCTATTAGTTTTGTGTTGTTTTTTTGTGTGATGCGGCAAATGAGCAGATGCATTACCTGATGGTGAGCAATCGGCGCCGTCCATGGACACCCGCAACACCAAAAGAGTTACGAGTGCTTTGCCAGCTTTTTAGGGGGGTTTCAGATATTAAAGGATTGGGATTGGGCGTCCCGTAACCTCACTCACATGGCGAAGCTGTGTGGTTGTATCACGCTGGTTTTCTGTGAGGCCATGGTATAGTGATACCACCGGTCGAGTCGACCCAATCGTGCCGAAACATGGCTCTCCCACACTTAGTATTCATAAAGAACCTTGATGACGTTGGCATTTAGCTAACTAAGTCTTGTAAAGTTAAATTTATAGTTCAAACACATCGGCAATTAATTATTAATAATAACATTAATTTAAAAACTAATCTTTATAATCCTAGGTTAAATTCCGTATCCGTCCAAAGAAACGGGGCGGCAGTATCTATACACTGGTCATGGATAAGGATGCAGAGGAACCGAAGATCGAGGAGTCGAAGACAGAAGAGCCGAGCAAGGAAGAGGAGACCAAGCCAGATATTGATGTGGACCTGGCGTTGCGGCAGATCAGGAAGGGATGGAGCGCGATGGATGCCGGCGATCTTACTATCGGGGACTTGTATCTTATGGTAAGTAAAATATATCAAAACTGGAAACTTTGTCAACATTCAGATTTAAAATTTGACTAACTAAAAATCGCGGGTTACTCACTTGTGTAAATTGAGAACAGCTCTACTAGTTTTGAACCACAGAGGGGAGAAAACAATCAATTTACACACGTGAGTAACCCGCGATTTTTAGTTAATTTAGTATGTCTCACGATAGTTATTGTAAAATTTGATTGTTCAGCTCTTCTCATTCAACCACTACCAGCCACCGCGCGGATATCGTCACTAGTCTGTCTTCGAGTGATACGAATGGTCTCAATAAAACTAACTACTTACTAAGTTTACTTTCTGAAAATAATAAAAATAATTGCTGCTGCCAACTTCAATTGTTCGACATGTTGGATTTAGTGCAGTGCAACTCTGAGGTCCACGGTTACGAGCCCCTACTACCACTCGAAACTAGACGACCAACGTCCTCGAACAGTTTCATAAAAAAGCTATATCATTTGATTAATTTAACAATGAACATTGTTGCAGTTTGGTTCCCGATCTAAGCTAGAACTGGATTACTGGTGGGCGGAACCAACACCACCCTTACCTCAGCCTCAGAAGTCAGCTCTACCCGTACCTACTTTACCGCCCGACAAACGCGACAAATCCGACAAGATGTCCGACAAAGGAGCCGACAGTTCCGTTGAAGATGAGAAGGAGAGAGCGAGAGAGAGTGACAACGATATCCTCTCGCCGAAGAACACGTTTAGCCAGGACAGTAACGATGGCATGTCGGGAGATGAGAGAAAGTGTAAGTACTATCACTATTAATTATCAAGTAGAAAATCATGGTCAAATAACTTAATCTTTTAAATTCGGAATATTCTCTAAAAGCAATTATATGTGGTTTTCATTTTATATGGATACCTCAACTTTTTGTGATGATTTCGGCAAATAAGCTGACTATTTACCTGATGGTAAGCAATTAGCGCCGCTAATGAACACCTGCAATACCAGAGGAGTTACGATTAGGGTTTCGATGCTTTAGGGATTGAGGAGTGTTGGGGGAGGGAAAGGATTAGCCCTCCGGTAACCGCAATCATGTGGCGAAACACAAGGCTGTGCTTTTTTCACGGCGGTTTTTTGTAAAGCCGTTGTATCACTCCGATCGCGCCGACCTATTCGTGCCGAAGCATGGCGATTTATTTGTTAGAAAATAACTACTTGCTTGTTACATAATAGCACTAATGACTTTCATGATGATATATAACTCTTCAACCTAAGTTGCGTAAGGCTTGAGGACGGAATACAGGGCCGGATTCTAAACAAAACTTTTCAAATACCTATACTGAATCCGGTACTGTGTAAATCTGAATGTTTTAAAGCAAGTGTGTGTTACAAATGAGTCTTTGGTTAACATGTTGATATATGGCCTTCTTTGGTGGTAGGTGAACAGTTGGCCTCACCGGATCATAAGTCGTCTTCTGGCGGGGGGACCCTCAAATTGGTCAGCAAGCTGATCAACAGGCCACAGGCGCCTCAATCACAACAGAACGGGTTTGCTGTCATGAGTGATAGGTAAGTAAAGGAATCTCTTTTTTGGTAAATGAGCAGACGGATCTCCTGTGGGTAAGCAATCCACACAAGAGATGCTATAGATATGAAATTTCGCATACGGATTGGATACGGATATAGGAATGATATTTTACAATTACCGTTAGTATTTGTATTGTGTACATTTAACAGTATTATTGGGATATTACCTTGCAGGTTACGTCGGTTACTGTGCCTGGTGGGTAACCCACACGTGGGGGGCGCGGCGGGGGCGGGTACAGGGGGGGCGGCAGGTACAGGCGGGGGTGCAGGCGGGGCTACAGGGGCGGCGGGGGCGCGCTGTCGGTGCCCTGCCACCTGTCCGCGCAGGACACACCAACACTCCCTCACACTGCCCTTACTGGTAACTATCTTTTTTTTTAGTGTATAAGTCAGCAAACAAGCAGACGAATTACCTGATGGTAAGCAATCGGCGCCGCCCATGGACACCCGCAACACCAAAGGTGTTACGAGTCCGTTGCCGCCGTTTTGGGGATAGGGGATTGCGGATATAAGAATCGGGAAGGGTTGTTTCACGCCGGTATTCTCTGAGGCCGTGGTATCACTCCGTTCGAGCCGACCCATTCGTGCCGGAATCATGGCTCCCACACTTAAATATGTTGGTGACGAGTCTTTAAGGCTCCTTTTCTCTTTCTTTGACTAAATATTAGTGTTACACTGTTCTTACACACTGGAACCAACTTAATAATGTAATCAAGAATTGAAATTATGGAACTGATTTAAAATGAGTAACCATGGAGTTACTTGCTCGTTCTTCTCCATTGGAATCTACACTTTGGATCGCGTACATAGGTTCAAAATCAAAGTCTCTAGATGAAATTTCACTTGAAGGGCTAACACTATTGTTTGAAGTTCAAAAGTGCCTATAGTCGTATGCCTAATTAATGAATGATTTTACTTTGAGTTTTTCTATGTTTGTGTACGCACCCACGAGATACTAGAAAATCCTAGTGTGGGGGGGTACTGTTAATTAAATTAAGCATTTTTTGTCAAGTATCAAGTTTATTATAATCGTGTGGGCTACGTGTATAGTACAGTATGACCGTTTGCGTGCAGAAGTCGCAGCAATGTCCGGCGGCGGGCGACGGGGCGGCGGGCGCCGTGTTCCGCCAGCCCATACCCATCGCGCCGCGACCCGGGGCTGAGGTAATTTACATACTTATAACATGTTTCTCTGTATACTCGTATCACACTGTTCTCACATAATCAAACTAATTAAATAACTTACGAAATCTTTATGCGAAACTGATTGAAAAAGAGTAACCATGGAGTTTCTTGCTTGTTCTTCTCCATCGGAATTTACACTTTGGAACGAGCAAATAGCTGACCGTCAGACTGATACTTTATATAGAGCGAATGATATACGTGGGTGCAACTGTTCTGCGGGCCTGTGGAAGGAAGGAGATGGTTTTTAGTCAGTAAGCGTCCGACATTCCCTCTCACCCAGAGCGGAAGCTAAATTATGAGAGACTATTCCGGCCTATATACAAATATAAATTCATTGCTTAAATGCTTAAATGGATTATCTCCTCTCAAAACAGTGTTACGTTCAGGTTTTTTTTTTGGGATAAGTCAGCAAATGAACATATAGATTACCAGATGGTAAGCAAGCGGCGCCGCCCGTTGACACTCGCAACACCAGAGGAGTTACGACTGCGTTGCCAGAATGTTGGAAATCAGGGTTTTGGATAATTAAGGACTGAGGAGGGATGGGGGAGGGGAAGGATAACCCGTTAACCTTACTCAGCGTCGCCCATGGACACCCGTAATACCAAAGGAGATACTACAACGTGCGTTGCCGGCCTCTTGTGGATTATAAAGGATTGAAGTATAGGGGATTTGAGGATTGAAGATGGGGGGAAGAAATTACCTAAGCTTGGCTCTCACACACTTTAGAGCGTAATATTTGGTGACGTGAGGTAATATGGTTGTGGTGCCGTAGTTGGCGCAGTCAGAGATCCAGTGGGAGGGCCTGCCCCGCTGGCGGCGCGGGCGGCCCCGCCTGGCCGACCGACGCGTCGTCGTGCAGAGGCTCCTGCCGCTACTGCCCAAACTGCCCGCCAACGGTAATTATACATATATTTTATTTTTAATTCATTTTATTTCAAATTATTCAGTTTAATTATATTTAACCTCACGACGACCTTTGACGGCAGCGTCGGCGCGGTCGCTAGGTAACTGGCTTATTTTTTTTATGTAATTGGTCGGCAAACGAGCAGACGGATTACCTGATGGTAAGCAATCAGCGCCGCCCATGGACACCCGCAACGGAGGATTTACGAGTGCGTTGCCGACCTTTTAGGGATTAGGGATTTGGAGATTTAGGGATTGAGGTAGGATTGGGGGCGGGGAAGGATTGGGCCTCCGGTAACCTCACTCACACGGTGAAACACAACGCTGTGGTTGTTTCACGCCGGTCTTCTGTGAGGCCGTGGTATCACTCCGGTCGAGCCGACCCATTCGTGCCGAAGCATGGCTCTCCCACACTTACTTACTTACTTATTTGGCTGCTGTGCAACGTGTCGCGGGTTCGATCACGCACTGAACAACACTTTGTGTGATACTAAAATTTGTTGTGTCGGGAGTGGGTGTGATTTGTATGTGAAATTGTATGTGTGTAAACGCACCCACAATACAGGAAAATATTTAAGGTTTGTCATTTGTTACATCTCGATCACGGTGATGACTAATTCTCAAACCTTCTCCGTGTGAAAAGAGGCCCTTGCTCAGCAGTTGGCACATATAGGCTTATGATATATGTATGTATACTTCATCATTAGCGTATAAGTGCTGTGGCGAATGGACTGTATAAATACTATAAATTGAGACTCGATAGCTTGATTATGGATTTTTAATTAATTTACAAACTTTTACACAAAACATAAGAAATTTTAGAGTTTTTTATACGTAACAAGGTGGTGACACTTTTAAACCCAAAACTGTTTGACTGACTGACTGACTGACTGACTGACGACTGGTTGACTGCCTGACTGCGATGCGCATCGCCATGGTCTGGCGTTTTATAGACGCTGACATGCGGGGGGCGTGGTTTGGCCAATGGCGATGCGTGAAGCGACCGAGCCGCGAGAACGTGTTTGTACTTGTCTGGGCTCGTGGCTCCGCGGCTCCGTTGCCCTACTACTAACGGGTTTATCGTTTTGAACAGGTTTAAACCAAACAAAGACAGGTAAGTAACGGCGTGCGGCGCCGCTACGTCTGTGTTATGATTCCGTGGCGCGGTGGCGCGCCGCTCTGGCTACGTAATGATTCTGTCGTGCACAAGTGCCATGTTGAGCAAACGCTTCTCTTGATCTCGACCAAGGCAGATTGGCGATTTCAAACTTATAATCAAGAACTATAAGTCCAGGTTTCCTTACGATGTTTTCTTTCACCGTATGTCTGTGGTGTCGGAAAAAGTCACATTGGTGCTTGTCAGGTTTCAGACATCATTATGCCTGGGAAGCGGGCGTCTTAACCTTCGGGCGACCACGACATATCATTCATATTAAAGTTTGTAATTTTGTAATTTTGTATTCAAAAACATTCACACATTCACTGAAATACGAGATATACACAACATAAACACCCGCCACAAAAACCGACTATATCTTCCACCCTCTCGAATTAAAATGTTAAACCAAAGTCCACAATATATGGCTATAAAAATATATAACAACCTGCCACAAGATATAAAAAAGGAAACCAGCTTAATAACATTTGATAGAAAACTGAAATCCTTTCTAATAAACAAATGCTTTTATACGGTAGAGGAATTTTTAAATGTATCTATAAATAAATAACGATAATTTAACTAAATATTAATTTATAAAAACACGTGAATATATTTAAAAATACTACTTAAATAAGCAGAAAATAATATACATATCTATGATGATCAAACATATAAATTTTATAATAGTACCTACCTACTCAGAAATATTATTTAATATTAATACAGCGATCCACTAAAAATGATCTCTTTTAATTGTGTAAATTTATTTTCTAATTAATTATTAATAAGTATAATATTAGTAACAAGTATCTACCCTCTAGTATGTTTGCAATGCCTGGAAAAGGCTACTAAGTTTTTAAGTGCCACTAGCAATAAGACCTATGTATACACTTAGTTTGCAAATAAATAAATTTGCATTTGTTTATGTAAAACATATATTTCAGATAGTTCAACGGTGCCTCCAATGAAGAAAGTATCGACGCCATCTTCTCCCCCGGCGCCGCCGCGTCTCCTACCCAAACCGCCGCTACTTTCGCAAGAGTAAGTATAATTACGGATTTTTAAAGCTATTTTAATCATAATACATTATGATACAAGTGTGTAATGTTGGTGTAAAATACACACGTATATCATAGGACATTTTTCAACAAACTTCTAGATAAAATAATATAGACCAAAAAAATATGTTTATTTTATTTGGGCTTTTCGCTGATAGCATTTTAGCAGAACTGTAAGCGTAACTCAACCAATATTATATTAAAAAGCTTTATTACTCACTCGTGAATAATAGTAATGAAAAAGTGACAGTTTGATTATCGGTGTCATTACGTGCCTAATTGCCGTGGGATTAGAGCCTTTTTATGAGGAAAAATGTTATAAATGAAAATAAAACGTTATAGGGATTAGTTTAGCCGTTCACGCGTAATGCCATTGCTAAGGGAAATTAAAATGCATTTTTTGTTAGTTGGATAGTGTTTTTTCTTTCAATTGTCAGAGCATGGCCTCCTGGCCTGGAAATGATGTATTTTTTGTCTTTATTTATTTATTTTTGAGTAGAAAACGCTATAAAGGAATATTACAATCAAAGACATACATACATAAATATTTCTATTTGGAAAAAATAAACTGAGAACTAAAATTGCGTGTGTGTTTTTAATAGATAGAGTGATTGAAGTTTACATATATAATTATAACAACCATTAAATAGTATTTAGAATCAGTATTGCACCCTTGCGAAGCCGTGACGGCTCACTGGTAAACAATAAACAAAATTAATATACCGACTGATGTTAATCCAATACACACATGTGTATTGTATTGTAATTTATTGTATTGTATTTCAGTGTGTCGATAGTATACGTGGTGAGCGAGTCTAACGGGCAGTACTTCTTCCACGACGGCAACCGACGCATCCCCATCGTCGCGGAGAAACCGCACCAACCCATCGTCATCAGTATGTATATACTAATACTACTTTATAATAATGATCCATTTAATTCAAAGCATGATTCTCCTATCTTATGTATAGTTGAACTCCAGCCGTGGACTGCCAGTAACGAACTTTTGATAATATCAATAGTGGTAAAATATCAGGCTGATGTCCTATCACATTTAGATTAAAACTGTTCAACGGGCCTCTGCGAGTTGGCTTCGGCCCCGCGTACGCCTTCCAAAGGTCCGCGATTCTGTGATCCCGCGAAAGGAAAGAATAAACAAATTACGATAAAACTGTACATCAGTAAAGAGGCTTTTAATTAAAACATTTTTTTTTTAAATACAACAGAGGAAGAGTTTCCATCGGAAGACCAGACGACGAACGGTAACGGAGTGCAGGAACCAAGCGTCAGTCCTGATGCTTTGAAGGAGGGAGACAGGGTACAGGGAACTACAGAGACACAGCGCGCTCAAGACCCCGCCGGCGCTGCTACCGTACCGCGTAAGTTATTAACCCTTTAGTAGGGGATCCCATGAAGGGATTTCTGTAGTTACTCGAGCGCCTCAGATTAACATATGGGGAATGCTTAGTATCCTGTTGAATATACCCATCATATCTATACTTCTATACGATATACTAATATTATAAAGAGGTAAAATTTGTAAGTTTGTATGTAGGGGGTAATCTTTGGAACCACTGGTCGGATTCCGAAATTTCTTTCACTTATAGATAGCTACAATGTTCCCAAGTACTATAGGATATAACACATCACGCTACAATTAAATGGAGCCGAGTAGCGAGTGAAACCGCGCGGGAATAGCTAGTACTTAATGTAAGTAGAGGAGGGGGGTGGATAACATCCCATTCACATCCCCTAGTTACCCCCCTAGGTGCTTTACTTCACTAAGAAAATGTTAAACGAACAGAATACGGTAGTTTCCATCTAGTCAAATTCAATATTTTTATCCAAATCATGTCAAAAACGATACTTTTTCCTATGGAATTTGTATCAAACTCTAAATTATAACGTCAAAGTGTTTTTGCGTTCAATAAACTTACTTATTTCTTCTGAAATTAGCTAGAAAGTATCGAAAGTTTCGTGTATCGACTGATCGATGAATAAAAGTTATTTTTCAATATTTTATTGTATTGAAACGTCGAATTAATTTATTTTTACCGAATTATCACAATGTTAAGTAACTCTTTCCGCCAAAGATACCCCGCAAAACCAGAGGAGTTGCAAGATCGTTGCTCGCCTTTGGCATCCATTGGAGGATAAGGTCGTGGATTGAGCCTGGTTTAAGTAATAATGTGGCAAAGTGGCACGCCAAAACTGCTGGAGGGATCTGGATGAAATTTGGCACAAGCATAGGATATACTCCGGAATAGGACATAGGCTATTTTTTATCAACATACCACTCGAGCGAAGCCGTAGTCGGTGGCTAGTTTTTTATATCGGATAGTTTCGGAGGTCCCTAACATCCCTTGTATTTTTTAACAGCGGAGTTCCTGTCGTCGGAGTCTATGTCCCTGTCCCCCTCCCGGCTGCTGCAGGACGCGGAGGGCTGGCTCGACGCCGCCGAGCACGACTTCTCACTCACCAGCTTCCTCGGACACCTCGAGGGTAGACCCAACGTACGTATACTGCTCCGGCTTGGTACACGCGTAGAGCTCGGGATATACTGGTCCTATTTCTATACTATAATATTATAAAGAGGTAATATTTGTAACGAAAGGGGTAATCATTCGGAGGTCTAGTCAGCTTTCCAAAATTCTTTCACTGAACTACAATGTTCCTGCGTGCTTATCTAGGATCTGGGTAATATTAGAACTCAACAATGCCTTTACTGATTTGCCTAATTTTGGTCTTGAATTCTTCGTGGAAGTCCAGAGAAAGTTTGTATGTAGAGAAAAAAAATCTACACCGATGCGGGCGAAGCCGCGGGCGGAAGCTAGTAGGCTAATAAATTATAATTGATTTGCGTATTTTAGACGCAATATGGTATTCTCGTCTTATATTCAAGCAACTTTAACCTCTATTCATTAACATACAAGTACTATATTCCTATGTGAACCCCACAGGTGGACTCCCACTTACAATCTCTAATGGCGGAGTCCAGCGTGGACTACGTCGCCAAGTTCGCGGACCTAGCTGCAGAGGTGACGGATGAACCGGATCACGCTACTGAGGAACCCACGTAAAAAACGACCTTATTCTCATGAGAATATGGTTCATTTTGTCATGTACATCATGAGATTGTTAGTTGTCGATCTTATTGTCTTAAGCATTAAGTTCGTTTTGCAATGAACAATGTTTTACAAATATTTTAATTGTAGACTTTATTAGCCTTAGGCGTGATTTGTATGTAGATGAATGTTTTAGTCTATGATATGGTAACTCAAATATCAATTTTATAATCATAATCATTAAGTTCATTTTGTAATGAACAACGTTTTTGTGTGGTAAGAATTTTTATCTTTACTACAAAAAGGTACTTATGTATTGAAATACATTTTTTTTATTCTTGAATGTTGTAAATAAACTTCAGTCTTATTAGTCTTGGACATAAGGTTTATATTATGTTGTTACTAGAATAACGCTTATCACGAATTTTAAATTTAGTTAAATTCAAATATCATGTTTTATAACAAGATACAAAGAAAACTAAACTTTATGCAATGAAATTAACTTTTACAATTGTATAACTCAATTCTATGGATGTTGTTTTAGCATTATTTTAAGTGCAAAGCTAATTGAGCCCTATGTGATGTTAATACGCTTCTAATTTGTGAAACACGTGTGTATTATTAATTTCATAAATTTATTTAAGTACACTTTCTATTACAACTTTGTATTGTTAATAATTTTGTGATACCTTATTATGAAATAAATTATTTTTCGTGTGATTTTATTTACTGTATTACCGACTTTATTTTCATAGTCATAAGGTTTATTTTGTAGTATTTAACTTGCATCCCTATAAAGGTACACAGAGGTTTACATATACCTACACAAAATAAAACCTTTTTACTATACTCGGAATTTTAATACCATTCCAGATTTGACAATGTCAGTGTTGCAACGTTATGACATAAACTAAATAGTGACGTTGCAAAATTATTCGATATGGAAATCGAATATTTTCGGATCGATTCCTCTCGTTTATAACTTTACACTCTTAAACAAAATATGTCAGGAAATTAAATATTTCTGAACCGATAATTTAGTTTTAACGATCGGAGACTTTTCTTTTATAATTGTGTGTGAAATAAATAAAAAATGTGACAAATAAAACAGATTAATCTGTCTAAGAACGTTATTTTCGTGTAGTAAGGTATCCTGTGGAGCAGGACCAGCGTATCTCCAAGCATCACGCGTTCACTTTACTTTCAAAAATCTCAGACTAAAGCAAAAAACCAAAGCGATTGTTTATCGATTTTTGTGGTCATCACTACACCATTATAATGTGGTATCATTATTTCACAAAATGACAGTATTCAATGTCAAATGTGGAATCGAATTAAAATTCTGCCTATAGTTATGTTCATCATCATTATCATCAGTTTATAAGTGCCCAATTCTGAGCAAATATCTGTTCTGACACGGAGAAGGTTTTTCTAAGGCAAACGAGCAGACGGATTACCAGATGGTTAGCAATCGGCGCCAGCCGTAACACCAAAAGAGTTACGAGTGCGTTGCCGGCCATTTGTAGGTTTTTAGGGAATTTAAGATTAAGTGTGGGTGGTTTTTTTTTGTGAGATGAAAATCATCAAATGACTTCTCCCGCCCAGGGCCGGGCGGGAGGGAGTGTCAGACTCTTACTGACTAAAAACCCCCCTGTTCCTTCTCCTGCTCTGGGCCGAAGTCGCGGTGCCTCATTGCGCTTACTGAGGACACGGCGGTGCTCAGCCCAGGCAGGGCATACCGCTACCGTATGCTCCACCGTATCCTCTAGGTGGTCCTCACAATGACGACACTCGGGCGTTTCCTCCCGCTGGATCCGAAACAGGAACCTACCGAAGCTGCCGTGCCCGGTAAGCACCTGCGTCAGGCGGAAGGTGAGGACGCCGTGGCGTCTCTCAAGCCACTCTTCAAAGAGGGGTCTTACCGCTGCTATGGTAGCGTGCCCGGCCCTCGGTTGCGACAGTCGTTGTTTCCACTCTACCATGAGATATCGCCGGAGCTCATTCCGCCACGCACTAATTTGGCGCGGCAGAGGATCTTCGCCCCGGCGACGCGCGTCTGCGCGCAAACTGAAGACGCGCGCGAGCGCCTTCGCTTCCAGATCCCACGGCGGTGATCCGGCAAGGAGGTTCGCCGCCTCCCCGGAGATCGTGCGATACCCGCGGATTACTCGGATAGCCATGACCCTCTGGGACGCGACCAGCGTACGAGCCAGCCACAGCTTCAAGTCCGGCCACAAGGCCCACACAGGGGCACCGTAGAGGGCCATGGATCGCACAATCCCCAAGTGTGGGTGGGTGAGATTTTGTCGTGGTGGCCCAGAGGTTAGGTTCGAAGCCTGGCCAGTACCAATGCGACTTTATCCGACTTATATGTACTTTCTATTATTATTTAGACACCACTGTCAAACGGTGTACAAAAAAATCGTGATGAAACCTGAACTTATATTTTTCATTTCATATGCATTTCATTACTTGCCATCGTCTGGTCCATCGCAATAGGCTCGCTTGCTAACAGGTCTCATAAAAAAAAAACAATTTAACATGTGCGGGAATAACAACACACACGCGCTGACAGTAGAGTTATTAGCCACTGATTTAAAAAATCGGTCATCAACAACAAGTAAGTTTTAATTTTAAATGTAAATACAATACATTTTATTTTGTTTACAATACTATTATTTTCCCCAACAACTATCCTTTTAACCTTGGCTAAATATGGGCTCTGCTGGGCTCCATGTTTAGCCGAGTTACCCTTGATTGCCGACCGCAGACCCGCGGTTATGCTTACTCATAAAATTACCCAGCCGGGGTCGAGGAACAAGCGCAATGATGTTCCGTGGCCTCACCCCGGAGCGGGAAAAGAAACGGGGTAGTTATTACTATCAAGAGCCTAATATTCTCATCGCTGCACTCACGGCGGGAAAGGTACTTAATTTGATGTGTTTGACCTACTTACACAAAAAACCCGTCGAAGACTATGTTCTGTGCAAAAGCAATAGTACCGCAGCTCCGGCCCACTGCAAGAGAAGAGACAGAGTGGTTTTTTAGTATTACACGTTAAAAGTTGCCCCATTTAGTTCGGGAGAAGTAATTTGTTGTTTTTCCACCTCTAAACTAACCCCATCAAAATATATGCCTGTTATAAAGTGCAGATGCGGAATAACTAATAACACATAGGTAGGTATTAACTTTTTAGCTGATATTACAGCCAGGGTGGAAAATCAAATTCGATTACTTTAGCTCCTCAAAAAAAAGAAATAGAAGAAATCCATCAGTCCATCCATGAAGTAATCTTAATAAAAATAATAATAATTTCTACAAAATCTACACGTTTTTCGGAGATTATGGCGAACCTCTCTTATGTTGAGTCGAGACACAAACTGCTCAACTTACGTCGTCATCATCAACCGTTAAAATGTGGTTCCTAAATCACACAAATAACATTTTATATCAATACTTTACATTATTATTACATGCTTAGGCCCCTTTGAGCTTTTTTTTTTTTTTTTTTTTTTGTGAGGGGAAAATTTAAGATTAAGTGTGGGTGGTTTTTTTTTGTGAGATGATTTTGTGAGATGAAAATCATCAAATGACTTCTCCCGCCCAGGGCCGGGCAGGAGGGAGTGTCAGACTCTTACTGACTAAAAACCCCCCTGTTCCTTCTCCTGCTCTGTGCCGAGGTCGCGGTACCTCATTGCGCTTACCCCGCAAGCCCCTTTGAGCTTAGCGTTTCCAAATTCGCATGTCCGCATTATGTAGAGTTTGCAGTCGCGTGATATTGTCTGTGGCAGTGACACTTGTCTCTGGTGGCGTGTGACATGACAGCTGACACGTCCAGTCTTTTGTCTACAGTTGACTTGCCAACGAGAATGTTTACGTTGCGAGGTTATATCGAATATCAATTATTATGATATTTATTAACTTCTTTTTGAAACAATAACCAGATGTGTTTGCGTAACACGAAGTCCATTAAGTTTAATTAATGTCGTGGTTGTGTTCTCCGTGGAGTTAGACCGGTAGAACGTTTGGTTTAACAATGTTTTTGCAGTGGTTCATGTATGTACCTTTTTTGTTTGTTATTTAACAATATTTTTTTGAAGCATTCTTAATAAATAGTTTTATTATATTTTGTTTAAGATACATTTTATTCTGACTACTACCCACTGTCTTTACTCTTTTTTGGTACACAAAATTAGTGGTTACCAGTAGTCAATTTTATTATTCATAGATCGTAAACGCTATAAAAAGTATCGCTCATTATAAATAAAATGATAACTCAGAGAACACGTTAATGCGGATACGGATGAGATAATGTTTTATATCGGTGATTAACAATGCTAAGCAAATTACGTTTTCTTTTTTATCATTTTTAAAATTTACGTAATTTTAATAAATAAAAAATACTGGGTGAATTGAGTGGAATCTCGGCTTGTTATTTTAATGAAAAGACGAGGAAGATATCATACATAATAATACTTTCCTGTTAAAATAACCAAACAAATGTACTAACATGATGCAATAATTATAATAATTATCTTTTTTGTAGACTGTTGGTGTTATTACCATTGATATTTATAGTGTTCCTACTATTCACAACATTCGTACTGATTCCTTGCGCATTTATTTTCGCGTCATGGTATATGAGGATTAAGGAACGGAAGTTAGAGAGAAGAAAGAGAGATGGCGCTAATGTTGCATTCTTCCACCCTTACTGCAATGCTGGGGGTGGTGGGGAGAGAGTGCTGTGGGTTGCTATCAGGGCTATACTTGCCAGGTAAGATACTTTTATAGATAGTTTCACTGCCAACAAATGTTGACTGAAATAGAGATACCTAATTAAAAATAATAAGTAAGAAAATATATACCTACAACATTATATTCAGTTGCCTTCATTAGTAAATTTGTGTGAAGCACTTCTTTTTAAAAACAACCAAATCTTTTTAGTTTTAAAAAAAATCCTGTAAATGGAAAGCCCAACATAATGCTGTGAAGAGCCAAAAATATTATTTTTCTAATTATAATTTATTTATTGACTAATGTGTTAATATTTGAGGAGTTCTATGAGATACTGTCAAGCCAGATACAGTAAAACATTTTCTGCACCCAGGTACCCAGACACAAATATCCACATATACACAGTGGAGACAGCAGAACCACAGACTATACTAGACCGGGCACAGAACCAGTTCAATGTGAAAGTGGAACCAGGCAGGATACACTTTGTAAGGCTGAGCATGCGGAGAGTGATTGAAGCCAAGTCATATCCTTACTTCACACTGCTGCTGCAGAGTTTGGGCTCCATGATTCTTGGACTGGAAGCCTTTATGAAGCTCAATCCTGGTTAGTATGTTGGATTTTAAAAGGGTGATCTTAAAGTTTGGTACATACTTATGTCAGAACCAGTCATTTAGAATCACCAGATTTCGTCATGTAAATACGAAATTTCTGTGTTTTTTTATAACACACAATATGTAGGTTAATATAAGACACATTGGACGAAATGAATAGCAGCAATAAATACAATAAAATATGGTGGTATAATAAAATATTTTAAAATTCAACAAACAAAACAAAGAAGGCATAAGTGATCAGCATATTAAGAAAGATTACGCTTGTTTCTCGAACGTTTGAAAGTCGTATCAGACAGAGAGAAATTTCTGTGCGTGGCACTAACTTGGCGAAAAATGCGCAGTTGTTGACTGCCTGACCTATACCTATACTACCTACTGGATAAAAAATCGTGAATTCGTTCGATTTTTATTTAATATACCTTATTACTCTTCCAGACGTCTATATAGATACGACGGGGTTCGCGTTCACCTTCCCAATATTCCGCTACCTGGCGGCGTGTCCCGTGGGCTGCTACGTCCACTACCCGACCATCACGGCAGCCATGATGCGCCGCGTCAAGCACCGCATCGTTTCATACAACAACAACAGTCTCATCGCCCGCAATCCTCTATTCACCTGGATCAAGTTGCTCTATTACAAAATGTTCGGATGGGTATGTAGTCTTTTTTTTGTGAGGGGAAAATCATTAAATGACTTCTCCTGCCCAGGGCCGGGAGGGAGGGAGTGTTCGACTCTTACTGACTATAACCCCCTGGTCCTTCTCCTGCTCTGGCCCGAGTTCGCGGTGCCTCATTACGCTTACCCCTAGTTTACTACTTTTTAGTGTTTACTTTACTAGTTAACGTGTTTTGCAAAAATCTTGTTGGTTCATCACAGATAAAGCCTGAATATGTTATTTTTATAATTAACTAGCAGACCGCCCCTGCTTCGCACGGGTACCCGACTACCCTGGTGTCATGCAGTCATTTGCTTTAGAGGGAACGGCCACGGCTGCTAATATTAATTAATAAAATAATTACTGCTATACCCCTTTACTTTTCTAAAATTTTCTCTCGTATGAACCTTCTCCTTATAATAACGAACACAACAAAAAAGAATTACCTAATTTGGTCCAGGCGTTATTGAGTTATGCGCTTACCAACACATTTTGCGATTCATTTTTATATTATAGATATGATGTTTGTTGGTTCCAGCTGTACGGAGTGATGGGTCGGTGTGCGGACGTGGTAATGGCGAATGGTACGTGGACGGAGGACCACATCAACGAGCTGTGGAATGTACCACTTAGCACCTTCAGGGTGTACCCGCCTTGTGAGGTAACTTCATACTATTCTAATTTTTTTTAAACAAGCTTTCTGATTATGATGTCATGGATACTCGTAGTACCAGAGGAGGGATTCAGTGATATGGGATTTGAGGATTAGGGATAGGGATGATCTTTCTTTCTTTTCTTTCATTCCGGTCGAGCTGACCCATCTCTCTCTCCAGCCTCTCCCCCACTGATCACCAACTGAAATGATTAAGTACATCAATCGTGACATATGAAGGATTGGGCCTCCGGTAACCTCACTCACACGGCGAAACACAACGTTGTGGTTGTTTCACACCGGTTTTCTGTGAGGCCGTGGTATCACTCCGGTCGAGCCGACCCATTCGTGCCGAAGCATGGCTCTCCCACACTTTGCTTTAACTTTGTTCGTTTCAATACTTAGATTTGTCAAGTGCCGATTGCTAATGTCTTTTTGAGTGAGGAAGTATCGATATCTTATCTGATTGATATAAATCACTTTTCAACACGTCATTGTAGGAGATGATAATATAAATGTGGATACTTAATCTAAGATAACGACTATTCGCTTTTAAGTATTTGTTTGAAAGATAATGCAGTATTTCAGCGTTGTGTTTCGCCGTGTGAGTGAGGTTACCGGAGGCCCAATCCTTCCCCACCCCCAATCCTTCCTCAATCCCTAAATCTCAAAATCCCTAATCCCTAAAAGGTCGGCAACGCACTCGTAACTCCTCCGTTGCGGGTGTCCATGAGCGGCGCTGATTACTTACCATCAGGTAATCCGTATGCTCGTCTGCCGATCTATTACATAAAAAAAAATTACCGCGCCCTTTCATCATCATTATAAAATGTGTAACATAACAGTCGAGAGAGTTCGAGAATGCCGCCAATCTATGCTTCTTCAGCCCATTGGTGCCCACTGCTGAGCAAAAACCTCTTTTCACATGGAGAAGGTTTGATTAATCAGCAGGCAGGTGGACTGCTTATCTCAAACTTATAATTAACTAGCTTTTGCCCGCGACTTTGTTCGCGTGGAATAGTGACTTATTGCAAATTATTGGTTAAAAACTATCCTATATCCTTTCTCGAGTTCTAAACTATGCCTGTATCAAATTTCACAGAAATAGGTTCATTAGTTTACGCGTGAAGAATAGAAAGACAGACAGACAGAGTTACTTTCGTATTTATAATATTAGTTTGGATTATAAGTTCAAGTTTCCTCACGATGTTTTCCTTACCCTTATACCAGTAGTAAGACGTATTACCTGATGTTAAGCAATGGGATACCGGCGCTAGGCCAAATCTGCCAACCCCGCCCCCTCTCCCCATCTCCAATCGTCAAATTCCCTATCCTTAAAACGCCTTATAACGTACAAGAGGGCGGCAACGCACTTGTAGTAACTCCTTTGATATTATGAGTGTTCATGGGCGACGCTGATTGCTTACCATCAGGTAATCCGTCAGGTCATTTACCGGATTATGACTGAAATAAATTTTTAAAAACTTATTTATCCATATTATGTATATTACAGGTGACAGAACTGAAACAGCTAAGGTCCTTGGTGAAAGACACGGATCCCATTCGCATCCTATCCGTGGCCCAATTCCGGCCGGAGAAGGATCACCCGTTGATGCTGCAAGCTATGTACGAACTTAGGAACTTGCTGGTCAAGAACGAAATGCTCTGGAATAAGGTAAGTGTCAACCATTAATCATAAATGTTAATGTATATATGGTGACTGGTAATAAGTGGTCGATAAACGTATTTATTTATATGTATGTATAAAGCAAATAAAGCTTGCCATTGTCGCGCAATTTTTAATATATTTTTAACGTAATTGCAAATTAATAAAATTGAAATTCTCTTAAAGGTTTTCGTCAGTTTGAGATGACTTAATGTGGCACTAGATGCCGCTGGCGATGGCTAATTTGTATCAGGATAGCGCCTATATTAATTTACTAGCAACTCTCGCGCGGTTTCACCCGCTGCTCAGCTTCATTTGATCGTAGCGTGATGTTTTATAGCCTATAGCACTCAGGAACATTGTAGCTAAATATCTATCAGTGAACGAATTTTGGCAATCCAACCAGCTGTTCCATATATTACCCCCTACATACAAACTTACAAATTTTACATCTTTATAATATTAGTATAGATTAGTTGATAGAATTTGCTATATATTATACAATACTAGCTGCTTAGTTTATTAACTCGAACTCTGCATTTTTTTGCTTTTCTAATGATTGTGGCGTAATGCCTTATAATGTTCTTTTAGATTTTAGTCCTCAAAACATTTTTTTTTCAAGCCTACCAAGGTATTCAAATTATAATTTTCCGCGTTAATACCCGCGTAAATATAATGTTGATTTTTTTTTATTTCTTCGAATCGAACCAGTTGGTCTGGATACTAGAGCTTTCAAAGAAACAAAACTTTATAGTTGTGATAAATATCCTAAATGTATCTTTTCCAGATAAAACTGGTACTAGTGGGATCCTGTCGGAATGCTGAAGACGAGGAGCGTGTCCAGAACCTGAAGGACTTGGCGAAGCACCTGTCGCTGGAGGATTCTGTCCAGTTCGTGGTGAACGCGCCCTACGCCAGACTCCTCCAGATGTACCAGACCTCCAGCCTAGCTATCCATGCCATGTGGAATGAGCATTTTGGAATCAGTCAGTATAAATAATTTTAATATGTAGATTTTTTTTCTAGACAAATTTTGCCTTTTCTCTGTGAATCTAACAAAACAAGAAAAATTTTTAAATGTCTCACACTCTCGGATTTTTTGTGTTGGCAACATATCATTTTTACACAGGACTTAGGTAAGTGTTTGTGACTTTTGTGTGTATAGGACAATATCATAGTGTATGTACTATGTACCGTATTACATGGTAAGTTTAACAGCTAGGTACACAAATTCATGGGGGCTCCGGAGCAGGTCTCTTTTAGAGGACCCGGTGCACCTTACAGGTGATGAGGGTGGTGAGGTAAAAACCCCACACTCCCTAGTCTTTCTCCCCAAAAAGCTGGGCGCCTTTTGAAGGTTTCCCCCCGTTATCAAAAAAATGGTACACAAATTCAAAACTTTTATTGATTATTGAAATGTCAAAAACGACACTTTCCTATGAATTTTGTATATAAGATCGCAACGTCATTATGTTTTGACGATCAGCATACTTATCTTTAAATAGTTAACTAGAAAAAATATAGCTGTATGATTATATTTTAATAATTCATTGTATTGAAAAGTCAAAATATTTTTTGATCTAGGAAACTACCCAATCGAAATAAATATATCAAATAATTTTTGTTTTTATTTCGGGACCACAGGGTTCCGAAATATTTTTTTTTAATATATATTTTCTCAGCAAATTATGCTTGATTTTTAAACATATTTTTTTCCACAGGTGTCGTGGAATGCTTGGCTGCTGGACTGATAACTATAGCGCACCGGTCTGGCGGGCCCCTGGCGGACATTATAGAGACGGCGTCGGGTTCCCGCAACGGGTTCCTGGCGGCCGAGCCTGACGAGTACGCGCGCGCTATACTTGAGGTCATCGCCCTGCCAGCTCATGAGAAGAAGGCTATCATTGAGGCTGCTAGGTAATACATTTATTCCACTTTGAACAGTGGTAACTGAACTTAAGGTCCTTTTTCGCGGGTCTCTCCGACCAGAACCAGATCTCCGGCCATCGTAAGCGCGGGTCTGCGGAGGGCGAGTAAGGGTAGCTCGTCGCCCGACAAAAACCAGACCCGAGCGTACGGTGCGTAGCGTTCCGCGCGCGCCTCTAAGAGCCAATAGACCACCACAGACGGGGCCCTATAGGGCTGATGTTCAGCCGGGGTTGCGAGGCAAGCGCAATGAGTCACCAGGGCCTCCGCCCAAAACAGGAAAAGGAACGGGGGGTATTTAGTCAGTAAGAATCTGAAACTCTCTCTCGCTTTACCCTGGGCGGGAGAATTCGGTGATTTTTAACTGACCAAAAAAAGTTAACGTCCTTTTAATGATGAATGGTCAGGCTAATCAGTAGTAGCAGTACTAGTCAGTAGCTCGGTCCAGCCGCGGCCTTGGCCTAGAGCAGGAGAAGGAACGGGGGGTTTGGAGTTAGTAAGAGTCAAGAGACACTCCCTCTCGCCCTACCCTGGCGGGAGAAGGCATTCGATGATTTACCCCTCAGAAAAAAACCAGTAGCTGGTATCGGTCTGCCTCTAAGCTTCACACGGATTCTGTTTTGCTGCTGACAGATGACAGATTACTTGATGGTAAGCAATCGACATCGTCCATTGACTCCCACACCGAGGAGTTGTAAGTGCATAGCCGGCGCTTTGGGATTAGAGTTTTGGAGGTTTGGGGGGTGAGGATTGGCCTATAATCTCATACCGCAGCGAAATACAAGGCTTTGGTTGTTTTATGCCACTTCTTTTCGCAAAACCTGATGTGCTGAACTTAAAAAAGCTTATGTATTGTGTATAATATGTTTATAATGTTTTTTATTATTTTATGTAGAATGCTCAAATTGGCCTAAAGACTTCTTGGTAGCTTCTTGTAGATTAAAATTGAAATGTAAATAGTTTATTAATACCATATGTAACTGTTTTATAAATATATATGTTTGTAGGTACATATTATTATTATTTTGTTCCAGAGCATCGGTGGACAGATTCTCCGAGAAAGAATTCGAGAAATCATTCCTGCGAGCCGCGGAACCACTTCTAAGACTCGATTAGTTGAATAAGCGCTTTCCTTCTTCTGTAAATTTCTTTCCATTAGTTATAAGCTTAATAAAATTGATCCAAAGTTTTATTTTTTTTTTGTATTATTTTATATTTAATGTGGATGGATGAAAAAAAAAATAACACTCAGGAATATTGTAACTATCTATCAGTGAAATAATTTTATATTACCTCCATACATACAAACTTACCCCTATATAATATTATAATAGACTAGCTATTCTCGCGCGGTTTCTCTCGCTGCTCGGCTCCATTTAATCGTAGCGTGATGTTTTATAGCCTATAGCACACAGGAACATTGTAGCTATCCATTACTGAAAGAATTCTGGCAATCCGACCAGCGGTTCCAAAGATTACCCCCTACATACAAACTTACAAATTTTACGTCTTTATAATATTAGTATAGATGTGCACTTCAGATATTTAAATCCGAGAGAGGCGGCCCGCGTGAGAGAGCAATCCTCCTCACGCCCCAGCAGCCCCATTCGGGCGGCATTACGAGCGTCGGGGATCAAGGGACGATCTCCGGCCACCGTAAGCACGGGCCTGCGGTCGGCGAGTAAGGGCAGCTCGCCGCTCGACCGGAACCAGGCCCGAGCGTACGGCGCGTAGCGTTCCGCGTGCGCCTCAAAGAGCCAATAGACCACCACAGACGGGGCCCTAAAGGGCTGATGTTCAGCCGGGGTTGCGGGGTAAGCGCAATGAGGCACCGCGACCTCGGCCCAGAGCAGGAGAAGGAACAGGGGGGTTTTTAGTCAGTAAGAGTCTGACACTCCCTCCTGCCCGGCCCTGGGAGGGAGAAGTCATTTGATGATTTTCCCCTGACAAAAAAAAAGATAATTTGAATCCATTTGTATGGATCTTACGAAGTACAGTAGAACGGGGTAAATAGAATTCGAGTGGTGAATCAACGCAGAAGAGGGGTGATTAGATTAGACTAAGAAACTTCGTCAACATCTATTTTCCCCTTTCGTGTATCTATTCATCTCTCATATTCTATGCACCTCATTTTACGATAGCGAAGACACACAGAAAATAATATTTTTGGCATGACATTATGAGTAAAAACATAGAAATAATACACGTAAAAAATCATTTAATCACATTTAACAAAAAGAAAATATATTCAATATATTATGTATATAAGTTGTAGCTTAAATTAACAGCGGAATGTAGTCTATGTGGCAGTGTGACCCACTCGGTCCCTGGGAATCAGTCGCAGTTCTGAGCCGTGCTTCAGGAACACATTGCCTGAAACAATATATAGACAGATAATCAATCAGATTACAATTTACGAAAAATTTTACAGTTAGTTGGACCTTTTTGCTACACAATTTTTGGTTAGTTTTAGAGAAAATCCTATTTTCTCAAGTGTCGTGAATACAATATAACACAGGTACACATGATACCTAGACCCGAAATAACAGTTTCTGGATCACACAAAGTGTTGTTCGTGCGGGAATCGAACCTACGTGCCATAATATGGTCAAATTCAAAAATTATTACATACAATTAGGTAGTTTCCTAGATCAAAAATAAATTAATTCGACGTTAAAATAACATAATATTGAAATAAAATATAATATTAAAAAATAACTATAGATACTTTTATTCATCGATCGATCGATTCACTAAGTTTTAGATTTTTTCCAACTAATTATTAAGAAAGAAGTAACCCATTTGACGCGAAAAGGTTATGACGTCATAACTCAGTTTTTCATAGAAATTTCATAGAAAAGTATAGTGTTTGACGTTTGGATAAAAGTATTGAATTTGACTAATTGGAATTTTGGAAGCTACCGTATTACCACGTATCAATTTCAGGAAGGAGATGGGTAGGAGAAGATATCAGTCTGACACTCCCTCTCGTTCCTCCTAGTGTCAGACAAGCCTTTGACTACATAAAACCACCCAGTTACTTCTCCTATATTTTTTTGTGTTTGATTTTTTCAACAGCTGGGATTGAGGGTATTACGAACCCCTGTCTCATCTTTAAACCAATTCGGAAACTGTGAAAAGGTATTCTACGATTTAATTTAATATAAAAAATAATACGAAACTGATTATGAAACAACAATATAATTTTTCGTTTAAAACTATATTGGTCAATCTATCCAACGATGCACAAAGTCTACCGCTAGCAATATGTAGTGGAGGCGGATTCATGAAAGCTTTGAGCTGGAAATTGTCAAGAATCAGCGTAGGAGAAGGAACGGGGGTTTTAGTCAACAAGAGTCACTCACAAGTCATTTGATGGATTTCCCCTCAAAAAAAAAGATACGCGAGAATTTCTACCCAGCACATGGCGGTATTCCCGAACCGACCTTCAAATCTTCAAGAAACGAGCGTACTCCTTAACAGGCCGGCAACGCGGCTGTGACTCCTCTGGTGCTGCGGGTGTCCATGAGTGTCGCCGATCGCTTACCATCAGGTGATCCGTCTACTAGTTTGCCTCACTCCATAAAAAATCTAGAATCAAAAGGTATAATGTTACCTGCGGTCTGCTGAGGGTTGATGCCAATGCCATCGTCAGTGATGATAGCGCTGGTGGCTGGCTCCACACGGAATTCTTCAGCCGCGAACTTCAGTACCGCCGTGAATGGAGTCGCTTCTGGTACGCTCAGCCTATTATACAACGTTAGACGTTAAAAAGTTGCTATAGCTTCTCCTGTGTTGTGGGTGCGTTTACAAACATACAATATTACATACACGTCATACTCAAACCCGAAACAACAAATTGCGTATCACAAAAATAGTTGTTCTGTGCGGGAATGGGTCCTATGAAACTTTACGGCAGCCAGTTGCCCAGCCACTGCGTAAACTGTTCCATTAAAATTGATTTTGACCCTAATTATTTTGAAAATAAGTTGCAAATTAAAGTGAATGTGGTATGTTTTTCATGGGCTCATAGGAACAACGATGGTATCATATAGATACGTGATGATGATGGCATCATATAGAGACCATGTCTTTCAACTTTAAACTTTACAATTTACAGATTGCCCGCGCTAGGTTGACGTGCTTGTCTTTGTGTAACTGAATATTAACTAATTTTTTACATATACCTATAACTTTCCAGCATACCAAGGGATGGCGATGACTTGAACCATGACACTCAAAATACGATTTTCTACAAGTTCTTTGGTTTACTATGGCATGCAAAATTGAACAATAAAAAAACCAATGTAAAAAAAAAATATATTTAAAATATTTACAACATTGCCTCCCAGTAATTCAAATCATGATCATAATTTTTTATTGTATCAAAAAACAGTGATTTCAAACATTCTCTACTGCATATTTTTTGTACTACGGCAACCAACTCGGAATGACTAAGATCTATATAAAAAGACTCTGCAGACATGCCTTCTCTCAAAAGTTTACTGCAATCTGTCAAAGCTTCTACTATGTAAATGAATATATCAGAATTCTCAATACACATCTCAGTAAAGTACCTATCTTCTACTTTGAAAAGGAACTTCCAAAAGGGTTTAGAAGCACTATCCTTGCTTAGTACAATGTTATGTATCCCATTGGCTATCAATTGTACTGCATTCCCATACTGTGATTCATTATTCAACAAACTTACAACTAACACATCCACCATGTCTTGAGAACAATTTGTTAGTAACTTTAAAACTTCAGATCCACTTGACTTCAGTTCTAATAAAAGTATTTTGCTTTTAAACTCAATTATTTTATCCCTAGATAGTATATTTGTGACATTTCTTAATAAAGTCTCTTTAGACGCTGCCTCAAGCATCAAGTCTGTTAAGCAATTTTCCAACTTTTCCTCAGAAAACAGCTCAAGAAATATTCTGAAGCCAATGTCCATCTGCCTTATCTTTGTGTTAGAATTAATTATCTTATTTAAAATATACTTTGGTGGATCACTAAAGCAGTTTTTAATAAGATTGCTTGAAGATTCATTATTACTATTCAACACAGATAAGAATTCATTGATCACTTGTTTCTTTTGAAGTCTATCCAGACTCTTCTCAATATGCTGTGCTATTACAAATGCATTTTTTATTTCAGCCTCTGTAGTGTCATTGTCAGGCCAGTTCTCACACTGACAGAGGCCAATGTAGTCTTGGAAGAAGTTGAGGAGCTGTTCCACTACAGCAGTGTCCATTTTAAACCCTTCTAACTTCAACGCAGTACCCTGGACCATTCAGCATCTGTTGAAATGAAGAAACTACAATTGACTACAAGTTTAGCATGGATGTGGGCTCATTTAACAGATATGGTCTACGTTGAAGTTACAAGAAGTTACAATTGATACAAGTGGTAATTGAATTGAAACTTACACTTTGAACGGCAGTTTTGGGTCAGAAGTTAAAGTAATCTTGAAAGTTACTTTCGACCTGAAGAAAGAAATTATATTTGAGTTACACGGCTATAATACTTTCTAGTAAAATGGACAATGGATAAAAAAAAATTCCACTTACATTATTCTAGAGTTATTAACAGTTGTTTGGATAAAATATTCTCAATATTTTCGCAACTTCGAGCAACACATGAAATGAAAGTGACGTTTACCTTTGACGTATACACGTTTCCTAATGTCAATCATTTACATACACAATTCGGATACAGTCATGCAGGGTTTAAATGAACTATATAGAGGTTTGTATAACTTTGCTTTTTTTAAAATGAAATTATTGAATATGGTCTCTTGAACTTCTATTTTACAAACTAGCAAATAAGTAAAAGTGGAATTAAGAATTATTTCTAATTAGAAAGTGGTTAAACTCGCAGATGTTTTTGCTGTTTGACATGTTTTCAAAACACATCTTATCAATGAATGTCATTTTACTAAACTGTCAATTCTTCAGTTCTGTCAACAAAACTCAAAAGTTGCAAAACACTGGTGGATCGATTAAAATAATGTTTTAATTTCAAGTATTAATTAGGGAAAACATCAACACAGGCATCACAATGTTGCTTAAACGGAATTTACTGGAATGCACAACAATTTTATCATGTGCCGGAACATTTATCTGTATTCTGCTAAACTATATTACAAATATTTCACCTATAACTGGAATATGGTTTCCTCTTTACGTTATAACTTTATTTATAGTATCACTGTGTGTAAGTTTTAAGTTTATTCAGTGGTTATTACGTTTGAATAAGCCGATAAAGTATGATTTTGATGGAATTGCGGCTGATTATCCTTATTTGTCGTCGTTGTCTAAACTGCTACCTAAGCCTAGGAAAGCAGTGTCTGAGATTCGAGAGTATGATACGAATGAGTTAAGCGTGATCTCGACAGTGCTGGAAAGGAAGCTGGTGTCGTCCTGGTACGTGCCATACATCTCGCAAGAGATCGGGTTTCCATTTGCTTGCAAACAAATGCTGGATCAAATGATTGGCAAAAGCTTTCAGGTTTGTGATTAAAATTTTAACTATTATTATTATTTTGTGATGAAAAAATTTGGTATCAATTCTGTTTAATTTACAAATGCAATTAATATGAAATTATATTTTTAAATGAACTTAATGTTTCATAAAATATAACTTTGTAAATGCTGAATAATTTACAGATATGCAACAAGATAGAAACCAAAGATATCTTCGTAGATATAACCACCGTTTTATCAAGCCACTTAAAAGAATATCAGAAAGCTTTGAAACGCCACGAGAAAACACCAGATAGTACCATAGAAGCTCTCTATAAAAAGACTCATCGCATATTCGACGGAAGCAACAAAATCCAGCCAGCTGACCATTGCACAAACATTCTACGCGTTATTTTCAAAGAATTAGTACCATGGGAATTATGGGACACACCACATTCTGAATTGCTAGTCCGCATTCTATCAAAAAAACTGAGCACCTTCATTGACACTACATTAGCCGAACCTGCATGGTTGAATGAAAAACTACTGACAATTATGAAAGGGAAACAAGACGTCATAGTAACCGAAGAGAAAAAAGAGCCAATAAAACCGGAACCAAGTGTTACCGAAATGAAAAAAGAACCAATAAATGTAGAGAAAGAAATACCAGTAGTGGTTTCCAAGTCTACAGTAACTGTGCCACAATGGGTCCCTGATATTGTGAAGGAGAAGATGGAAGTGGAAAAAATTGAGAACATAGTTGAAGAAGTGCCGGTGACCAGTTCTGAACCTGTTGATATAAAGGCTTCTCCAATTTTGAGGCAGCGAAGGGGCAGGCAGGGCAGGAATGAGGTCAAGATTTATGATAGGATTATTGAAGGTCAGTTTTAACTACGCATAACGTTCGAATCATGTTCTCAAAAAAAAAAATTGTCGTTCATCCGCAAGCAAACACCGGTGTTCTCACACCTATTGTTCTTTCATTGTGTCTCCGATTACCATGATTCCTTCAAGATTTCAATACATATAATATTAAAAATATAATCGTACTCACTTCATTGTTGGATTTTACATTTTAAGAAAACAATTGCTGTTTGACCCCACAATATGATTACGTCACATTTCTATTTTCCATATTCAATTCATAGAACGGTTTTATTTTTGACATTACAGTAAAAGTATTAAATTTGACTAGTCGTCAAAGAGTGTAGGTATTATTACTTTATCATGCAGGTAGTGTAAAAACATGGGAGACAGACATAGACCTGCAGTGTATCAGCCTCGGGCAGGACCTGCTAGCGAGTCTGGATGGCGAGATCACACTGAGCCGGCTCTGGGGGCAAGACGCCGACACTGAGGGCAGCCCTAACCCACCACGAAGCAAGTCGCCGCAACCACTCTGGTTTGGTAAATATAGTTTTACCTTTTTTACTTTGCACATTTTTTAGCAGATTCTAAATGATATTCTCGTATAATATTAGCCTCCGTCCGCGGCTTTGCCAGCGAGTTTTTTTATGTTAATTTGGCAAACGAGCAAACGGATTACCTCATGGTAAGCAATCAGCGGCGCCGCCAATGGACACCGTCGTGCGTTGCAGACCTTTTGTGAATTAGGGATTCGGAGATTTTCGGATTAGGGAGGGATTAAGAGAGGGAAAGTTTTCACTCATACGGTAATAATCACAACGCGTTCGCTCGTTCTGTCATATCAAATACTAGCTTCTCTCGCGCGGTTTCACCCGCTGCTCGGCTCCATTTGATCGTAGCGTGATGTTTTATATAGCCTATAGCACTCAGAAACATTGTAGCTGCCATTGAAAGAATTTTGGAAATTCGACCAGCGGTTCCATAGATTACCCCCTATATTACAAATTTTACCTCTTTATAAAATTGGTATAGAAAAATTTAATTTTCCAAAACTATAATTTTCTAGGTGAAGAAGAAACAATAGAGGTAGACCCTCTAGATGCAAACTCAATCAAAGAAAGCAAGAAGGAACAGAGTCCAAAGCCGGCAGATGCGTTACTGAAGGACCTGCAGTCTACCGTGAGGGAAGCAAAGACCAAGATTGGGGATCTACAGGTGGACAACAAAGTTGGCTTAGATGTGCCCTGCAAGCAAAACTCCAGTGTATGTTGGTTGCACGATCTTTCTGCTTTACGCTTTCTGTGTGTGGGCCGGCCGCGTTATTTAAACAATATAATTATAGGACATTATGATACAAGTGTGTAAAATTCGTGATTATCGGGGATTATGAGGGTATTATTTATTGATTATTTAGACACCACTGACATACGGTGAAGGTAAACATCGTGAAGAAACCGGGACTTATAATTTCTAATTATTAGTTTGAAATCACCAACCCGCATTGAGCAAGCGTAGTGATTAATGCTCTAAGCTTCTCCGTATCTCTCTCTATTCTCCGAAGAGCCCTTTGAGCAGCAGTGGGCACTTATACGCTGATGATGATGAGAACGGTAATCATCAATACACACGTGTATTATACGACGTTATTCAACACACTTCTGAATAAAATAATAATTAAATAAAAAAAAACCTTTAAAAGAGCAAACGTGACGAGTTGTAAGAAATGTTTCGTAATGGCGGGAAAAATTAATCAGTATTATTATGCGCGCGCATCGGACATAGACTAAAAAATAATGTTTTTTTTTTTGATAGCATTTTAGCGGAACTGTAAGCGTAACTCAATTAATAATTTAAAAAAATCTATTATTCACTCGTGAATAATAGTAATGAAAAAGTGACAGTTTGATTAAAGGTGTCATTACGTGCCTAATCGCCATGGTATTAATGCCAGTTTATGAGGAAGTGTGTTGAAAAATTGTTTCTCTGCTCACTGATATGAATGAAAATGATTTTGGTAACTGCACATCACCGCAATGGCTTTTGGTTTGGGTACGGGGTTTTTGTAATGATTAATTATTCTTTAAATTGTTAGTTTTGCTTTTTTTTAATAAATAAAAAATAAGTTTATTTTTTTGTTGGTAAGTTTAAAAAGTGGAGAGTTTTTGAAATGAATATGTTAAAATTGAATTCAAAATTTATAGACAGGTACAACTGTTGGATCGAGCGCCACGTGGCTCAGGTTACATAAATATGCTTTGATTGTCCTATCTTCAAACTTACCGCATGTCTGTGATACTTGACTTTCAACGCTATCACTTAACGATAAAGTCTATTTTAAGTACAAATAACTGGTGTGTGTGAAAGTGTTAGCTAGAATTGTTACGGTGAGAGAGACAGAGACAGCAATACAAAAATAGCGGTATCTCTTTCGCTGCAATAATTTTGGTTTCGTATGTGTTCTTGAGTCGAATGTTTTCTTATAATTGGTGTTATGTACAGGGTGATTGAAAATATAACACATTGCTAACAATGGCTGTAGAAAATATTTTGTGTTGAATACTGGTGTTGTTTTGTTTTTATAATAACTATCGTGAGACATACTAAATTAACTAAAAATCGCGGGTTACTTACGTGTAAATATTGAGAAAAGCTCTACTAGTTTCGAACCACAGAGGGGTTCTTCCTCATGAGCAGCGTGCGCGGACGCGGCGACGTGGCGCAGACGCGAAACTCGTAGACCTTTTAGGTGTTGTTTGTTAAAATTCCTATATTTTAATAATTAAGTGTGGGAAAGCAAAGTTTCGGCACGAATGGGTCGGCTCGATCAGATCAGATACCACGGCCACACAGAAATCTCTCCCCCTTTATCATCCCCTTTCCATCCCTTTCCAATCCTTCCCATCCCTTTCCAATCCTTCCCATCCCATTCCAATCCTTCCCATCGCTTTCCAATCCTTACTATCCCTTCCCAATCCTTCCCAATCCTTCCCATCCCTTCCCAATCTTTCCCATCCCTTCCCAATCCTTCCCATCCCTTTCCAATCCTTCATACCCAAAAGGACGGCAACGCACTCGTAACTCTTTTGGTGGATTGCTTACCATCAGGCAATCCGTCTGTGTGTTTGCCGATCCATCCTATAAAATAATAACTCAAAAATAACAATAAAATGGCAATTAGTCTCAAATATTCAACTAAAGTCCCATAGCAAGAATGTGTTATATTTGAAAGCACCCTGTATTTTATCTTCGTAAAATCAGTATTATGAGCAAAATGGCATTCTAGGGAGAATAGTCCTAAATAATAGAAAAAGCTTATAAACATCGTGAGGAAATTTTGAAACAAATTTAAGTTTAAAATCGCCAGACTTTAGCAAGAAGAGCGCAGATCCACGCGCGACAAAATGTGTTTTTTATCGTTTGTCATATACTGGTTAATGCTCAAACCTTCTCTGTCTGAGAAGGGACCTGTTTTAAAATTGGCTACATAGATATAGATAGAGTACCATTTGGCTCATAGTACAGATGGGGGTTGATTCTGCATGTGTGTAAGCATGTCTGTCGCTGCACGATATTCGACCTTCAAAATTGTTGTGTGAGTGTGACTGTCCTGTCGTTAGTTTTCTTGGTCAAAAATAAATAATTTAGATTTTTCTATACAATGAATTATCTATATTAATTGATTGATAAGGTTTCTTTACTTTTTTTCATTGATTTGACCATTATCATTACTTACAGACTTTTTCTAAAAAAAATATTTTTTTAAATATACAAATAAACAACGTACTCACTTATTTTTTAAAGTTACGTAAAAAAACATGGCGTCATATATTGCTATCTCATATAAAATTCATAGGAAAGTATCGTTTTTGATGAAAAGTGACTATCAAAAATATTAAATTAGTGAGCAATATTAATCAGGTAATTTCTGAATTGATCAAGTCTTCTAAAATTTAATTTTTTTAGGTAGTTGTAGAAGTTCTTGGCAGATAGATTCTAATTAATATGTATATACAAAGGTCTTTTCGTATCAGTTTGTTGTCTTGTATTAACGGGATGGACTTAATCTGATATGTCAAAAACTACCGGTTAGACGTTTATCGTGAGACATAATAACTTTATTGAAAAAAAAAACGACTTTCTCACGTGAATTTACTGAGAAAAGTCCAACTATAGTCAGAATTTTAATTCGATTCCTGATTTGACATGACCTGCTGTCATTTTGTGAAATAATGATACCACATTTATCAGTGTAGTGATGGACACAAAACTCGATATACAATCAGTGAATCAGTTTCAGGAAGACATTAAAAGAATAAATTAGGGATGCGGTCTTGATCTGTTTTACTTATTTTATAGATACTCTGTAATGTTATTGATTGTATCCTGTTTTGTGTGCCTATAAATAAATAAATAAATAAATAAATAAATAAATAAATAAATAAATAAATAAATTACGGCTACCGAATGGTCTATATGCGTATCCTATGTTGTCAAAGAAGAGGAAAAAATGAGTAAACTAGATATGTTAACTGACAATAAATATCACAGACACAATTCAATGATAAATGTTACAGAAAGGAACAACGATAGCGATAGCGATGACGGTGACAATTTATAAAATGCCTGTTTTATTTGTCATGTTCCTTCATGATCACATTTTTTATTAATTTCACACACAATTACAAAAGAAAAGTCTCAGTTCGTTAATTAATTGTCAAAACTAAATTATCGGTTCAGAAATATTTTATTTCGTGATAAACTTAGTTTACGAGAGTAAATTTATAAACGAGAGGAATCGATTCAGAAATATTCGATTCCCATATCGAATAATTTCGCAACGTCACTATTTAGTAAGTCTCATAACGTTGCAACACTGAAATTGTCAAATCTGGAATGGAATTAAAATTCCGAGTATAGTTTCAAGTTACAACTGGACTTATTCAGCGATTGCCGGCTGCGCGCCAAATTGAGACTTAAAACGACGTAATTAAGGCATTATTTTCAATAAACTTACCATACATGTTTTAGTACGGCTATTCACCACCAGATGGTGTAATTTCTAAAAAAGCAGACATATTTGAGTACAGTTTTTCATCCATCGATGGTGTTATTTCTAAGAAAGAAGATGTGTGATTTTAATGATTTTCTAGTACATAAATCTTTATGACGATGTTTACTGGTGTAGGATGAGGCAGCTGGCATGATGGAAGGTCTCCTGGACTTCGGCATAGCTGGTCTGAAGAAGGGACTTCGTTTCACTGGCCTCAGCGACGATTCGGTATGTGTTTGTGTTTTGAATTCTATGGTTTTGGTCATAGAGTTGATTTTATAAGCGAACCGGAGCATCTCCGTTCATCGGTCATTTTACCAGGATAGTGGGTTAGCCATTCTTCGGGATGAATCGGCCGGCGTAATGATCCTATGGCCATAGGAAACCGGTATGAAATAAAGTTGTGTTTTGTCGGTTAAGTGAGGTTAATGGAGAACTAATCCTCCCCTCCATTCCTACTCCTAAATCCCCCGATCTTCGAATAAGCCTGCAAAACACAAGCAACTTGTCTATGCTAATCCATTGCTTACCATCAGGTGACCCTTCTGGCCTTTTACTGTACTTTTGAGGTTACATACAGAATACTATTCCCCCACTCCTCCCAAAAGGCAGATCGTTTTAGTAACTTCTTAGGTTTTGTCGGTGTCGATACCTTGCTTACCATCAGGTGATAAGGCAGTTCGATGGCTGCTGTATCCCATAAAAATGTCTGTATAAGTAGATTTATATTGAGTTAACCACGGCCTCACAGGAAAACGGCGTCAAGCAATACTTATGTTGTGTTACGTAAGAGTGAGAGTGAGGTTACTAGAGGACGCCCCCCCCTCCCTCACCCCGGAACCTCTATTCTCAAATCACTAATTAATTACCCACCAGAGGCCGGCAACGCACTTTTTTTTTTTATTTAACAGGTCGGCAAACGAGCAGATGGATTACCTGATGGTAAGCAATCAGCGCCGCCCATGGACACTCGCAACGGAGAAGTTACGAGTGCGTTGCCGACCTTTTAGGGATTAGGGATTTGGAGATTTTGGGATTGAGGAGGGATTGGGGAAGGGGAAGGATTGGGCCTCCGGTAACCTCACTCACACGGCGAAACACAACGCAGTGGTTATTTCACGCCGGTTTTCTGTGAGGCCGTGGTATCACTCCGGTCGAGCCGACCCATTCGTGCCGAAGCATGGCTCTACCACACTTAACTTGTAGTAACTATTAAGTATAACGAGTGTCAAATGGGCGGCGCCGATTGCTTACCATCAGAACATAAAAAATGTCTGTGTCTTGTCTAGGACAAGTCTCCATCACACCACCGTGAGCGTCCTACCGACAAGTCTCCCCCTCCGGAGACACGCAGCAAGAATATTGCAGAACATAAGGAAACCGGCAATGGACAGAGAGGTAACACTTTCACTGTCATAGTAATATTACATTTATGACATTTGTTTCTATTGGGGTGTCACGAACGAAAGAAAACCATGTCTTTAGATAAAAATAGTCTAATCATCAATCATTCAGTTACACAATGTCACAAAACTAATTAGGTAGAGAAACAATCACGAATAAAATAGTAAGGTCGCGGACGCGATACATTCATGCGCGTCGCGGCTGTTAGCGGGGGCGGACTGAAGCTCGCGCGAACGACGCGGCGCGCGCAGCTGCGCAGTGCGTTAGCGGGACAAGGTAGATCTCCCGCGCACTCGTGAAGTTGCCACAAATATAGAGGTTCGGACGGCGCGTTACACATTTAAATAAATAATAATTCAATTGAAAATATATCGTATAAATAGGGCACATCAAAATACTGCATTAATATAAGGTGCTGTAAAAATATCTGCCACGGTTTTAAAGGTAGTAGTATGTTTATAGATTACAATTTTACAAATTTCCAATCCTAGAAAAGTTGATTAAATTAAAAAAAACAAGTTAATCAGCATTGGTTGTCTGCATGATGTGGTTCACAACGCGTTGTACGCGCGCTACGCAACGGAATCGTTTTATACTAATAAATGAAGTGAAAAGTATATATTGCTTTTGTTATGGCAAATAATTATTTATTTATCTTTATTATTGTAATTTATAAACGCAATATAATACACCATTGCAGTCTTGGGAGCTATTTTTATAGCACCTCATAGAAGATTTAAAAATGAGAAGGATAAAGACAAAACTTCTCAATATATCAATGACAGTGATCACAGACAGCCTTACGCCAAGAACAGTGAGACGATCTCGGCTAGAATAAGTATAAAAATTAATGTTTTCAGATGAGAACAACGTGCCTCCTTTAGTGAAACAGCACCGAGTTACTTCACAGGACAGCATGGTTAGTATTAAGTATTTATAATTCGTTTAAATTTGCTTTCAATGGCGCTAGTGTCGATATTGGTCCAACAGACAGACTGTGACTGAGCGATGTCCCTGACAGATCACTAGAACACTAACCAAATCTTATACTTGGTTCAAAATTCAGAAATTGAACTCGAATATAATCTAAAAATATTTTGTTTGCTAATCAACGTTAAAATTTAACACTTGTATAACAGATTTTTGTCGTGGTGACCCGGAGTTTAAGGTGGATTTAAGGTGCGGTTTTGAAACCTGACAAGTACCAATGTGACTTTTTCCGAGTTATATGTACTTTCTATGATTATACATATAGACAACACTGACTTACGGTGAAGGAAAAAATCGTGAGGAAACCTGGACTTATAATTTCTAATTATAACTTTGAAATCGCAAATCCGCCTTGAGCAAGCGTGGTGATTAATACTCAAACCTTTTCCTTGAGAAGACGCCTTTGCATAGCAGTGGACACTTATTGGCTGATGATGAGATGTGAAATTTATTGTAATAAATGTAAGTCAGGCTTTCTTTGCTGACGCTATAACTCCAGAACGCACGAGCCGATTTCCACGGTTTTGCATTCTTTGGAAAGGTCTCGGGCTCCGTGACGTTTATAGCAATAGAAACTTCAGAAAAATTTTGGCCGACCGTTAGTTAGTTATAAAAAACACAATAGCCAAATCTTAAGTTGTCCCCCAGCCGTCCCAGCCCCGTCCGGTGCCCCTGGCGGAGCTGCCCTTGGCGCCAGTCCCCGACTCCCCCGAGCCGGAGTACGAGGAGGCGGCGGACCTCTCCACCAGCATCGCCAAGCTGCGCTGTCTGCTGCAACAGCGAGCTGAGACAAGCCCCAAGTGAGGATCCCAACCCTTATGACCTTGGAAACCGTTCCGGGTCGAAATGTCCAGTTCTGCATATGTAAAAAATTATTCATACAAAGTCTACTCAAAATAATACATACAACAGCCAAAATGTTGAATATTAAACAATGTGACAATTAAAATGTCTTGTCACGGGTAAAATACTGATACTAATCCGTTGCGTAGTTTTAAAGTTTTAAGAATAGCATTCTTAGGATATAGGGATGTTCTTTAGTGTTTAAATGAAGTTACATTGACCCCCTCTCCCCCCTACCCCCCAGGGCGGAGGAGGTGTGGTGGGAGAGTGCGGCGGAGACCCGCGGGCGCGCCCAGCGACCCTCCGCGCACTCCGCGCGACATGTCGACACCGCCACGCTCGCAGGTCGGTGGGACATACTGCACACTTTAAATACACCTCTTTTATCATTTCACACATCATCATCGTCACCACACCCACACATTCATTATTATAATCATCCCGAATTGTTAATCATATCATCCGATATTGTATCGAAACGGCGAATTGGTTTATTTTTGACCTAGGAAACTAGCCAATGCTCAACTTTATAATGTTATATTTCAGACGAGTACGACATGAACTTGGAACGCAACGCGTCGCCGGGACAGACATCCAACAACATGCAGCGACTTGACAAGTGAGATATTCATTCATACATTCATTTAGATACCTCGGCAAACCAGCACACAGATTACCTGATGGTAAGCAATCAGCACCGCCAATGGAAGGAGTTAAGCCCCGCCCACGTCATCGTTACGAGTGCTTTACCGACCTTATGAGAACTAGGGATTTGTGGATTGGGAGGGTTTTTCTGGATTATATATACTTTCTATTATTATATAGACACCACTGACTTAAGGTGAAGGAAACCATGGTGAGGAAACCTGGACTTATAATTTCTAATTATGAGTTTGTAATCGCCAATCTGCCTTGAGCAAGCGTGGTGATTAATGCTCTAACCTTCTCAGTGTGAGAAGAGGCCTTTTTCAGCAGTGGGCACTTATAGGAACTGCAACGTAAGCGGTGTTTCACGCCGGTTATCTGGTTGGCCGTGGTATCACACCGTGGGCCTCTTCGTGCTGAAGCATGTTGCCCGCACTTATTGTTACGCGTCTAAGGGCCTGCGTCTAACGTTGGAATTTGGGCCTTTCTTTCATCTCCAATCTCTTATCCCTAAAAAGCGAAGTGCAAAGTTGGCAACCCACTTGTAACTTCTTCAAGTTGCAAATACTAAATACTAGTTCCTTTGCTGACCATAGCTGTAACAGTTATAGAAATAAACTTATAAGTACTTAAGTATATGTAGGTTTTTTTATGTGATGGGTCGGTAAACGAGCCGACAGATTACTTGATGGTAAGCAATCAGCGCCGCCCGTGGACACCCGGAACAACGGAGGCCTTACGTGTGCGTTGCCGACCTTTAGGGGACTAGGGATGGGGTAGGACTAGGGTAGCCTGCACTAGCAACAGCCAGTGAGAAGCAGAACGGGGAACTGCTGCCTGCATTGCACGAGCTGCTGCTGAGATGGATCGCCAATAGATGGAGGCGACCAGCCACTGCCGAGAGTCACGAAAGTCGTTTTGGCCCTCGTGGCTTCTCCCAAAAGGCAGAAGACTGCACGAAAGCTGAGTTTTTTTAGTGGGTGCAAGCCCCACATAACCTCACCGTCTCCCCGGGCGGTGTGTGTATGCGAATTTTTCTCAGCTGGGAAAAAAAGAGGTAGCCTCACTGTAATTGTTCGTTTCACGCTGGTTTTCTGTGAGGCCGTGGTATCACTCCGGTCGAGCCGACCCACTCGTGCCGAAGCATGGCCCTCCCACACTTAAACCGTTCCCTCGTAGGTTGTTCCAGCGCACAGTGACGGGAGTGTTCAACTCTATAAAGACTGCAGTTGGCGCGGAAGATGACCAGCCCGCCCCCCGCGCCCCCAGAGACTGGACATACGTCTGCACCGCTATAGACCTTAACGTGAGTGACATAATTATCCTTATTGCTTATCAACTATATGTAGTTTTTGACACAAGTCTCTTCAATAGCATGTCACTAAGCTTGTAACTTAACTTGATGAATGTTCTCATATGTCCTCGCGCCTGATATTATATTCATAGCATCAACTAGCGCTTGTTACGAAAAGTAAAAATTATGGAGACTATAATATTATGCCACTTGCTTCACTTAACACTCAAATTAAAGTTGTTAATTAATGACTACTTACCAACCAACCCCTGGTTCAGCACATCTGTACTGCTTGTCGAATAGGGTGTTATATCAATTGCTGAGCAGTTCATAATTTTTTCACCGTTAGCTCCTTTACTGGACTATCAGACATATTTCAAGACCAAAATTTAGCCAAACTAACGAATGGGTTTTCAATCTATATATATAAAAGAAAGTCGTTTTAGTTACACCACTTATAACTCGAGAACGGCTGAACCGATTTAGCTGAAAATTGGCAGGGAGGTAGTTTAGAGCCAGGAGAAGGACATAGGATAGGATAGAGTAGGTTAGGTAGAGTAGGGAAGGTAGAGTAGGGTAGGTAGAGTAGGGTAGGTAGAGTAGGGTAGGTAGAGTAGGGTATGTAGAGTAGGGTAGGAAGAGTAGGGTAGGTAGAGTAGGGTAGGTAGACTAGGGTAGGTAGAGTAGGGTAGGAAGAGTAGGGTAGGTAGAGTTGGGTAGTTATAGTAGGGTAGGTAAAGTAGGGTAGGTAGGGTAAGTAGAGTAGGGTAGGTAGTAAAATGACGATAGCGACGCCGCGGGTAAGAGCTAGTTTTATATAAAAGATGATTAGATCGGAAAACTCCGTTTCGCTTCAAAAAATGTAATGGCAACACTGACAGTTTTGTGTCATGAGTTTATATTTATAGCAGTTTAGAAAAAATAATAATACTACTACCCATTTCCCATATTTCATCACAGCTTATTACCAACTTACTGGACTTTCAAGCAGGATCTAAATTAACTAAGTCGTACCGCTATTGGATTTACCTTTTGCAAGGACTAATTATAGAAATTCCTTTATCTCGAGAGGTGCTAATAGGTTTAACAGATTGGTACAGATGTACAGAACTTGATATCGACTTATTCTGTGCTAATAGTTTTGGCTAACTCATTTCACATTACATTGAATACTTGAAACAGCACGCAACTTTCTTAATACGCAGTTTTGACTAATTAGGTAGTTACTTCTTGTTGATTATTGAAATCGACATGTCTATTATCTGTGGAGGCTTGTCGTTAGTGATATGAAAACTGTATCTTATTTTAACAAATATTTTACACAGAACATTTTTTTTATATTGTATACATAGGTGAGCGGTGCCGTGTCCCGCCTGGTGGGGTCGCGGCGCGCCTTCTCCCACGTGGAGGCTGCGCTGGACTCGTTGGACCAGCTCGCACCAAGGGACCCGCCCAGACCACACACTCCTGACGACTTTGGTCAGTAATCTATACTAATATTATAAGTTGAAGAGTTTGTTTGTTTGAACGCACTAATATCAGGAACAACTGGTTCGAATGGATTTTTTTTTGTGTTTAATGGACTGTTATTATTGTACTTATATCTAATTTTGCGAGCGTAGTTATTAATGCTCTGACCTTCTCTGCATGAGAAGAGGCCTTTGCTCAGCAGTGGGCACTTATAGGCTGATGATGATGATGATGATGATGATGATGATGATGAAGATGATGAAGATGATGATGTTGATGATGATGATAGACTATTTATCGAGGAAGGCTTTAGACTATAAAACATCACGCAACTATCTGTAGGAGCTGAGCAGCCACCGAAATCGCTATATTCCTATTAAACTAGATAGTTTAATAGTAATTAGTCTAAGTTTTCTATGCGATAAGTCGGCGTACGGATTACCTGATGGTGAGCCATTAGCGCCGCCTATAGACACTCGCAATCACGGAGAAGTAACGAGTGCGTTCCCGACCTTTTTGGGGCTAGAAATTTGAAAGTTTTGGGATTGGGGAGGGATTGGGCGTAGTAACGTTGTAGTGTGGGTGTGTACAAAGGAGTGGTGCGCGTGTAGCGGCGCGTGCGCAGTGGGTGTAGTAACGTTGTAGTGTGGGTGTGTACAGAGGAGTGGTGCGCGTGTAGCGGCGCGTGCGCAGTGGGTGTAGTAACGTTGTAGTGTGGGTGTGTACAGAGGAGTGGTGCGCGTGTAGCGGCGCGTGCGCAGTGGGTGTAGTAACGTTGTAGTGTGGGTGTGTACAGAGGAGTGGTGCGCGTGTAGCGGCGCGCGGTGGAGCGGCGCGTGCGCAGTGGGTGTAGTAACGTTGTAGTGTGGGTGTGTACAGAGGAGTGGTGCGCGTGTAGCGGCGCGCGGTGGAGCGGCGCGTGCGCAGTGGGTGTAGTAACGTTGTAGTGTGGGTGTGTACAGAGGAGTGGTGCGCGTGTAGCGGCGCGTGCGCAGTGGGTGTAGTAACGTTGTAGTGTGGGTGTGTACAGAGGAGTGGTGCGCGTGTAGCGGCGCGTGCGCAGTGGGTGTAGTAACGTTGTAGTGTGGGTGTGTACAGAGGAGTGGTGCGCGTGTAGCGGCGCGCGGTGGAGCGGCGCGTGCGCAGTGGGTGTAGTAACGTTGTAGTGTGGGTGTGTACAGAGGAGTGGTGCGCGTGTAGCGGCGCGTGCGCAGTGGGTGTAGTAACGTTGTAGTGTGGGTGTGTACAGAGGAGTGGTGCGCGTGTAGCGGCGCGTGCGCAGTGGGTGTAGTAACGTTGTAGTGTGGGTGTGTACAGAGGAGTGGTGCGCGTGTAGCGGCGCGTGCGCAGTGGGTGTAGTAACGTTGTAGTGTGGGTGTGTACAGAGGAGTGGTGCGCGTGTAGCGGCGCGTGCGCAGTGGGTGTAGTAACGTTGTAGTGTGGGTGTGTACAGAGGAGTGGTGCGCGTGTAGCGGCGCGTGCGCAGTGGGTGTAGTAACGTTGTAGTGTGGGTGTGTACAGAGGAGTGGTGCGCGTGTAGTGGCGCGCGGTGGAGCGGCGCGTGCGCAGTGGGTGTAGTAACGTTGTAGTGTGGGTGTGTACAGAGGAGTGGTGCGCGTGTAGCGGCGCGTGCGCAGTGGGTGTAGTAACGTTGTAGTGTGGGTGTGTACAGAGGAGTGGTGCGCGTGTAGCGGCGCGTGCGCAGTGGGTGTAGTAACGTTGTAGTGTGGGTGTGTACAGAGGAGTGGTGCGCGTGTAGCGGCGCGTGCGCAGTGGGTGTAGTAACGTTGTAGTGTGGGTGTGTACAGAGGAGTGGTGCGCGTGTAGCGGCGCGTGCGCAGTGGGTGTAGTAACGTTGTAGTGTGGGTGTGTACAAAGGAGTGGTGCGCGTGTAGCGGCGCGTGCGCAGTGGGTGTAGTAACGTTGTAGTGTGGGTGTGTACAGAGGAGTGGTGCGCGTGTAGCGGCGCGCGGTGGAGCGGCGCGTGCGCAGTGGGTGTAGTAACGTTGTAGTGTGGGTGTGTACAGAGGAGTGGTGCGCGTGTAGCGGCGCGTGCGCAGTGGGTGTAGTAACGTTGTAGTGTGGGTGTGTACAGAGGAGTGGTGCGCGTGTAGCGGCGCGCGGTGGAGCGGCGCGTGCGCAGTGGGTGTAGTAACGTTGTAGTGTGGGTGTGTACAGAGGAGTGGTGCGCGTGTAGCGGCGCGTGCGCAGTGGGTGTAGTAACGTTGTAGTGTGGGTGTGTACAGAGGAGTGGTGCGCGTGTAGCGGCGCGTGCGCAGTGGGTGTAGTAACGTTGTAGTGTGGGTGTGTACAGAGGAGTGGTGCGCGTGTAGCGGCGCGTGCGCAGTGGGTGTAGTAACGTTGTAGTGTGGGTGTGTACAGAGGAGTGGTGCGCGTGTAGCGGCGCGCGGTGGAGCGGCGCGTGCGCAGTGGGTGTAGTAACGTTGTAGTGTGGGTGTGTACAGAGGAGTGGTGCGCGTGTAGCGGCGCGTGCGCAGTGGGTGTAGTAACGTTGTAGTGTGGGTGTGTACAGAGGAGTGGTGCGCGTGTAGCGGCGCGTGCGCAGTGGGTGTAGTAACGTTGTAGTGTGGGTGTGTACAGAGGAGTGGTGCGCGTGTAGCGGCGCGCGGTGGAGCGGCGCGTGCGCAGTGGGTGTAGTAACGTTGTAGTGTGGGTGTGTACAGAGGAGTGGTGCGCGTGTAGCGGCGCGTGCGCAGTGGGTGTAGTAACGTTGTAGTGTGGGTGTGTACAGAGGAGTGGTGCGCGTGTAGCGGCGCGTGCGCAGTGGGTGTAGTAACGTTGTAGTGTGGGTGTGTACAGAGGAGTGGTGCGCGTGTAGCGGCGCGTGCGCAGTGGGTGTAGTAACGTTGTAGTGTGGGTGTGTACAGAGGAGTGGTGCGCGTGTAGCGGCGCGTGCGCAGTGGGTGTAGTAACGTTGTAGTGTGGGTGTGTACAGAGGAGTGGTGCGCGTGTAGCGGCGCGTGCGCAGTGGGTGTAGTAACGTTGTAGTGTGGGTGTGTACAGAGGAGTGGTGCGCGTGTAGCGGCGCGTGCGCAGTGGGTGTAGTAACGTTGTAGTGTGGGTGTGTACAGAGGAGTGGTGCGCGTGTAGCGGCGCGTGCGCAGTGGGTGTAGTAACGTTGTAGTGTGGGTGTGTACAGAGGAGTGGTGCGCGTGTAGCGGCGCGTGCGCAGTGGGTGTAGTAACGTTGTAGTGTGGGTGTGTACAAAGGAGTGGTGCGCGTGTAGCGGCGCGTGCGCAGTGGGTGTAGTAACGTTGTAGTGTGGGTGTGTACAGAGGAGTGGTGCGCGTGTAGCGGCGCGTGCGCAGTGGGTGTAGTAACGTTGTAGTGTGGGTGTGTACAAAGGAGTGGTGCGCGTGTAGCGGCGCGTGCGCAGTGGGTGTAGTAACGTTGTAGTGTGGGTGTGTACAGAGGAGTGGTGCGCGTGTAGCGGCGCGTGCGCAGTGGGTGTAGTAACGTTGTAGTGTGGGTGTGTACAGAGGAGTGGTGCGCGTGTAGCGGCGCGCGGTGGAGCGGCGCGTGCGCAGTGGGTGTAGTAACGTTGTAGTGTGGGTGTGTACAGAGGAGTGGTGCGCGTGTAGCGGCGCGCGGTGGAGCGGCGCGTGCGCAGTGGGTGTAGTAACGTTGTAGTGTGGGTGTGTACAGAGGAGTGGTGCGCGTGTAGCGGCGCGTGCGCAGTGGGTGTAGTAACGTTGTAGTGTGGGTGTGTACAGAGGAGTGGTGCGCGTGTAGCGGCGCGCGGTGGAGCGGCGCGTGCGCAGTGGGTGTAGTAACGTTGTAGTGTGGGTGTGTACAGAGGAGTGGTGCGCGTGTAGCGGCGCGCGGTGGAGCGGCGCGTGCGCAGTGCTGGCGGCGGGTGGGCTGGCGCGGGCACACGTCGCGCACAGACTCGCCGCGCTACTGCTCGCAGGTATTGTACTAGTTCTTATTATAACTAATCATGAACAACTAAAACTAAGTTTATTTTAAATAACGACTAACACACTGCTGGCCACCATCTCGGGCTACCTAGTTGGGCACCTGTCTGGAAAGGGGCCGGAATTAGTGGACGGCCAGTTCGGCTTCCGCAAAGGGCGCTCCACGGTAGACGCCGTCATGCGCATGTGGGACTTCAGGACGGGGACTGCACTGGCCAGGGGGTGAGTCGTCGTGGCGGTGGCTCTGGACATCGCCAGCGCCTTCAACTTGTTGCCTTTGAGTTGCATTCTGGAGGCACTCAGGTTCCTGCTAACCTCCGTCATGTAGTCGAGGCCTATTTGACGGATAGATCAGTCATCTACCCCGGTCTGTTTCGGATCCACTAAGAGAAAACGCCCGAGGGTCGTCATTGTGAGGAACACCTAGACGATACGGTGGAGCATACGGTGGCGGTGTGCCTTGCCTGGGCTGAGCAACGCCGTGTCCTCAGGGAAGTGATTGGCGGCGGCGATCTTTCGCGCCCGGCCTTAGTTCGAAGCCATGATGGGGAGCGAGAGGAACTGGACGCCATCTCCTCCTTCTGTAAAACTGTTATGCTCGCAAAGAGGCAGGCGGACCGCGTGAGGGAGCAATGCGCAATAATCCTTAACCTCATGCCCCAGCCTCTATAGCAGGCGACATTCCGGGCGTCGGGGATCAAGAGACGATCTCCGGCTACCGTAAGCGCAGGTCAGAGCAGGAGAAGGAACTGGGGAGGGGGGGGGGGCTTTTAGTCAGTAAGAGTCTGACACTCCCTCCCCTTTACCCTGGATGGGAGAAGTCCTTTGATGACTTTCCTCTCACAAAAAAAACTTCGGTCACCGGAGGGTGTGAAACCGGCGACAGACGTCGCGCGGTCTTCCACAGGGATCAGTCCTGAAACCGCTCCAGTGGAACATCGGGTACACAAAAAACACACTGTTGGCTGTATTTTATTAATATTTGCAACATTTCTAAAACACAATATTTGGTGCCATTACATATAATAACATTTTTGCAATACAAATCGCAGAGGCTAAAAATTAAGTTCGTTTTTTTGTCTAGATTTAGGAGAATCTCTCTTAGAAGCATGGCTAGCAGACCTAGCTACGTGGCTCCGGAAACAGGTGTTCGTGGTCTTCGAGCAGCTCTCGGAGAAAGAAGCTGACTTCTTCCCGGACAGTCCGCCCAGGGACCTCAATATAGATGAGACTTGCACCGCTTTGTTGGAGAATACACCAGGTAAAACAGCGCACGTATTGTTTTGTTATGTGAGTTGTATCAAGTAACATCCCCCACCCCCAATCCGAAATCCTAATCCTCAATCCTCTCTCTCCAATTTCCAGGTACAATCACTTATCTCCAATCTTTAGTCTCAATTCTCCAATCTCCAGTTTCTAGTCTCCATTCTCAAGTCTCCAGTCCCCAGTCTCATTACATTACATTTTGAAAATTACATTCTTTTTTCAGCTCTACTGTACGTGTTTGGAGAGGAGACGGTGTCCCAGGCGATAAGACTGGTTGTGACCAGCTTCACACATAAAGAGGTCAACATGGATGTCATTTTCAGGACTTTGGACCTTTTCGCCGGACACTTCAAGAAGTCGGCCGGTCTCAGAAACCCTTCGTTTGATAACAATTAGTTTTTTTGTAGCAAGCAACCCTATAGTTTTTATTTTTCAATGAAATACCAAACCTGAATTTCAGTCAATTTGTTTCTTTATGTTATACAATTCAAATAAAAATATTCTAGTTCACTATTCTAGGTGTCAGACCCAATAGAGCCCCACAGATGGGGCTAATTAGGGCTGATGGTGATCTGCGGTTGCGGAGTGAGCGCAATAAGGCTTCGGTCTGGATCATGCAAAGGCACAGGTTTTAAGTCGGTAGGAGTCACATTGAGCGTGAAAAGTCAAATTCCTGCTCAAAATAAAAATCTGAGCTCAGTATGGGAGAGCCAAGCTTCGGCACGAATGGTTGGCTTTCCGTTGTTTCGACAGGAGCGACACCACGACCTCACAGAAAACCGACGTGAAACAACTACATCGTTGTGCTTCGCCGTCTGAGTGAGGTTACCGCAGTCGCAATCCCTCCCCCTCTCCCCATCCCTTCCGAATCCTTAAATATCTGAAAACCTTATCCCCAAAAGGCCGGCTACGCACTCGTTACTCCTTTGGTGTTCCGAGTATCCATGGGCGGCGCTGATTGCTTACCATCAGGATATTTATCCGAAAGGTCGTTTGCCAACGTTTCCCACGTTTTTTGCTAATTTTTAATTTGATAACTTTTACAATTTTAAAAACTTAGAAAGTAAGTTAATATGTTTATTGTTAATTTTTCTAGTCCTTGTTCATAGATCTGATGTTTCGATGTTGAAATTAAAAGATGTGATTATATTGAATGTTGTCTGATAAGCAGTATTTGAGATACATTCCATGACTATAAGAGATTTCTGTATTATAGAGATTACGTACTTATTATTGAGATTGTCTTTACAGATCTGGAAAACTCTTTGCCAAACAATAAAGATCTGAAAAAAATATACTACCTATATACTATTTTTGCCAAAGAAAAATATATTATATAATGCTTTCTCTATAGGTAATATAAAATAGTTTTTATTTTCGTTTTAAGTTATTCTTGTATTATATAATGTTTCAAAATCAAATTCTGTTTATATACCTAATATAAAAAAACTGTTGTTACCGTATTATTATCGATTTTATTATTTTGTATTATAAAATAAATAAAAAGTATTTCTTAACTAAATCATCTTTTATTTTTACACCTTACAATTCAATGTTATTAGATGGGTACCGTTGATATACTGTCTATGAAGGAACTTATTTATGATAGGGCTAGCTGTTGCCCGCGACCCCGCCTGCGTGGACCTCAGCTTACAGCGCGCAGTGGTTCCTGTTGGAATGCCAAGATAAATGGCTAGATTACCGCAAGAATTCCTCAAAATCCATTCAGTTGTTTTTGTGTGAGCAACAAACATTCCAAAATCTTCACAAATGTTCAGTTCAGTCAGTGTCCATAATATTGTCCACTGAGAGGTATTCGATAGTATTTCTCTGAACGTTTATTATGATTTGTTTATTTATTAATTACTAGCTACTATGGCGCGGTTTCACCCACTGCTTTAACACTCAGGAACATTGTAGTTATCTATCAGTGAAAGAATTTTGGAAATCCGACCAGCGGTTCCAAAGATTAGGTACCCCGTACATACAAACTTACAAATTTTGCCTCTTGCACTTGACAACTAAAGTCAAACGAGTTTGAGCATAATCTTCAGACTTTTGGCTTCTGGCAACCTGTCGTATCCGGCCTTAATTGAGTCCATGGTCCATGGTTTCCAGGCAGGTGGTAATGCCCAGCCACCGTCTCTGTTGAAGTTCAGACGCCGTCTTATTTCGTCCCGGTCCGACCGCGACACTGGAGGATGGAGATATGTTGATGTTTGGAGATATGTTGATGTTTGGAGATATATTGATGACGTGTTCGCCGTCATCAACCGGGAACATGTAGAGGAATTTATAGCACACCTAAACTCAGAGAGTATTTCCGCGTTTGTTATCGATTTTACTACATTTTTCGTTACTGCTCTGCTCCTAACAGTGGTGTATTTTTTTTTAAAAAAAAACAACGTTTCCTACACTTTTTTTCTGTCTGCGGACAGCGAGTAAGGGTAGCTCGCCGCCCGACCAGAACAAGACCCGGGCGTAAGCGAAGCCTTCAGCGCGGCCTCAGCCTAAGGCAGAAGAAACGGAAGGGTTTTTAGTCGGCAAGAGTCTACCACTTCCTCACGCCTCACACCTTGCGCGGGAAAAGAGAAGACATGTGATAATTTTTCCCTATCCGTCCGCCGTAAGACCACGCAAACCGTCGCAATTTTGTAACACCTATTACTTAAGTCAGTAAGAGTCTGACACTCCCTCCCGCCTACCCTGAGCTGAGAAGTCATAATCTAGGAGAAGGTCTCCCCACACTACATCTTCAGGACCGTGGTCGCCACTCGCGCAGTTTTCTGACCCATCGGGCGCCAGTCCTTAGGTACCATCGGGTAATCCTGAATAAATTAATTACAATAAAATAAAACGAATATATCCAAAAACCATATTAATTATTTTATTTATTCAAAATTCTAGAAAATTATATATCACAGAGATTGCATATTTGTTATTTAAGGACAATGTACGGATAGCAACACAATGATATCTTGCTGCTGTCCGTACTAATAACATTAAATTAATTACAATTATTACACACACAATACTAATGAAATATGTACAGTCGGCAAAAAGGGAAAATAGTTATGGCATAATTTTCGAATATTTGATTTATTTTATAATTATGATGCTGACTGTACATTAATTTTAGAAATTCCTTGGTACACGTGGGCTTTGAATTCTACCAAAAATTAACATAACCAAGGAAATTCATGTCTAATAAAATAATTTATAAAAACTAGGGTTTTTAACCTAACTAACTTAACATAGATTTAGTTTTTTACCTATCACTTTGAGCTATTACGTTTAAAAACAAAATAAAATTACTTACAAGTCTTACCAATATACCTTTAAACATTAAAACTACAACTATGTTTTACGGGCCCTTTTTACACTAAACCTACTGATGTAATTGTAGGGTGACTGGTAATTACTGACCGATAATTAAACACGTGATTGTACTCACGATAACAAACAACTTTGCCAAAGAAACTATTTTACTATACTCATTCATTAGTTTTAACTTTATTACTATGCAAAGTTCAAACGAGGTCGCGCGGAGCCTCGCCGCTAACAGCTGATCGGGTGCGAATATTGTTATAAGTAGGAATAAAAACTAATAAGTATAAAATAATTAAATATAAATTTAAAATTAAAAAAAAGCCGACACAAAAAACATAAGCTACCTTTTAAAAGTACAAAAAAAACTTAATTGAAATCGTTTCATCCGTTCAGGCGCTATGATGCCACATACACACAGACAGACACGTCAAACTTATTAAAGTTTTTGTTTTTTGTGACGTACAAGTCTTAACTTTTCATTTGATACCCCACTTGAGCATATTTGCAGACATTTGGTTTTTCTTCCCTACTTAACCCCCATAACTATTAAATGGCTCAATCGATCAATCATCAAACATGTCTAAGAACACTCGCCCGTAAAACAACTGTATTACAAATAAAACTAAATTGAAATCGGTTCATTCTTTCAAGAGCTATGATGCCACACAGACAGACTCTTTTTGCGTAGGGGGTTAAAAATTGTTTTTTTTGGGTTTTTTTTTTTGTTATCATATGAACAATTACGTGTTTTAATATCGGTCACTAATAACGTCGCCATAAACGTATATTTGTCAGATACGCGTAATAAAATGACGGCCAGTTCAATGACCGATCTGTAGGCAGATTAGCCTACAGAATAATAACTTTGAGTACTTGATAATAATCACTTCAATTCTAATTGTCCAACGGAAAGTGTTTCTATGTGTTTTGTGTATGTGATTCTGTGTTGCGACATCGTGTTTTTAGCGTCATGCGTCAAATAACATAAATAATTTTATTAGTTCCAAAAATACCTACGAATTAAGTCCATTGTGAATTCAATGAAAGGATTATTTTTTTAAGTTCGACTGAATGCCCCACAAAGGAGACAGATTGTAGTAAAAAAGAATAAAAAAAAGTTTGACTTAATCAAGTAGGTAAATACTCCATTTTATAATAGCAAATAAAAAAAATGGTGGATCTTTTATTGTAGGCAAATCTACTGGCAAATTGATTATCGAAATAAGATACAGATCGGCTAACGAGGAGACGGATAAACTGATGGTAAGCAATTTGCGCGTGGACACCAATGGGGTTAAAAGCGCTTTGCTAGTCTATAGTGGTTTATTAGTGATATGGGTAGTGAGGATAGTGGGAAGAGGAAGGGTCAGGGAGGAGGTATTTTTATCTGATGAATAAAATTGGCTATTAACCTACTTTTAGAGAATGTGAAACCAGCTGTTAATAAAAAAATCATATGAAAATTAAACTCATTAGTCTCTTTGAAATTCGACAATAAGTATAATAATAAGCCCGCAGGGCACCTTGAGGCGAGGTGACGGGAATTAGCGATCCCGCGGGCTACCATCATCCTGATTGCTCCAGGGAGGAGTCACCGTTCCTTATCTCCGGCTTGCCTTCATTGGCCGTCCAGAGTGGAGTCGGAAGAGTAGTGATCCTGCTCGGAGGGTGGAAGCTGTTCGTAAGCGGCGAGTGGGCCAGTGATGCAGGATGCTTAGGCAGATGCAGATGATCTGAGTAGAAAGCTGGTGGCAGTTTCTTCACCCTTCAGCCACTCACATTACCGTTGTCCCTCTGTCTGAATGGTTGCTGAACCATTCCCGGGGGCCCGGTCGGTACTAGCCCATAACAAATCACACTCAATAGCCTTGTATTTTGTTTCCATTATCCGCAATAGTTCTACACTAACCGGGGACTGTCCCTGGGTGCATTCTCATAGTGCATACAGGGATAGTCGCCGGTTTGTGTTCCATTTCATTTAGATTAAAGTTGTCTAAAGGGCTTCTGCGCAAATGACCGGGACTCTGTGGTCCCGTGATTGGTAGATATACATAATAATAATTTAACAATTAGCTACAATAATTAACTATCTATTATTTTCTGATTTAGAAATGTTACTGTGTCTTTTGTGTTAAACGATTATTTTATACGAGCTCTTTAATATAACAAGACATTACTTAGATTGTTTACCTTTAGTTAACTAAACTGATAATCTATAGTAAAATAATTGTTGGTAGATTTACCTACAAAAGAAAGAAGAATAGTGATATATTATTTTGTTCAATGTTGCTCTACAGAAGGGTTTTCTCCAATGTCGTGGGTGCGTTTACAAACATACAATTTCACATACACATCCCACCCAGACCAGGAACAACAATCTGTGGATCACATTCAGAAAGTGTTGTTCAATACGGGAATCGAACCCACGACACTGTGCAGTTAAATTATATAATTTTATGTAGTATTTGTATCAAAAAAAAAAAATATTCCCCAAATAGGGTAGGCAGAGGAGATCCTTAATGTCCTACATACTTGACTTGCCCCACCAAGTACATTCTTTGTCAAGAAAAAAATAATGCACGAAAAAATAAAACTTAAAGCTATGAGAATACAGTTGCAATTGCCACTAACTAAGCATTATAACGACAAAAATTCATACTCTACCATTGAAATCTAAACCGTAAACTCATAGTTTAAAGTTCTATTTCGCACAAATGACCCTAGAAAGAGACTTAAATATTATTTTTATCATTGTTTTCTTACATTACATAAAGGCTACTTTTTTGGTGCACTAGATGGCGGGAGTGTAGCTAATGGAGACTAAATGTTTATCAGCGCCATCTAGCGACAAGTTCATCGCTAGTACTTAGAGAGCAGTAACAGTGTCTAGATCCTCTGAAGTCATGATTGTCTCTGGAGAAGGAAGTTGTTCCACTTCAACTATATCTGACTCGATTTCTGATTTATCCGTGAAGCTTAAGAACATCTGGGGAAGAAAATTTTCATTTTTAAATGCAGAATCTAATAGACACAATTAGTATAAGAATGTTCTAAAATGTAATTATTTAGTCAATAATGTAATGAATTAAAATTATAAAGTTAGTCCTATGTTTCTATTTTGGCGGCGTATAAGAAAACTATACTTAGATAAAATTTTGTACCACTCAGTGAAAAATGTACCGAGTTATGACGTCATTCCATATTTCTAAACAATATATAGTTGAAAGTATTTGCAGTTTAAAATAAAAGTAGGTATTTGTGAATCAAAATAATTCAGGTTTCTATACAAACTCACAAGTTAAAAATCTTGGAAAATGAGTAAAGCTGACTAATGAATAAAGCTGCTCATTGAATGAAGTAGCTCATTATTTTCATTAAATTTGGTATGTCCCACGATAGTTTCAATTCGTAAACATTAAGTTGAGTTTTATACCTGTTCCAGCGAGCTCTGGTTGACGGTGAAGTCTTCAATATCACAGGTGCTTTGTAGTTCCGCCATCAGCCGGAAGATGTCGCTCAGACGAGTCGTAACTTCTTTCTGATCAACTGCAATACGATTTTTTTTATTAAATACTAAATAATGTTGTATCTGCGAGTTTTTTTTCAAAGTGATAAACCAAGCCGAATTTACCAACCTTTCTTTTCTTGAAAGAAGAAAGGTTATATTCGCCATCATAGATCCCCTCTAGGGGGCAACTATACATGACCTCACAGAAAGGCCTGTGCTCTAGATAGGAATATTTCTTGTCAGCTAGCTAAATATAAAAATAATGAGTAGAGTGCAATAGTTACCAGTGCAGTGCGTGGGCACGAGGAAGTGCAGCGTGTGTTGGTGCAGCACGCGGAGCTGCGCGTGCGGCGCGCGCCCCCCCACAGCTCGCCACGCGCTCCGCGGCGAGCTCGCCCCGCCCCGACCCACGCGGCACTGCACCACGTACCCGCCGCCGAACCTGCGATACGTTACTTATTAAACATACGATCAACAACCACTATGAAGCTATAAAATAATTCAAACATTTGATTGTCAACCACCCCTCACAGAATACCAGCATGTAGCAGTGATTTAATGTTGTTGCATTTAGTTTCGTAGATAAGTGGAAGTTTTGAATAGGTACTCAAATAATTTTAGGTGTGCCATGCTGCTTTCCAGGCAGAATACTGTCGGCGTCTTACGATTCTCCATTTCCATTTTTCATTCACAACGATAATACTCAAATTGTTTTTATTTTACTCCATCCATACAATTTACAAGAAACCGAAATCTTAAGCAAAAACATCGTGTTCTGAATGTACCTTTGCAGACAGTCCTCTAGCGGCGCGAGCGCGACGAGGTCCCCGGCGCGCAACAAGGCGACGCGCGCGGCGAGGCGGCGCGCGTCCTGCAGCGCGTGCGTCGACAGCAGCACGCCGCGCGCGCGACCGCACGCCGCGCGCACCCCGCGCGACACGCAGCCGCGAGACACTGGGTCCATGCCGCTGCAACATACAGCATCAACGCATGCTCGGTACTTTCAACTTATAAATCTAACTAGGTAGGCAGGTCTGGCAGATAAAGATAATATATAAAAACATTCTGAGATTTACGACAAATCGCGTCAAATTACTTGTGTGTAATTTTTGGTAGGTACCTATGGTTGTCTTATAACAGGCCTAGAGCAGGAGAAGGAATGGAGACGTAGTCTAGTTTTTAGTCAGTGAAACACTTCCTCTCATCTCACCCTTGCGGGAGAAGTCATTTGCCTTCTTTTTAGGTGGATGCTCGACGGATGTAAAAAGGGTTGTCGAACGAGTATATAAGGAAGTCGGTACAGGGAGGCTTGTATAAGCCAGTATCTACAGTAGATACGACCATGAACACTAAAGTCCGCCGCGTCCCAGGGACATTGATAACTGTTTTGAATCCCACGACGTAATAAATAAGAAAATATTATTTGAGGAAAAAAAATGAAATATTATATTTCTACCTTTCTAGAAATCAGTTAACATACCTGGTAGGTTCATCGAGTAAGACTAGCGGTGTCCTGGCCATGAACGCGATGGCAGTGCACAGTTTCCTCTTGTTCCCTCCGCTGAGGGTGCCGGTCAGCACGTCGGAGTACTTCGTCAGGTCGAACATTTCCATCGTGCGTTTTATCACCTGGAGCAGGTTAGAATTAGAATTAACATGGTGATGGAATGACGTCATTGGACCAGAAGATTAATATGCCAAAAGTTGGTAGCATGACAATAACTAGTCCAATTTAATTCATCATCATCATATCAGCCACAGGACGTCCACTGCTGAACATAGGCCTCCCCCATTGATTTCCAGACAGGCCGGTTGGAAGCGACCTGTATCCAGCGGCTTCCTGTGACCTTAATCAGGTCGTCCACCTTGCGGGTGGACGTCCTAAGCTGCGCTTGCCGGTATGTGGCCTCCACTCGAGAACCTTTCTGCCCCAGCGGCCGTCGGTTCTACGCGCTATGTGCCCTGCCCATTGCCACTTCAAATTTAAATATTTTATTGAAATGTCAATAGCGATATATTTAGTATGAAATCGAAACATAATTATGAAATCATGTTTTACGTTAAATTCTTACTTTTTTGAAAAAAAAATAGCTAGAAATAATCTGAAATGAAGAATTTCGTGAAATCAATGAATTAAAGTTTGATTATGACAAAGTTTTTATGAAGGAATAGCTTTTCTTAGTTAATTCGGTGGAGTTACTTTAATAAATAGTTTATAAAGGCACTAAAGGCGTTACCGTATCTCATCATAAAAAAATATTTAGGTATCATAGGTCAAACGCACTTGAACAGTCAATAAATCAAGATAAAGTATTCTGTTGTTCAAAACCGTCATAATATAAGTGACAAGGAATGTATCCTCACCTCTTCCTGATCGTCAATGCCTCGCAGCTTGCAGTAGAACCGCAGCGTCTCACTGACAGTCAGGAGGCGATCTATCGCGTCACTCTGAGGGCAATAACCTGCAAACAAGGAAAATGTTTTTAGTAGTCTGGGAGAGCCATGCTTCGGCACGAATGGGTCGGCTCGACCGGAGTGATACCACTACCTCACGGAAAACCGGCGTGAAAACCACAGCGTTGTATTTCGCTGTGTGAATGAGGTTACCGGAGGGGTCCTTCCCCTCTCCCAATCCCTAAAACTCCAAATCTCTAATCCCTAAAAGGTCGGCAAAGCACTCGTAACTCCTCCGTTGCGGGTGTGGCGGGGGCAGCGCTGATTGCTTACCATCAGTAAATCCGTCTACTCGTTTGCTAATCTATTACATAAAAAAAATGTATTATAACGTGATAACAGCCTTTGGACGGATGACAGAACAGGTTGTATAGTTCCTCATTCTCCATTAGAAAGGGAGGATCCTCCGACCAGACACGTGTTCTGTCCAAACAACAAATCTTTTTCCACCTAGCGCAAACTTTAGTTGCGCAATCAAGCAATTGAGGCGCCATCTGTTGAATATTGTCCTTACTAAGTGATTGGTGCTGTTGCTGCGTATCGTGCCACAGATATCGCTACAAGCCTTACTTTGTGTTTGTATTTACTGAAATTGCCAATTGTAGAACGTTATTTAGAACTGGAGGACATATGAGTGGAAAACATTAATGCTACAATTTAATAATTTAACATTAATATTTAAAGAATTTAATGCTCACAAACAAATGGATCCCCTGACACCAGAATTCGATGCGAGTGCATTGCTAATCTTTGGGGGTTAGAGATTTAAGAATTTTGGATTGAGGGATTGGAAACAGCCATGTCGAAGCATAGCTCTGGGAAAGCCTGCACTTAAAAAGTTTGTTTACTTACTAATGAGTCCATTCCTGCAAAGTTGCGTGGAGTTGACAAGTTTGTTGTTGAGGTACAGCTGTCCGGAGGAGGGCCGCACCTCTCCCGTCAGCATGGAGAACGTGGTCGACTTGCCAGCACCGTTCTGACCCAAAAGAGCTGTGCACTGTTGGGAAATAAAAAGTAATGATAGTATATGTCTTAGTGAAATTAAGATTGATTTTGCATTGTTTGTCTGTTTTCCTGTCGGGACCGAAATGATACAGGCAAATGGAAATGATACATGACCCATAATGGGTCAGTGTGATTCCGTTTACGCTCGCCAATGTGTCTAAAGGCAAAGTCAAAGTCAATCTCCAATCAGTCAAAGTCTGGAATGTCCCTAAACAGTGCGCTTGTGTAGCAAGGGTCTAGAAGACTGGCCACCACGATAACGACTCGGCTAGCTACGGTTATTAATAGGTCGTTTTAGAAATGTGAGATAATCCTATCAATTTCTAGAAGAGCATAAACTTAGATTTAATGATGTAACAAAGAAATGAATAATATGGAACTGATTGAAAAAGAGTAACCATTGAGTTTCTCGTTCGTTCTTTTCCGATAAATAGCTTCACTATGAGGACTGACCGACATACTGACATATACAAAGTCGAACTCTTTGACATTATGTTTGTTTGACGTTCAAAAGTGTCTATTTGAAGTAAATAATTTGACTTTTACTTTGGCGAAATAGGTAAATGATTTGACTTTGACTTTGACTTTATATTTTTTTGACGTTGAAAACTGCCCGTAATTGTCTATTTGAAATATATGATTTGAATTTGAGAGTACTGACCTGTCCGGGTGGTATGCCGAGTGTGAGGTTGCGGAGCGCGACGTTGTACCCTCGGAAGGCCGGGTAGCACTTGGACAGCTCCACGCACTGCGCTGCGTCACAAGATGGCGGCACCACGCGCTGCAAGGAACCCTTCTTGCCCTCCGTGTGAATGTAGCCTGTAGATTGTAAATTGTACAGACTTGAAAACGAAACTCCAAGCTAACAGACTACCACTGTGACCCAATAGTGCTGATGTTCAGCCAAGGTTTCTGGACAACCGCAAGGTGCCATGGCATAGTCCTGGAGCAGCAGAAGGAAAGGGGCGGTTATCAGTCAGTAAGAGTCTGTCTCTCTCTCTCTCACTTCAACCTGGGCAAGAGCTGAAGTCATTAGACGATTTTCTCCTCACAAAAAGGCCTTTCTTTCTTTTTATACGACTTCTATAGACTTCTATTCGTGGAGACTTCTATTTTGTGCCACCGACATGTAATGCTCTTCGTGCAATGGTCAGAATATATAACATTTGTTCTTGAGACAGTAAAGTCTGTCTTGTTGTCAAGTAGTGAGAAAAATTTTGACGTGTTTTTGTCTTAGTGGTGTAATACTGCAAACTTAAATATAGGAGATCCATACTTCGGTTCCAATGAGCCAGCTAGAGCGGAATTATAAAACGGACTCGCTTAAAACCAGCGTGAAACAATCACAGTTTTGAAATGTGAAGTACCCGGAAAGCAGTCCTAACTTCTCTGGTGCTACGGTTGTCTATTAGGCGGCGCTGATTGCTTACCATCATAGGGTACCTAATCCGTCTGCCGTAGAAAAAAAAGAAATTGTCTCAGTAGTAAAGAGTCTGGCAAAGCCGCCTGATTGTTAGCATTTACCGCATCATTATCACGCTTGTTAAAAGTATTAGGTTATTACCAATGTTTAATTGCTTCATTATCTCCAAAGAGGAGTGCTTCTTGAGACTTGCTAGAAATGTAAAAGTGCAGACCTTTATCTGAAGATAAGTAATCAGAGCCGTTCATGGTCACCCACAACTATATAAGTGGGATGCCGTTTATGGGTTAGTTTTCTGAGATTTAAGGATGAAATACAACGTTGTGGTTGTTTCACGTCACTTTTCGGTGATACTGTGGTATCATTCGGGTCGAGCCGAAGCTCCTCTACACTTGTAGTATATAGCGTATCTTGTTCTTCTGCGGTGACTTATTATAGATGTAAGTATGGGGTATTTTGTTATACAGTAATTGAAAATCTTTATAAAGTTAGTACCTAAATGAAAATCCTCAGTAAATGAGGCCCAGTATCTCTCTCTCCCTATTCCATCTCAATCATTAAATATCCGAAAACCTTATCTCTCAAAGGCTAGCAACACTTTTTTAAGTTCCTTTGGTGTTTCAGGTAATTCGTCTGGCCGTTTGCCGACGTATTCCATAAAAAATATTACTATCTTACCTCTGTTAATATTCCCGATGGTATTGACCCGCAGCGGCGCGGCGTGCGCATGCGTGCGCGCGGCGAGCACGCGGCGGCGCTCGTCGCGCACCTCGCGAGACTCCAGCTCGCCGCCTCCATGCGCGGCCACGCGCTCCGACCTCAGTCTGGGGGGGACAACCACACCATCATACATTAATAATCTTTGACTAGGAAAGTTTTTAACGTTACAAAAGGAATAGGTTATTTTTAATTTTTGAAGTGTGGGAGAGCTATGCTTCACGAATTGGTCGGCTCGACCGGAGTGATACCACGGCTTCACAGGAAACAGGAGTGAAACAACCACTGCGTTGTATTTCGCCGTATGAGTGAAGTTATCGGAGGCCCAATCCTTCCCCTCCCCCAACCCCTCCTTAATCCCTAAATCTCCAAATCCCTAATCCATAAAAGGTCGGCAACGCACTCGTAACTCCTCCTTTGCGGGTTTCCATGGCCGGCGCTGATCGCTTACCATCAGGTAATCCGAATGCTCGTTTGCCGTCCTATCACATAAAAAAATTATGTGTTGTTACATTATAAGTTCCTAAAGTAAGTAATCACACTTATAGTGCTAATGACACAGACCTGGCTAGCAAACCATCGAAGCAATTGTACTCTATGGCGAGGTTGAGGAGCTGCAGGACTGTCCCCACCACCACCAGGTACACGCAGTGGTACAGCACCAGCGAGCTAGAGAACGGGTCCTTGTACGTTTCCATACCAAACCGGTTCAGCACCTGGTGGAAGAAAAAATACACCTTATTTAGAAAGAGGAAAAGTTTGTTTTTGTTTAAATAGTTGTTGTTGTGATTACCAGTTGATAAAAAAGTTTTTATACTGCAGCCATACTTTAACACGTACCTATAGACTGCCTCAACCGAAGTAATGCCACACAAAGGCCAAATTGAAAACGTCAATAGAGATTATGTGTATCAGGATTTTAAAAAAACAGCGTTTAAAGCGATAGTGCGACTACAATACCCAAATCATGTACCTACCTATAATTTTTATACTATAGCACTCAGGAATATTGTAATATAAGTAAAATGATTTTGGAAATCTGACCAGCGGTTCCGAAGATGCGATCCCTACATGCAAACTTATAAATAATATTAGTATAGACATGGGTGGCGCTGCTTGCTTACCATAAGACGCTCACTAGCCACAAATACCTTAAATAAAACCACTTTCTGTTGTCAAATATATTTGATGTAAAATAATTTCTTCCCTTATCAACATTTGTCACACATACTTACCTAGAATTATATTTCAAGGTCAAGCTAGCTGAATTATGCGTAAAAAATCCAGCCCTAAGTTGCATGGAAACTAATATATATAGTTAAAGATAAGTTGTCTACGGCTACCAGGGTAGATACTAATAATAATAATTATTATGTGACTCACTTCAGCCTGTATGGTGTTCTTGGCGATCTCCAGCAATCCGTCTCCGAGCGCGAACTGCGGCGCCAGCATGAAGAACTTGTGTAACACGTAGCGAGCGTGGTCTGTCTCCTGTGGGGGGTAGGGGGAGGGGGAATGTGTCATCATGTGTTAAAAACTGAACAGGATCAACCACTTATGATTTGTTAAACTTTAGGACAAAAGCAGTATGACTTTCAAGTCACACTCAGGGGCTCTTACTAACTCATAAGCAACTGAATCACAGCTTTCTTCGAGTAGTTAACGTGACGCGGTTTAGAAATATTTTAAGTACTAATTTACTTAGGGAGGAAATCCAAAATAGGCATTATTATTAAACCCACACTAGGTTTTCGCCTGGGCGCGTTTATAAACTTACAATTTCACACACAACACACCCAGACCCACAACAATTTGTGGATCATACAATGAGATGATTTCTATGGGCAAATCGACAGCAGGTTGCCCATCCTTCACATCAATATTGCAGAATGAACTTCCAGTGCTTACCTCAGACTCGGAGATGATGTCAAAGATGAGGAGTATGGCAATGAACGTGAGGCCGATGAACGCGTTGCCACAGAACAGCACCATGTTCGCCATACTTGGCTCCGAGAATATCTTCTCGAACAAATGCACCAAAGAGCCGCAGGCAAACCTGTTGATGTGGTTCTAATAAATAAGGAGTTATAACGTAGCGAATATTAATTTTTGACGCCCATAAAAGCTGTACCACCCTTACCTACACGTATACACGTAAGCGTAATATGCACTAAACCATACAATATGGCAGTTATTTTATGGAGCATTTGAAAAAAGAAATTGTTTTTTTTTTAGAGATTTGAGTTGTGTTGAAAAAATAGAAACGGATATACTTATGTTAAAAATTCATTTAACACCAATATAATCATCACAAGTTTTTTTTTATTTATTGTAATTTTCTAATTTAGGCTTCTGTTTTACCGCCGTGGTATGAATTGTCCGATACACTTATTGTGGTTCTAGTATGTTCAAATCCATGTTGCACTCATAATGACCTTTTTAAATGTTATTCCTCCATTCGGATCTCCCGAATCAATATTTCTAATCCACAAAATGCCGAGTGCTGCGGGTGTCCATGGGCGGTGCCTATTGCTTACCATCAGATAACCAGTCAGCTCGTTTGCAATCGTATCAACATTTGGAACGAACACCTAGCGCCGCTGACAGACTATTTCTTATTTAACGTTTTAAAAGTCGCTGCTTAAACCTAGTTAAGTAAGAATATTCTTTTTTTACTTTTGACTTAGTTTTTAAATAATAATACCTACTATAAAATTCGGAACAAATAGCCATTACAATAGGCTGTTTAATTATACCATGTCTTACCCGTATAACATGAGCAGTATGCAGATGGCCGGCAGGTTGTTCCGCGCCACAAACACGGGGAATCCGAATGCTGTCATCACAATCGCCGTCACACCGACGTTTATTGCCATTATCTGCAACATGATAAGTCACATCACATCAACAAGAGATAATACAGCTCACACATCAGAGATATTTTCTGTATTTGTTTTCTGGCTTTAGGAAAGAAGAAGAAAGAAAGAAGAAGAAAGAAAAACCATTTATTACGATTGAAATTAGGATTGAACCTAAACAGTTCGAGTTTATTTACGATAGCCTAAACTAAACCAAATAATGATAATTTTTATTAACTGATCCATCATCCAACATACCATCATATCCCAAACAAGAGCCGTAGTCCAGTACAACAGTGGACAGACTCCACAGAGAAGCTGCAGTCTCTTCTCCTGGGAGCGTCGCGCGCCCACGAGGTAGATGGCAGCACCAGCGGTTACGAGGCAGTAAGCCACTAACACTAGCCCTGAGATCCCAGCGTCCGCAATGTGTTGGTATCTGGGTTGGTAGAAAATAGAATGAAAGCCAGATAAATTTTTTCTGCCTTAAAAAGGCTCGAAATTCAACTAAAAGAAAAAACTTTTGCTCATTTTATGTAAAGTTTGTGATATAAAATGTACGGAAAGAAAGAAAGAACTTGAATTTCGCATTTATTAGAAAAAGAAGAAAGAAAGAAGAAGTCTTTCATCTTCTTTCTTTCTTTCTAATAAAATGTAGTTAACACAGTGTTAAAATTTATTGTGAACTTTTTTTATAAAAAAGATGGCGCTAATTTTTCTTTGAAAATAAGTAAAAATAATTTTGTACTTACACTGTAGCTTTGCTGATGGGTTCTTTGGAGATCTTGAGTGGATGTGTATATGTGGTGATGTTAGCAGTGGGCATGCCAGACACAGCTCGAAGAATGGCGTTGTTGGCCGCGTTAAGGTAGGCTGGCAAGGCGTGTTGACCCTTGTTGTTGTACCAGGAGATCATATTCGTCAAGTTGTTCTTTAGGGTCATTGAGTAGCCTCCGTACCTGACGAAAAGAATAATATCGATTAGAGTACTTGCCAAATGCAATGTGATTTCCTACACTCACCTTTAAGACACATAGAAATACATAAAATATATGTAGGTAGGTGCCACAAAGTTGGTAACAGTCTCGTGGTCGGTTGATGGTTTACAGAAAAAAACCTTCTATTAATAACTGTGTGTTCTCATCATATTTCACTGACCTACCGTTTTAGACAAGCAAAAACGTGGTTGTACAATAGGACTGTATCCTCTGTTATGTGTATAATGTGTAAATAGTAAATAAGGCTCGGATAAAAAAAGACAATTTATGAAATACACAACCTAAAGTATCGTTCACTGATCATATCTAAATCTTTTTATTTATCTATACTATTACTATAATAATAATCTACACTAATATTATAAAGAGGTAAAATTTGTAAGTTTGTATGTAGGGGGTAATCTTTGGAACCGCTAGTCGGATTGCCAAATTCTTTCACTGATAGATAGCTACAATATTCCCTAGTGCTATATGCTATAAAACATCAGGCTACGATGAAATGGAGCTGAGCAGAGGGTGAAATCGTGCGAGAGTAGCTAGTTTATGGTATAATGAGGGTAATTAGCAGACGGATCACCTTATGGTGACCAATCGGCCTGCCCAAGGAGACCCTCATTAATAGAGGGGTTAAAAAATTGCAGTGCCGGGCGTCCAATTGGTTGGTGTTAGGAATTTGGGGTTTGGAGATGAAGTAGGGGAGGGGAGGGATTGGGCCTTCGGGAACTTTCCTCACACGGAAAAACATAACATAAGTATTATTTCACGTTGTTATGCTGTCTAGCCGGTTTATTGGACTGATCCACTCCGAATCTCGACTCGACACTAGTTATATGATAGTTGATATTGCATACCTCTTCTCGATGTATAACTCCTGTGTATCCACCAGCCACTTGTTGAGGGCTGTGGAGTCTGGCACCAGCATCATCTCCGGCATAGAAGTGGATTGTTCCTCTGTAAAGTTGCAGTGCTGTCTCGTCTCCGTGCACTCACATTGCGGATTGTCCTGCGAAGAATGAAGATGTGGGAGAGTCCATTAATTTTTGTAATATTCATTTTAGGGAAATTCAAATGAGTCAGACCACCATAGGGTGGGTTGGGTCGGAATAGCAGAAAGAGTCAGGATGGCTTTCAGACAGTACCTACGAGTTTGATAGTATCGCGCCCCACACAGGAAGGGGGAAGCCATTTGATCAAACACTCTCTTAAAAAAAAGTTCTCAAATGTTTGAATGAAAACTTAAACTAACCCTTATACTAAGCTTGAGTAACCATCAAAAATGATTTTGTCTAAGGAGCAGTGGCATAAGGTTTATAATGATTTCGTGGTTAATTATAGGTATGGCAACTTTATAAAGAGTCAGAGAAATCGGAACAACAGCCAAGATCATAACCAAACACCAGACAAATTTCTGACATATTTACAACACCATTGAGTGAATTCGCAAAAGTATAACTTAAGTTATGATGATGCCGATGAGTTCCTTTTGTTTTTTATTATTTTTATTTTTATGTTAGTAGATATAAGCAGTATGGTATGTTTGTTGTTATAACATGTTAATTTGTATATATTTGTTTTTAACCCCCGAACGGAAAAATAGGGTGTTATAAGGGTATCGTAAAAAATAGTAGATATTAAAAAAAATGGAGCGATCATATTAATCATTAATCAACGCAACTTATTTTTGTTATGTTTTAACAATTTTTTTGTTTTCGTTAAATAATATTATTTTCCTTTTTTTTCTATGTTTGAAAAGCAATGACATTTTACTTAAGGCTGATTTCTAAATGGTAAGATAAAAGTTATCTGGGGAACAATTATGATGCTGTCGTGTCAGAATGTTTGTATAAGACAGTGACAGGAACAATTTTATTTTTCAGATAACATAAATCTGACTATTGAGAAATCAGCTTTTAGTTATACTGTAAGCCTAACTGTCGAATTGGGAAACTTCTGTAATGACGGTATAGGAAGATCTTATAATTAAATAAAGTTCTTGACAATCTTCGTGTACGTACCGCCCTGGTCCAATTCTTAGTTTGTTTGTCCATCATCAGGTAATGGAGGATGCTCTCCACAAACTTAGGGTCCACGTATTCCGATGGTACAGGTGGTGGTCTGTAGACAAAAACGTACTTTATAATATCGAACCGAAAGTTTATTTTAGCTGGACACTGAGAAAGGCCTACTGGAAAGGATTATTTTTGCATTAATGTCTACTCACACTAAGAACTCAGTCGATGGCCGGTAAAGTTGATCGTCGAGCTTGAGGGCGATCTCATTGTCTGCAGGAGGACGAAGCATGGAGAATGCCATGGCCACCGTCACGAACACCGTCGGTAGCACAACTAGGAGGAACATCAGCCACCTGGACAAGAACAGAAGTCAATTAGGTATTTGAACTTCATATAGACTTTAAGATTTCCCCTCCCCCAATCCTCCCTATATTCTAATTCGCAGGAGTCCAGACTTGGGTAAATTGGACTTCCATTCGCTGATTTTCCTTCTCTGAAGACTTCCATCATCATACTTATTATTAAGGGTTTATAAAAACTGGCTTTCGGTAATATTCGCATCGCTTGCTGTATCGTTTGTTGCGCTACTTTTTTCATAACTGTAAGTCCCAACAAGACTTGAAATTAGTCGAGTTAACTCGTAAAACTTTTATGTAGACCTTAAAATATTTTTTCTTCTACTAGTTTTATAAAGGTACGTACCAGTTTCTACTATGATGCATGTATCTGGCATACATGAGCGCCTTGAACTGCTGCCAGGCGGTGCCCTTCAGTGGACCATCAGGTGAGACCAGGTCTTGCTGAGCTCGGTCTGTGCGGATGCTGGAGTTGGACGCACTCTTCGAAGGACAGCTGTCAACCACTGGTGAGAAATGATTCAGAATGTATTAAAATTTGAAATTACAAAATATTCTTTGGTTAAAACGTTGTTGGAAGTTTTATAGTCCACAACTGGACTTAGGTGTTTCTTCTACATAGAAGGGCTTGTCATAATCTCTCAGAACGGATTTGATGGTAAGCGATCGGAACCTGAACTCGAGATCCATAACAATTGAGGAGTTGCAATTGCGTAGCCAGATTTGGAGATTGGAAGAAATGTGGATGGGGATGGGGTAAAGTTTTCTTCTTCGGTTACCGGTCGGTTTACAAGTCGGTTTTCTGTGAGGCCATGTCTGTCTTGGTCATGAGTGTGTAGCACTTCGGTCGAGGTGACGTTTTTGTACCAAAGCATGGCTTTCCCACAATTAGACTGTTTTGTTTTCTATATTATCATTTTTTTTTAAGCTAAATAATAAATTAATGCATTACCATACTCGATTCCGTTTTGCGGAGCATCAGCCTGCTGGCAGATGTTGAAGAACACCTGCTCTAGGCTGCTGCAGTCCAGGGTGTAGTTTCTGAAGCCAAGTGCTGACTGTGTCGCTTCCAGCACCGTACATAATTGTAGGAAGCTGGGAGAGAAAGACAACAGAATTAAATAACAGAAAGAGTAGATAGGGACAGAAATGACACACATTTCGACTGTACGGTTGCCGCAATGGCTGGCTGCCACCCATCGTGTTCGATTCCCGCACGGAATAACACTTTGTGTAATTCACAAACTGTGTTTTTGTAAACGCATCCATTTAACAGGAGAAATTTCTGATATGGGGCAATGTTTTATAATAGTAAAGTTTTGTTATAAAAATTTCAAACCCGATAAAAAAAGTCGGAAACATGATGTACATATTATATATATTTTTTTTAATAATAATAAAATTTATTGAAGAACACATAAGATTTAAGCAAAACTGTATATTCTAGATTATGTGTTCTTCAATAAATTTTATTATTATTAAAAAAAAAACATATTATATATTGTATGTCATGATATTTTTCGTTTCTTTTTATATTTAACCAAATCCCAATATCAATTTTGCAAATATTTGTGGCGCCACTGAGCGATAAAATATGAAGACATTACAAATAACCACCCTGGCTAGTGTCTTCACGGCATCATAGATGGCGCTGGTGTAATTCTTCAAAAATACTAACGAAAAAATTTTAATTATAATATATCAATACTAACATTGTATAGAGGTAAAATGTATAAGTTTGTATATAGGGGGTAATCTGTAGAACCCTGGTCAGATTTCCTAAATTCTTTCAATGATAGATTGCTACAATGTTCCTGCATGAATATTACTCGATTAGCGTCGCGCGCGTCTTTAAACGTCGCTGTTTTTAAAGTCCTGGGATACAAAAATGTTATTCGTATTTCATAAGTTGAACTTCAAAGGTTATAAGTGCTATAGGCACGCTATGATCAAGTTCCGAGCCGCGGGTGAAACCGCGCGAGAGTAGCTAGTAAAATAATTACATAAACTATCTAACTAATTATCTTATACAGGGTGTAAAAAGACACTTAACGAAGCCGAAAGCTACGTATTCCACCCATTATTTGGAACAATTTTTTCTTTAAGACCATAGCTGGGACTCCACTGGTTCTCGAGATATTGAAGGTCAAAGATGCATTTTTAAATTTTTTTTTTGCGCAATCGAATTCTAAGTATTATTACAAAACTTTTTTCCAAACAAACATTACCTACCTGAATTTTCGATTTTTCTAAATAAATTACGCATTTGAAGTTACGAACAGTAATGTACGTAATAAATAAATGCAAACCCGCACAAAAAACATCGTGCATCTCAGTAGGATTTTTATTTTACAGAATCGTTTTGTTGTTGTGAAGTAAAATGTCGACCTACGTACTTATCACAGCGTTTCAATGCTAAGCTGTGAACCTACGCACACAATGACACGAAGCCCGTTTGCTTTACATTGCGTGCAATAAAATTATTATTTTTTTTGATACCTAAAAATAAAAGTCGTTTCCCAGTGATAATTTTAGCGTAAAGCTACTTAGTTAGAACTGCAATATGCGTAGTTAACGGCTTCGTTAAGGGTCATTTTACACCCTTTATATAACTACATACTTATTATTCAATCCGTTGGCATCGAAGAATGGTAATGCAATTTCAACTTCATTTCCATTAACATCAACAACGTTCGCGTTCTTGACGACATCTCGGACCACGGTCAGCAACTGTTTGGTTTTCTCCTCCTGACTGCTTTCTTCCCACATTTCATCGTGATCCATGTTCGGTGCAGGGTACATCACAGTCAACTTATAGCCATTACCTAGAGTCCTTTTGATTTCTATCGGAGATCCTGTCGTGTGAATTTGGCCCTGAAAGTATGAAGAAAATGTAATGTAATTTTTTTGGTTCAGACTTTCGAAAAAATCACCGTTCGAACGGAGTCTACAAATTGTGATATGTTTATAGCAACGTAATGAACATAATTGATAATCAGAATATATTACTGGCAACCCCTTCGAGGTGAGGAGTCATATTCACTTCATGCTATAAAATGAAGTCGCTTTCTCTGACATAGGGACATAGGTTTGCCTTAATCTTTAAAACTACGCCATATATTTTGATGTCCTTTTTTGAAAAGTCAGATTTGTATAAGAGGAATCTTTATACGTATAATAACATCCATTAAATAGTGGAGAAATTTACTATCTTCATTGCATCATATTATCATTGAAGCTGTGGCGGTAAAATATGGCGAAAAATCGATGGAAAGTCTTAAAAAACCTTACAATAAAATAAAAAAGAGGTTTTCATTTCTCTGATTATGGAGTTTCCAACCAACAAAAGGAGGTCAAAGTGGTTTCTACCGTGTAGTTGAGACCGGGGTCTCTATCATCATTATCTTGACATTTCAATTAACACGAACTATTACCGTAACTTATTTGCTTTTAATATTAGCATGAGTTTGGTTGGCGAGGATTTTGACCGGTTCCCGCCAGACCGGCTACCGTAGTAACCACGGACCTCCAAGAAAATTCGTTGAAAAATCCCTTAGTAAGAAATGGCAGGAAAACTTTACTAGCGCGATGTAGGATTTTTGACATTTACGCATAACCTATCACCTTAATCTTAAATGTTTTAATCAGTATGGTTGATGAATTCAATAAGGAATTTTGTAAAACATTTTTTTCAAATAATTACTCGTATGTGTATTGTAATTTCAAGATTTTGTATCCAAAAAATGTTTAATGTGTTCTCCTGTAAGCGTGAAAGAGATGGTAGATGTAAGTTTTCAAGCTATTTGATTGGTCAGTTGTAATGTTCACCCCTGGTTTATAATATGAAGCCCCGCCCATTCATTGATCAGTCACCCCGAGTTGATTTCAGACAAAGGTTCTTTGCTTTTTTATTAAATCAGAAGTTGAGTGGTTGAAACTCAACTTGTGATCTAATAAAACTACTAATGTTTTAAAGATATACGTATCTAATGTTTGAGAAGAGAGAATTGCCTAGTACATAGTTAAACTAAATCGCAGTCCTTGATGAAAAAAGCCGGTTTAAGAACATCTTTTTATTTATATGGAGTTGTATTGGAAAAGAAAAAAAGCGTTGATGAAATAATAATAAGCTACCTAGTTATTTGGATTAATTATATTTGTCTGGTACGAGTTCAAATATGCCTTTAATGATAATTGAGTACTTTTATGCGATTGAGAAATAACTTGCAGACTGTCCGGTTGTCGCAGTGGCTGGCTGCTGTGCAACGTGTAGCGGGTTCGATTCCCGCACGAAACAACACTCTGTGTGACCGAAAAATTGTTGTTTCGGGTCTGGCTGGTTGCCCCATGAAACTGTGAGAGAGTAGCTAGTGTTGTATACAATTACGGACTTGAAAAAACACTAACACAAACGCACCCACGACACAGGAGAAAATGAAAGTAAAAAACCAGTAGACGGATCACCTGATGGTAAGCGATAGGTACTCTAACACCAGAGGAGTTACAAGTACGTTGATAGGTTTTTTAAGGATCAAGTCAAAGTCAAAAATCATTTATTTCAATTAGACCACAGTAGGCACTTTTGAACGTCAAGCAAGCAAAAAAGGAAAAAAGTATATAACAAGAGCTTTAAAATTAAGCGTGTCTGTCCGTCTGTCCTCTAGTGAAGCTATTTGCTCGTTCCAAATGGTAGATTCCTATGGAGAAGAACGAGCAAGAAACTCCATGGTTACTCTTTTTCAATCAGTTTTACAACACAAATTTCTTTGTTACATCATTTAGTCGCTTCTAGATCAGGGAAGGAGATATTACCTTATGCATTATGACGATCTGGTCGCTGAGGAGTTCTGCCTCGTCCAGGTGGTGAGTAGTCAGCAAGATGGTGCGGTCTTCCTTCAGCTTCACAATCATCGACCAAATGTCCCTGGAAGTGGATGTTGCTTAACCAAATGTTGTAGGAGTAGGTTTATATGTATGTCGTGGTGGTTAAGGAGTCCCGCTTCTCATGCATGAGGGTGCGGGTTCGAAACCTGGCCAGTACCAATGTGACTTTTCCGAGTTGTATGTACTTTTCTTTAATTAAGACACCACTGACAAGGTGAAGGAAACATCGTGAGAAAACCGCCGTTTGAAATCGTCAATCCGCCTTTAGCAAGCGTGGTGATTAATGTTCAAATCTTCTCCGTGTGAGAAGAGGCCTTTGCTCAGCAGTGGGCACTTATTGGCTGATAATGGGATGTGATATATGTTATACTTATGTATCAATATTTGTAAGGGGCAGAGGCCATAGTGCTTCCATACTTGTCTTAGTCCATAGCCACCCACGCCCATAGTCATACTATAGCTATTGGCTATAGCAGATAGATTTTATAAGTTTCAACCATATTGCACAATAGTCCTGTATCAACCGGGGATTGTCCTTGGGTGCACTTTCATAGAACATAAAGGGATAGTTGCCGGCTGATGTGCCAACAAATTAAAATTAAAATTATAGAAAGGGCCTCTGCGAGTTGGATTTTACACTTTACACATGTTTATACAAATAATTTTATCTTTAACTTTATCTTTGTGCTCTACAAATTGTTGTTTCGGGTCTGGGTGTGATTTGAAAGACAAATTTTGGTTGTAAACGCACCACCAAGAAAAAATACTAAAGTGGAGTGGAGTATTGAACCAAAATACCCAATTACACCAGAATACAAAATAACAATTTGTGGATCACTCAAAGAGTAACGTATGTGAATCGAATCCATAATTACAACATCCGAAAAATGCAAAATATGAACTGAAAGTCTCTGAAAATATCTAGTTAGTGTTGGTCATTTAGGTCACAACAAGCTTACCTCCTGGCAGCAGGATCGACTCCAGCGGTTGGTTCATCGAGTGAGACAAGATGGGGCTGTCCCACGAAGGCCAGAGCCACGCACAGACGACGTCTTGTTCCACCTGACAGTCGGTGCACCGGCTCGTCGCATACAGCACCTAGTGATAAGACTTCCAACATCCTGGGGGAGAAATACAAGTAATTAAAATTTAGGTCACCATTAAATCGTCAAAATTATCAGTCTAAATATTTTTTGTATATAAATTTTTGTTCTCATGTTTCGAAACCTGGCTAGAACCAAGATGACGAAACGTCAAAATAGAATAGTAGTCACTCTGTTCGAAATAGCCTATCCGCCTGGCTGGAGCAAGCGTGGTGATTAGAGCTTAATCTTTCTCCGTTTGAGCATTTGCTCAGCAGTGGGCCCTTATAGGCTGATGATGTAGGTAATATTCGGACCTTAAACAACAATTCAACACTAGCGCCAAGAATTCTTTTCGAATTTTTGGAATCGAACCATCAACAACTTTAGCTGGAGTTAGTCGGTGGTCCATTAATTTTTATTAATAATGGCGAAATATTAATTAAGGTGTTCGGGAGCCATGGTTCGGCGCAAATGTGCCGGCTCGACTCGACCGGAGTGATACCACTGCCCCACAGAAAATAAACTTTGTGGGCATTTGTGGGTCGCCGTGTCAATGAGGTTACCGGAGGTGAAATCCTCCCCAATCTCATAATCCACAAAACCGTAATCCCCAAAAAGGTCGGGAACGCACTCGTTACTACTTAGTTGGCAGCGCTGATTGCTTACTATCAGGTAATCCATTAGCTCGTTTGCTCTCCGAACACATAAAACTTTTTGAGTTACTTACTTGTCGACTTCATCGCGCACTTCATCTGCCGAGTTTCCACTCTTGAGTTGCGCGTAGAGCTGCACGTGCTCGCGCGCCGTGAGGCAGTCCAGCAGCACGTCGTGCTGCGGGCACACGCCCAGCCGCGTGCCCGCGCGCTCCCCGCGCACTACCACGTGCCCGCGGCTCGGCTTCAGCATGCCCATCAGGATGTTACTGGGAAAAAAATTCAAATTTGACATGGGTTGCTTGATACTGACGGTCTTCATGCTGTATGAGTGAGCTTATCAGAGGCTGACAAGTCAACCGTTTCTCACTAGCGATGTTCAATGGAAGGCGCTGTTTACTTACCATCAGGCGTTTCGTCTACTTGTTTCCCCATTATCTCATTAAAAAGAAGATTTTTGTTTAGTATAGTGCTTCTGTCAATTTTAAGACTACAGTCTTCTTCGGTAGAGGCTCCCAATAGTAGGTGATTGTCATACGGAATATTCTCTTATTTGAATTCGTGATTTCCTTAGCTTTTCTAAGGGAATTGGTAAACTGATAAATGCAGATCGCTTCAAACCAGCCTATCTGGCAGTGAATGGTTCTGGTAATTGCAGGATTCTCTACTTGCCTATCAGGAAGACATTGAAGAAGACCCTTGTTCAACAGTGGACGTGCCTGTGGCTGATATGATGATAAGTGTGGGAGAGCCAAGCTTCGGCACGAATGAGTTGGTTCGACTGGAGTGAAATCACGAGATCACAGAAAACCGGCGTGCCCCAATCCCTAAATCTCAAAATCCCTAAATTTTCAAATCCCTTATCCCCAAAAGGCTGGCAACACACTCGTAGCTCTTCAAGTGTTGCGGATGTTAATGAGCGGCGACGATTGCTTACCATCAGGTAATCCGTATGCTCGTTTGCTAAGCTATCAAACTAAAAAAAAATGGTATATATATAAAAAAATGGTATATGTATAGGTATAAGGAACTTACATAAGTGTAGTCTTCCCAGCGCCATTATGTCCTAGCAAAGTAGTGATTTGTCCTTTGTGTAGTTCTATAGAAACATTGTCGAGGGCGACCTTAGCCCTTCTGGAACCTTCTCCATAAACCTTGGTGATGTTCACAATACTGACACCAGCCTTCTCGTCCGTCGTGGTGCAGTGGGTGATGTTGCTCGTTAGAGTTTTTATACCTGAGGAACATTATTGATATTATGATAGTTGACAGCCTTTTTCAAGTACACTCTAATCTTCTGCGTGTGAGAAGAGGCCTTTGCTCAGCAGTGGGTACTTATAGTTGATGATGTGGACTCGGACCCTAAGCAATTGTTGGGCCAGAGAGCTAATCGTCGTGGGTTGAAACATACACAATCACCAAGGAGTTGGACAAGCAACCAGAAAGATGCTGTTGGGGCGTAACTCCCAACAGTGAATTTGTTACGTAGATTATGTTAAGTTAAATGTTATGTTGAATGAGTAGACAAATTATTCATATGAAGGTTTAATTGCTACTAAGTTATAGTTAGTTTACATCATTATTTATTATGTTAGAAATACACACTTATACAATATAGGTATGTAGATAATATGCGTAATGCATGACTGAGTGTGACCTACTCAATACACCTAAGTTCAATGTACAGCATAGCTCGTACAGATGCAGATGCATGAGAAAATTCAAATGACTTTGAAATTAAAGGTTGCATTGTCGCGTACCACCAGTGCAGTCCATTCGTCGAAACGTTTTTTGTAAAACTGCACGTCCGTTTTTCATTTGTTTAATTGAGATTGCTTTGCTACATGCGTTATTAATACGGTAGTTTCCAACTAGACGAATTCAATACTTTTATCTAAATGTCAAAATCGATATTTATCTATGATATTTGTAATCAGCTTCAAATTATGACCTCACAGTTTTTACGTATAACTTTATTAAAAATTAACTAAAAAATATCGAAAATTTTATGTATCGACAATCGACATAACGATGAATAAAAGTGTAGGTTTTTTACAATATTCTTATTTTTTGATAGTGTATTGAAACGTCGAATTAATTTACTTTTGACCTAGAAGTTTACCAAATTGTTGTATGGTGTATTCGTTATCGAGTGTCGTGATTTAAGTGCTTGTGCCAAATCTTACCAAAGTATCTATCAATGATCCATCCAATGATGAAATACAGAATAGCATCCACGATCATCATTACAGCAGTGAATCCGATGTTGGTGTCATCATAACCATTTGGTGAGGCCCAAACGTCAGCCCAGGAGGCGCCGGAGCCACGAGCCTCAAACCTTGTGATGTACAGGAACGAGTAGCTCAGAGATGAGGACATGAAGAGGCACTAGGGAAGTAAAAATCTTCTACAATTTTGAACCTTATACACGTATAAACACTGTTTTAAATTAAGTACTGTCATGATGTGTGGGAGAGCCATGCTTCGGCACGAATAGGTCGGCTCGACCGGAGTGATACCACGGCCTCACAGGAAACCGGCGTGTAAAAACCACAGCGTTGTGAGAGGCCCAATCCTTCTTCTCCCCCAATCCCTCCTCAATCCCTAAATCTCCAAATCACTAATCCCTAAAACTCGTAACTCCTCCGTTGCGGGTGTCCATGGGCGGCGCTGATTGCTTACCATCAGGTAATCCGTCTACACGTTGCAAATGTTGACAAATTAAAAAAATACGAAAAGATCTTTTTTTTTTATACGCTACGATGTTTGCAGTAGCTTTGGATGTTAGTCTTCGACGCTGCTTCTTAGATGTTGATCAGTGGGATAGCGGCTTTCTCAAAACCTACATTTTGTGGCATATACAATAGTTTAAAACAAAATCGCTTTCTCTGTTTCTATGTCCCTATGTATGCTTAATTATTGCGTTTTTTTAATAGATAGAGCGGTAAATGAGGACCGTTTATAATATATCCAACATCATAAAATAGTGGAAAAAATCAGTACGAGTACATTGCATACGTGTGAAACTGGGGTAAGCAGCAGAAAATAATTTTATCTATACTAATATTATAAAGAGGTAAAATTTGTAAGTTTGTATGTAGGGGGTAATCTTTGGAACCACTGGTCGGATTTCCAAAATTCTTTCACTGCTACAATTTTCTTGAGTGCTATAGGCTATAAAACATCATGCTAATATTAAATGGAGCCGAGCAGCGAGTGAAACCGCGTGAGAGAACCTAGTATAATATACTAGCGTATATTATATCACTCATTCACACGGCGAAACACAAAGCTATTGTTGTTTCACACCGGTTTCCTGTGAAGGCTACTACTACACACTACAGTGATACTATATCACTCCTGTCGAGCCGACCCATTCATGCCGAAGCTTGGCTCTCGCACACTTATTTTTTTTTAATTTCATTATAATGATAACGCAGCTTATTGCAAAGTCTAAAACTTACAACAAAAATCTTGAGAGTGAAGTTTATAATGGATTCCAGGGAGAGGATGATGACGATTGGCATGAAGGTCATCAGGTAGACGATGGCGGAGAACACTGCAGCCAGACTCGCTGACCTGAACATCTTGGAGAGCATGTAGCTGAAAACGAAAGGATTTCATTAGTTTCTGATGTGAATTTGATTGAGAATCCCTTCATCATCAGTCGGTTCCACCGCTGTTTAAAGGTTTTCAGTGCTGTTGTAATCTTTATACTCGTAGACTTTCAAATGACAACTAGGTTATTTAAAAGGGTGGTTAACTGGCCGTTCGTTAAAGGCTGAATAAGTAGCCATTTTATACTAACTAGACCAGCCAACCAGCTTTCCACTTGCGTTTGTGTCAAAGTCAAGGTCAAAATCAAAATAAACCATAAATAGGTACTTTTGAAACGTTAAAATAGAAAAGTAGTCTGTCAGTCTGTTCGTCAGTGAAGCTAGATGCTCGTTCCAAATTGTAGATTCGAATGGAGAAGAACGAGCAAGAAAGACCAACTCTTTTTAAAAATAATATTTGTTTTACAGGTTCGCTTACTTATACATTTTAGACTATACTGAAGGCTATAACAGCTTTTAAACTTTATAACAAAGCAATAGGATTGAACAAAAAAATATACTTCACTTATCAATGTCAACTCACCAAAAACTTAGTACGGATATTCCAAAAATGAAGATCAATGCGAAAATCAGTGTGGGATCTGTTCTAGGCAACACTTGTCCGAAGTGCAGCACCATAGTGATGCAGAGGTCGGTGACAATCATCTCCACGAATGATGTGAGGAACCAGGACAGCGTGTGCCAGCGCAGGTCCACACCCATTACAGACATGAGCTGCAAACAGAAATATCAATAAGTTTCTCGCTATTTTAAAAGCGAAGCGTTTACAAATACAGACTTTATATAACTTATTAAAACTAAAGACTTATTCACGTCAATTAACTGCGCAAATAAACGTACAAGCTGCTCACGAATAAGACCTTTTTTAGTTAAAACTTTTTGAAAGTAAGGACTTATTCACGTGAATTAGCTGCGCAAACTAACGCGTAAGTTGCTCACGAATAAGACCTTTTTTAGTTAATTATCGTGAGTAAGTCGTTATCTATACTAATATTATAAAACTGAAGAGTTTGTTTTGAACAAATTAATCTCAGGAACAGCGGGTTTGAATTTAATAATAATTATTAACTGATACAATGTTCCTGAGGGTTATAAATGAATGTTGTTATAATTTGTCGAATAAATGTGTTTTCTTATAGGCTGTTAAACATCACGCTTCGATCAAATAGGGCCGAGCAGGTGAAACAGCGCGAGATTAGCTATCTATATCTATGTAAAGAATAAAATTGTTCCGTTCAGAAAATAAGTAACAAAGTTGTCTAGTAGCCTGAATTTGACCTTGATCTTGTTTCTTCAACATTAACATTTTTACTTTGCTCTAATTGTTTAGATTCAATTATTATAATAATGATTTTATTTTGAACGTTCTTTTACAAAACACCCTTTTATATTACCATTAAGTAATACTATAAAGAGGTAAATTTTGCAAGTTCCTTTTTTCACTGATAGATAGCTACTATGTTTCTGAGTGCTTATAAACTATAAATTATACTTGATTTGCGTATTTCAGCCGAGCTAACGCTTTAAACGCTGCTATCTCTAAAAACTTTTATAGGTATTTAATAAGTTAAGGGTGAATTATAGGTACCATGGTGTTTCCCGTCTCCTTGTCTATCACGATGAATCGGACAGCCGACGCAACCGTGAATAGCAGGGAGAAGAAGAAAGCCACGATCATCGACTGAGACTCGTACAATGAAGCCTGGAAACTGGAATTAGAAAATACCGAATTCATTAATTAATAACTTTCTGGAAAATAACCAAGGAAAAACTATATACAGAAAATCTGACAGTAAATTTAAAAAAAGAATATCGTTGTTTTTGTGTAGGGTGACTGGTAAAAGCCATTTTTCAAAAAAGCTTTTTTTCTACACCTATTAGTTTTATTTTTATTAGTTCTTATAACAATATTCGCGCGCCCGCCGTGTGCTGCCCGATCAGCTGTGGCGCCCCTCGGCTAGGCGGGGCTCGCGCGACGGCGTTCGAACATGGACTCTGCCATGTAATGTTTTTTGATGTACTATGGCAACTAATGAGTATCGAAAAAAGTTTTTTCAAGGAAAGTTAACAAACGACTTTCCCAGAAAGATCATGTCACGCAGACCTAGAACAACAATCTCCAAAAAGCCAATTATGAACAAACACTTACAAATCTCTCCTATAGCAAGGGTATGGCATTTGTTGTGTGTACACCGCCCATTCCTTCTCCTCTTGAGTCTCCCTCTTGCGGCGAGGGACGGAGTCTTGTGACAGCTGGATAATTGCCTTGTCCACGATGTCCTGGATTTGAACGAATCCTCGGAAGTAGCGCATGTTCTCCAAGAAGTTCGCTTCGGGACCTGGGGTCCACAGGCTAGAGGATAAGAATACGGTCAATTAAAGATTCACACTAATCACGATACCAATTTTCTGTATCCATACAAAAAGGGCAAGATATTAACAATCCAAAACATCAGACGTAATTTTGACATCTGACATTTTTATTTAAGTAATGTCGTGGTCGCCTGGCTGTTAAGGAGCCCGCTTCTATTCCTGAGAGTGCGGATTCGAAACCTGGCAAGCACAATGTGACTTTTTCCGAGTTATTTATGTACTTTCTATGATTATTTAGACACCACTGACAGACGGTGAAGGAAAACATCGCGGGGAAACCTAGACTTATTATAAGTTTAAAAACGCCAGTCTGCATTGAGCAAGCGTGGTGATAATTGCTCAAACCTTTTCCTTGTGAGAAAGAAAGAAAATATTTATTTGTGAGAATGTAGTACAAATTATTTCGCTTAATATTTAGTTATAACTATGCACTACTTATTCTAAGTCTATGATAGGTCATCTAAATAATCTTTAGTGCAATAATAACATTTATTTAGCAAAAAACTCAAACAATAAAAAACGAGAAGAGGCGTTTGGTCAGCAGTGGACTGATGATGTGATTTTTATTTAAGTATGAAGATCAACCTTAAAAATTATATTTTTCTTAGATATTTAGGACAAAAAACGAAGACGTGTGGAAAACACAATCTCTCTCTTTTGCCTCATTGATAATGATGTAGAAATACATACTAGTCCTTGTTGCGTGCTGTGGTGGGTGAATTGTCGATGTCCATGCGGATTTTATACTCGACTTTACTCAGTGCTCCGTCGTGATGCTGGCTGTTCAGGAACACCAGACCTGGTGACCAAATATGACGTTTACCATGACATATTCGCGATAGATAGTAGTACAGAAGTTGGACCAGTATAAAGTTGTTACTGTTTTTTCGTATTTTGGAAAATTTGGGATGTATTTCTTCTAGTAACTACTATTTGCATATTCAATCATAGAAAAACTGAACTACGTGTCAAATAGCGATTTTAGCATTTTTTTTAATTCTTATTATTTTAAGGAATAGGGTTTTTGTAATGCTTTCGTTTTGCTTACCAGCGGAGAACTCGTTGACGATGCTGAGTTGCGCGGCCTCGTGGGTGAGGTTCTGCTCGTTGGAAGAAGCCTGGAACCTGTTCAGGTTGACACACTGCAGCAGGTTCGACATCTTCGATAGTAGACTGCCGATACTCTAGAAGAAGCAGATTGAAATAGGTCACAAGTTCATGGTACCATTAGAAGACCAAGGTCTTCCCTGTTGGTACAGTGGAACAACATCAGTGGTCTTTTTATCTGTCTACATAACATTCTAAGGTTATTCTCATAGTTACCGGACACTGTATGTCTTCAAGGATACTGTTAACTCATTATTCAAAATTTCAATCCATAATTTAACTTGATACATCATCATGTAAAATCTATAATACAAGTCAATTTAATATAATAAAGACTTTACTTACATCTAAATCTCCAAATTCTGCAAAAAGGCTATCGATATCGACATCAGGAACCGCGATCTCTTCGTCTCCTTTGATCAGCATTTTCCGTATCGAGCTGAACTGTGGCGCGGTCATGACTCGGCGGAGTACAGCAACGCCATCTCTGTGTGAGGACAGCTGGTCTATCGCTGGGAATGACCTTGAGAACGAGTGCACTAAACCCGTCATCTTGATCATTGTTGCGAAGGTGGAGTTGGCCTGGTGGTAAATAGTATGAACGTTTAGTAGATTTAGAATTTTGTTCTGTTCCTTTTGCACAGTCACAATAACCGGAGTTCATGGACCCCTCCCCTTAAATCCTCGTAACCCTATCGTCAAAAAGGCCGACAATGCAGTCTTAAGTTTTCTGGTGCTTCTGGGTGCCCATGGGCGGGGCCGATTACCGACCTTCAGGTAACCTCGTTTACCTTCTTTTTGTATTGCATAAAAAACAGTACAGAATATTGTTTTGTATGTATTCAAATATACATATGATTAGTATAGCCTAAAGTAAAAAAATGGCACTAAAAGACTACGAAACATATGGAGGTACTATAATCAATAGTGTCTTATGAAAATGGTATCAAAATGATGGCGCGAGTCTGGAGTGCTGATTACTAAAAAGTTGACTAATAGAGTTATAGCAATTGACTCACCAACTTTTGGGTATATTTACAACTAGTCAAGTAGGTGTTGTTTGTAATACAGATAGGTATACATTACTCTGGTCCTCTTACCTGTTCAATAATCTTGGTGACGACGGGAGAGGGCGGGGTGTACAGGATCTTGCCCATGATGAGCGGCTTCACGAAGCTCCACATGATCTTGCCGCCTTCCACGTTGATGATGTCCACATACAACGAGCGACAGAAGTCCGCTGCAAAGAATTTTGCGATTAGGACAATAGTTTTACATACATAATTTGACCTTGGTAATAAGAGCAACTACCAAGCGACGAGTTTAAAGGTCGATTCCTAAGCTAGACAACGTAGTAAGTATTAAAGTTTTTCTATTTTTGTACAGTCCTTGTTCCTTCACTCTCTAAATCGGATGGGATGGCAAACCGACAAGACCGGAGAAATACCAGAAACCAACAGATAGATGTGCTTTCTGAGGCTCGTGGATGAGACAACGCCGAACTTTCCAACTATAAGGTGGACAATGGACATTTTTTCCCGGACGTGTGTATTGAACTCGTGATGCATTTCAACCGTCCAGTCAGGTATATTAATAAGGTATCTCATACTCACTGGGCAGTACATCCAGCTGCGCTTGATCAGGTTTCGTGGAGAAGTCCTTTGTGGCTGCAATGGACTTGTAGAATTTGTTCGTGTTCACTTGGAACGGTTTGCCACACAGCAAGTTGCCAGCACTACTCATGAAGTCCGGAGCTGTGTGCAAAGTAAGAATGTTAATATGAGGGTCGTTAGCATATAATAGATTCAAAGAATTGAATATGAGAGGAGTGTGGGAAAGCCATGCTTCGGTACGAATGAACCGGCTCAATCGAAGCAATACCACGGCCTCACAGAGAACCGGCGTGAAGCAACATTTACGTTGTGTTCCGTTGTATGAGTGAGGTTACTGGAGGCCCATCCTTCTCCATCCAATCCTCAACCCTCAAATCCCCTATCCTTAAATTCTTAATAACCAGCAAGAGGTCAGCAACGTACTTCCTTCTAGTAACTTATTTGGTTTTACGAGTGGTAATTCGTTTCCATACACGGGATCACACGATCCTGGACCTTTGGAAGGCGTACGATGGGCCGAAGCCAACTCGCAGAGGCCCGTTGAACAACTTTAATTTAAGTGAACATCTTTAATGGGACATCAGCCGGCAATTATCCCTGTATGCACTATGAAAGTGCACCCAAGGACAATCCCCGGTTAATGCAGGACTATTGCGAAATTTGGTAATAATTGGAAGGGTATGGGTATAGGTTGCTATGGACTGGTGGATATGATAATTACGAATGGTAATATTATTATCATGTTATTATTGGTATTATTTAGTATCACATCTCAAACTTAGCTCAGCTTTAAATACTCACAAGAAAGAAGATTCCCAACAGTGCTGAAATCCCTCAAGCTCTGGAACAATGTCTCGTTGGCCAGTGTCTGGCTAACATCTTGCATTTTCTCCTGAATCACAGGTATTAGTGCTGCCATCTGTGAGTACTTCCCAACCACACTAGATCCCTCTTCTTCGGTCAAGTTTGACGCGGCATACAGTTTTGTGAGAAGAGTGCTAGCCACCTGTGGGATTATAATTTGTGGTTAGAACGTGACTGTTGAAAATATCAGGTACATTTTTAAAAAGTAGGCCCAATCCCCTGCCCTATCCTCAATGCTCAAGTCCCTTATCCTTAAATCCCTAATACATCTACATGAGGCCTTTATTAGATGAAATTGGCTTTAATTTCTCTAATTGTAACACGGAGTCTGCTATTGCTGGTAATATGTATAAGAGAGGTAGGTAAATCTCATCCAATTTTTTGGTATTTACATTAAAATATTTATTGCTTTGTATTAAAGTTGGAGATATATTGTAAATATGATATCTTGATGTAATAAAATTCACTTACTTCATCAAAAAGAAGGGTGTAATTGAAGTTCCGCAGTAGCACTGGCAGCACTTGCTTGGCGATATGGTCTTGTAGACCGCAGAACTGCTCGATGGTGGCTCCGAAGACATCTTCAGCCGACACCACATCCAAGTTCGCAGGGAACAGCATTTTGGACATGTAATCCATTTGACATACGTACTTTGCTATATGGCTGTCGTCGGGCTTTGAGGAGAAGAGCTGCAAAGGACGATTTATTTTTCATAGTATCTACTAGTTTAATGGTTCTCAATGCATGGTTCAAATTATGGCATCATTTGTTTTATTGGAACGAAGCTCCTTATCGGGCGCTGCAAAAGGAGACTAGACAAAAGATTTTAACGATATTCTCTCTCCCCCCCCTCTCTCTCTGTCTCTCTCTCTCTCTCTCTCTCTCTATAGGAATATAATGGAATAAGATATATATATATATATATATATATATATATATATATATATATATATATATAATAAGATATATATATATTTATATATATATATCTTATAACAAGATAAGATAAAGACCAGATTTTGAAACAATTCCTTCAGAAATTAATCGAAAGGACCTTTGTTATTTGTTTAAGAGATACCTAATATTTTTCACGTTCTTCAATATCAATTTATAACGTACCGGCTTCAGCTGTATGGTGCCGGCGTGTATCCTGGGCGCGGCGACAGACCAGAAGTTAGTATTATTGATGCCGAGTGCGCTCAGTCCTACCTCCACATCATCAGCATCAGGGAATAATTTCGATACTTCCACTGCAAAAGAAATGGTTTTTATAGTCTACATACTTTAAAGTCTTTTTTCTTCTTCATAAAGGACGTTCAAAGAAGACAAAGAATCTGCTTAGTCGATACTTAAATATAAATTTTCTTATTTTTTACGTAGAAATAATCCAGAAATTCCAATCTTACTATTAAGGTTAACGTCCTCCAGCAAGTAGTTCTTGAGTTGTCTGACTACAAGCAGACCGGAGCTCAGTGCACTCAGGTCCTGATCCAGAGGGGTACCCTCCAAGAGAGGGTGCAGCTGCTCGAGAATACCATGGAGGCTGAAATAATGAGAATCAAGAAGTCAGATAAATGAGCCCAAAATAAAGAAAAGCTGATTGATGGATTAAAGGTCGTGTCATCAGAGTTATGGAAAAATAGATATGGTGATAAAATGTTTTTACCTAAACATAATGTTGTCAAGGGACTCCTCACTGATGACCAGGATCAAGGCATCAACTATAGCTTCGAGGTGACCGTCCATTATACCCTTGACGTCGACTTTGCTGGCCAGCCCCAAGAGACGAGCACTGTGAGACATGAAGTCTTCAAGGTGCCGGATGATGTTCGACACGAAGTTGAAACGCCAGAACTCTTCTTCTTGGTATTTTGGAAGCTAGAAGTAGATAAAATTTGTATTTAACAATTTTTATTCTTAGCGCCTACAACTAGCAGTGCGTTAACTGAAGCTAAATAAGGCGATGTTGATAATTAGATATACATCGAATAAAAAACATAAAATAAATGTTGATCATCATTATTTGAAGTTTGAAGATATTACTTACTGCTTTTTCAATAAGAGTATTGTTGATATTGTTTCTGATGACAGTAGCGATGTTGCTGCAGTTGTAGCGAACACAGATGTCGGTCCAGTTTCTGACCGGCTTGATGACTATGTTCGCTGTATTTGGTTCTGATATGCTGCGGATCTATAACCAGATAATCACGAAAATGTTAAAGAGAGCAGGAAAATTAAAATTATATTTTTATCAACATGTTTTTTTCAAGTATTAACATCTTTATATACTCACTTTTCTCAAATTTACTTGAGCATTTTCAATATCAGCAATAATATCATGATCATCTACAATCTTCATGAGTTCTCCATGCAGATCACTTTTCTCCATTAGGTAGTCCTTTAAAGGTTTTACTACGTCTATATTGTGAGCCACTTCAGACGAGAGCTCCTTTAGATAAGGCAGGTTTTTGATACCATCTACTTCATGGATGTGAGGCAGTTCAGCTCTGAGCAATTTCCCTGTTTGAGCTAGGATTGAGGCAAATCTGGAAAACAAGGATTAAAAATTGATGTATCAATTATTTTGTAGTAGGTCACTTTGAGATCAATTAAACATATGGTGTCGATATTGGCAAATTTTAAGATCGATCTGTTATTTAAGGCGGTGGTGGTCTGGTGGTGGATGGAAATGAATGGACAAATGATTTAACATTTGTCAAAGATTATTTATTTACACTCACATTGTGGCATTTCCAAATTCATTCCTGGAGATATTCTTAGCGAGACACTCCATCACCTTTGTGTCAGTTGCACTGATGTCCTCCAGTAAGTGTAGCTTCACTTGTCCTAAGAATTCGTTCATTGATTTGTTCATCTCGTACTTCGTGTAGTTCCTCGTCGAGATTAACTGTAATGAAAATTTTACTACGTTATTATTTTACCATATAATTAAGCAAAGTATTATGATCATTATTTTTTCGTAACAAATTGATTTGCAACTCAACGTCGTCGTCTCTTGCTTTACCTCCTTGATAGCCATGTCCCAATGAAAGTCGTTCTTCAACGCATGGTACACATCTTCCAGGCTCATGGTGTGCAGATGGCACAGCAGGTTGTCGTACTCTTGCTTTTTGAATAGCTGCAGGTTGAGCTGCTTGAACCACGTTGTGAACTGAGAGCACACTGTGCACTGACTGTAAGCGAAGAAAAAAACACCCAGTTATTTTTACACCGTACCGTATTTTTCGTAAATATGGCATTAAAATATATAAAAATATAAAAGTAGTTGCGTGACTGACCTGTTATTTAGGAACAGAGTCCCAGCATCAACTAGATTGCTCAGCATAGCAAATGATATTTTCGTCAAAGTTTCTTTAGAGAGTAACCCCAAAGCCACCTTCCTTAAGTGTTCCACCTTCTCATCTGTCACCCATGGCGGGGTCTGTGGCGATTTAGGACCATCCCTAATGATGTCCAGCTTCGATTCAATTGCAGAAATATCAGAATCAATGGCATGGTAGTCGATGTCTTTGGACAGTGTTAAGGAAGTCTCGTAACCCTGAAAGAAAAAAATCATTTACAGGTTTTTAAGCTACATTTAAGATGTTAAAATATATTTAAATTGTTTTCCTTACTTGTGACGCAAACAAAAGTGGTGGCAGTTCTTTATACAGCTCAACTTTCTCCACGTTGCATATTTGTTCCTTTAGGTCGGACCATAATCCCGTCTTGTCGGGAATGTAGTCTGACAGCGTGATGTTTGGCAGACAGATTGATTCTGTCTGGTTCACATCAATGTCATGGAGAAGACGGATCACCTGAGGACAGGGTATAAGAAATGTTAACACCAAATTCATTTTAATTTTTTTATTATCAATAATAATATAACTTTTTTCTTTTTCATGTTCAACTTACGTGTATATCATCGAAATTACTAAGTAGATCTTCAGCGACCTCGAAGCTGTTCTCTAGATAACCAAATAATTTAGTAGCATATGGCCCATTGTATAAGTCAATCAGTAGTTGCCACCAGTTTTCCCCAGCTAGGAAGCCAAGGATAACGTTATAACTCTGAATGTTGGAATGTAGGTACTTCAGGTAGATAGGAATACTGAGATCGTATGCATACTTTGTAGATGTCCTCAATGATGTGATCAGCTGTTTTCTGTGGAGGTAAGATGAGTATTAAAAGAGGAAATATAATTTGACTATTAAGTGCAAATGAAATAAAAGTTTGAATTTTTACAGTGTTTTTCTTCTTAGTTTTTCTGAGTTTGCTTACCTGTGATTTAAAAATTCAAACACATCTGTTACTGTTTCGTTGTCAGTTTTCAGTATATCTACAAGATGCAACAGAGTTTGCCTTGCATCATCATAGTCAGGAACAGCAATATTTTGTACAGCCTTATAAATTATATCATAATGCTTGGCACATATTTGTCCTCTCGCTCTATCATCATCGCTTACTAACAAAGTTTTACTTGCGTTGGTGTTTAAATTTCTACACATTTTATCAAAAGCATCAACGATAGTATAATTTTCATCAGTAGCCCAGATGACATCAGTTAATATATCAAAGTGTTATAGTTATAGCATCTGTAGGTTTTCGTTTAAATAAATATTTGATCACTTTTAAATCAGCTGCAGCTGCTTTCACTTCTTCCTCAGTATCAGTTACTACATCCGTTATATTTAAACTATTGAGCTCTTCTGATAGTTTGTTCACGATACCAACTATTCTAGTTAAGTATACGTGCGCTGCGAATTGTTTCAAATTAATTTCGTTGAACAAACGATATGATGGATTATTTTTATCGAGTTTGAAAGTTAAAACAGCATCAACAGCTTTCTTCAGTTTTCCTTCAATTGAATTCATCTTAACGTCATCTTCCGTTAGTAGAGTTTGGTTCTTCTTAGAGATTTCAGTCAAATAATTGGTTAATTCCATAGCTTTGGTGAAGGCTTTTTCAAATCTGCTCGTTAGATTGGATACGGGCAATGTGAAGAAGAAATATTGCTGAAAAATATCGAGAAGCTTATTAGATGCTTTGTTGTTATAATTTTATCAAGCATGAGTAGTGTAAATATTCTATTACTTACAGGTTTAGAAAACACATCAAGTAATGTGTTATCTCCTCTTGGCAGAGAGATCCAGTGCAGGAATGAGGGGCAGACGAAAGGTTTCACTTTGTTCATAAGAGTTGAATCTATGATGCTACCTGCAGGAGGCACCATGGACGACAGTACAGCCTCACAATCCCAGAATTGGGACAGAGATGCTCTACGGACCTAAAAGTTCAAAAATATTTATCTTTTAGCTTAAAGTGGAACCAAGGAATTTTAAATAGATCTATAGTTGGTTGTAAATAGAAAAGTCGTTCGAAAAACTTCTAAAATGTGGATAATTATTGTCTATAATGATAAATTTTGAAATTACCTGACTCATGAAGCCGTAATCCCAGTAAGAATTGAGTAAAACTCCCATGAACTCAGGCATCTTGTCGTATAAGATGTACAGACCGGTACTCCGTGTGAAACCCAATAATTGTAACATGTTTAAGTTGGGTTCTGTAATAAAACTTACACTTGTTTAACAAATAAACTTAAAAGGGCAGAGTAAATATACATTTGAATTAAAATAAGTCATTACGAAGATTTTACCATTAGCTTCTCTGAAGTAAGTCAACAAATCGGTAGCCATATTCTCAAGTATAATAGAGAAAGATTCGAAGAAGTTCTGCCACGCCTTCCTGCCGAGGAGTCGGCAGTCATCGTCCATGCCGTTGAAGATACACTTGGTGTACCTCTCGAAGAGATTGTTCATAGAAACATCGCTTGGTATCGAGGAGGTGTTCAATGCATTTAATACGGTATCGAACTTAGTGAAAAGAGACCTAAAATAGAAACAATTAATAGCTTTATTTCAGAAAATGTAAATAATGTATTGACAGATTTTATATTTAAAAATGTCTCTAATAGCCTTTTGGGTGGTGGCGTGCGTACTTTAATAGTTTGTTTCAATTATCCTTTGTAACAAACCTCATTATTTCATCCCTCTCTGTAGTATTAAGTGTCTTCACAGCATAATCCCAAGCAGCCTTCAAACCAAGCTTTCTATCAGCAGTGTCATTGAATGCGTACTGCAAGGCTTTCCTGCTGATGACGATGTCTTCCATTAAGGAATCGAAAGATGAAGAGAACTTGAGGAAGAGATGGGGCTGGTAGTTGGTTGTGTTCCAAGTGGTAAAGTTCTGGAAATTGGATTACAAATAAGGGAGTATTCGTCACTAAATTTCTTGTGAACCATGAACAAGTAGTCTTAAGTAAGTTTACAGAAGAGAGAAGGTGCGTCAATCGAAATCATTGGGCACATTACTTACACTCAAAGATACGTTCTTAGCATCGAAATAAGCTCTCCATTCGTCTTGAAACTCTTTGTTCATACACATGATTGTCTCCATCCCTTCCATAGCCTTCATGGAGGTGGGGGATAACGCCAACAGTTGTGCCATGCTGGAAGTGGAACAGGGCCATGGTGGATCCGAGTTCAGAAGAGATATAACTGCTTCTATCTGGAAGTTTAAAAAGAATTTATTTTCACGTGTGCCGTCGAATCATCATGTGCAACTTTAGACCTAACTCCCTCTTTATTATTCTGTGTTGCATTACAACTATTTGTCGTTGTTGTTGCCGTTTTTTTTTTTTCATAGCTTGGCAAACGAGCAGACGGATTACCTGATGGTAAGCAATCAGCGCCACCCATGGACACTCGCAACGGAGGAGTTACGAGTGCGTTGCCGACCTTTTAGGGATTAGGGATTTGGAGATTTAGGGACTGAGGAGGGATTGGGGAAGGGGAAGGATTGGGCCTCCGGTAACCTCACTCACACGGCAAAACACAACGAAGTGGTTATTTCACGCCGGTTTTCTGTGAGGCCGTGGTATCACTCCGGTTGAGCCGACCCATTCGTGCCGAAGCATGGCTCTCCCACACTTTCATTTACTGATTTGTTGTTTTCATTTACTGATTATCAGAAGGTTTCTTAAATATAGGTAACGTGTTTTCTCTATCACATATCCTTTGTTGCTATAACTGTATCTAAACATAATAATGTATATTTTTTGCAAATTTTTCTCCCGTGTACTTACATTCGTATCACCATTTTTGATAATGTCAACAGCATCGACAGTCAGCTGGGGTATGTTTGGTATAATCTTTTCGAGGGCTGCTACAGTTGTGCGCGGTAGATCACTAGAGTAGGTGTCATTACTCAATAACGCTGGAAGTAACAACACATGACAGTGAAATTGAGAACATTATGAAAATATATTTTAGCTTATGGAAATAGAGTTTTATTTCATCATCATCATCATCAGCATCATCATCATCATCAGCCTATAAGCGCCCACTGCTGAGCAAAGGCCTCTTATCACACGGAAAAGGTTTGAGCATTAATCACCACACTTGCTCAAGGCGGATTGGCAATTTCAAACTTCTAGTTACAAGACCAGATTTCCTTACGATGTTTGCCTTCACCGTTTGCCAATGGTGTGGTGAAGTAGAGTTTTATTTACCTGCAACTAATCTAACAGTTTCGTCGAAAACATCCAAAGGTCCAACCGTCCTGGTGATGACATACTTCATACGCAGCCAGAACTCGGAGTGCATATTGAATAAGCCAAAGTCCAACAGGTCAAGAAAACGGAATGCGAATTTGAAGCTGCAACAAAATACAGAAATGTTGTTCATCATGTTAAGTGAAGTAAAATTAAGCTTTAGTGAAGTACTTATTATATATTTTTTTAATTTTAATGAAGACATTCTGAAGTTTGATTATAATATTATTCACTTTGAAATCATTTCCATCATCATTGTCCGTAGCCATTGTAATCATAGCCAAACACATTGTTTTCTTTTCACGCTTTTACAAATTAAACTCTAAAATCCAGTTAGAATTTTCTTATTACCTCAACCTCAAACTCCTTTCCATGTTCCTTACTCCAAACCAGTACTCCTTAGCTTCGGCATACAATGAGTTCGCCAGTTTCTTGGTGGAGTTATTCATTTTGTATGTCTGGAACTGGAACAGGTATGGATAGTCTCTATCCAGCTTCGTGTAAAGGTTTTTCAAATTGTTGATTAGCTTATTCCAGTTTAGGGTCACGACTGGATGAGCGGAGTTCATGATGGTTTGGATCTGAAAGTGATACAAGGCAGTGGAAGTAAAACCTTATTTAGTTGGCATTAGTTATTTTTTAACCGACTTCAAAAAAAGGAGGAGGTTCTCAATTCGATTGTATTTTTTTTTTTTTTATTTTTTTTTTATGTTTGTTACCTCAGAACTCCGTCGTTTATGGACGGATTTGCAAAATTTTTTTTATGATTGAAAGGATATGCTTCCAGATTGGTCCCATTCTTTTCAAAATTGAGTTTTGATGATGGGATCCATGAGAAATCGAGGGAACTCCTCAAATATTATAGGCAACTATATAGTAATTTTAATATTTTCATAGAGCACTCAAGCATTTACAGTCAAAAAGTAATATTTGATGGGGTGGAACTGGTGAAGAAGATCAGAAATGGGTGATGAAACTTGACACTCGCATAGATATCACAATCAAGGTAGTTCAGCAACTATGAAAATGCACTGTAAACCAATGATCTTAAATAATTATGTTGGAAATGTTATCATCGAACTGATTTAATGATGATTATGGAGCTGGAAGGTAGGCACTGGAACTGCGTACCTAATTAATATATCCTAGCCGTGTTTGGGCTTGTTAGAATTGTTATAAGATGCACTTTGGCTGTAAGGTACTATTGAACTGATGTGATGATGAAGCTGGAAGGTTGGCATGGGGCCTAGTATTGTGTAAGCTTATTAGAGCTGTCAAGAGCAATGGAAAGGGCTATGCTCATAGTTTCCGTGCATGTTCGAATCAGAAATAAAGAAATCCGCAGAAGAACCAGCGTCACCGACATAGCCCGAAGAAATGCCAAACTTAAGTGACAGTGGGCACGGCACATTGCTCGTAGAACAGATGGCCGATGAGGCCGAAAGGTTCTAGAGCGGGACCGCACACCTTTGGGGGCGGAGTTTGGCCTAGTATTGGCTATTTTGCATTAGTCCACGTGGACTGCGTTTACACATTAGTGGTGAAATGCGTCATTGTGTTCTTATCGTTTTCCTGGTAATAGGCTAAGAGAATTCATTGGCATTTTTAACAAAACAGTCGTTTTAAATGGGTTACAAAACAATAATTGCGTCGTACAAAACAATAATTGTGTTTCTTTTGTGTGCACATATGTAGATAATACTTACTTAAAAAAGGTTCATACATTGAATGACTCATAAATGTATATTTACAATAGCGATGGTCTTTTGTATTTTTACCAACTTGTCTATATATGAATGTTCTTAGTAATAACAAAATAGTATTCTTCATTTAATGGGTTACAATTGATACAAAACAATAATTGCATCGGTCTTTTTTCTATGTACGAATGTATTTAATCATAGATACTAAATTAGATTGCATTTGGTATCTTTGAACTTTATCTGTCTGTTGATGAAAATATCTAGTTTTTTTGTTATTTGGCGAGAACGAATATGAATTTATGATAAGATTATTATTTTTTTTTAACTATAAGTCATAAGTGTCTCATGCATCATATCATCTCTCCTCGAGATCAAAACGATTACACAGTAACAATGTACTATGATATGTATTTCTACGTAGAAGTATGACATTGGTAACTTTTTCAAAAGAAATGTAGGAACGATATTGACTTCTTTGCCATAACACATTATAATAAAAAAAAACACTAAACGGCTACAAATAAAAAAAATTTACAAAATAAAAAAACCGCCTTCAAAAAAAGTCAAGCAATAAAAGTTCCTACACTAAAAAGTAAAAAATAACAATTTGAATTACTGTAAAAAAACTTAGTTTATAGGTAAACTTATTTGACATTAATATTTTGCAAATATTCAAAATTTATTACTTATTTTTGGAGTCGGTGCCAGCCCATGCAAGGAAATACAAATGGGCAACAATCCCTTGAAAAACTACCTCTTACTTAATTATAAAACTACTTAATACCTATTTGCATACTCAAATATAGGTATATTAATTAAGACATAAATACAGATTAGACTTCTCTACAAAAAATGTCCGATTTGCACATTTTTTTTAAATATAAATATATACTTACAAAAACATTTTAAGTACATTGAAAATGTTTAAGCATTATGTACGAAAAATGGCACCGGATATTAAAAAGCTAACTAACATTAAGTTTCAACATTAAAATGGCACCGACTCCAAAAATAAGTAATAAATTTTGAATATTTGCAAAATATTAATGTCAAATAAGTTTACCTATAAACTAAGTTTTTTTACAGTAATTCAAATTGTTATTTTTTACTTTTTAGTGTAGGAACTTTTATTGCTTGACTTTTTTTGAAGGCGGTTTTTTTATTTTGTAAAATTTTTTTTTATTTCATAAATAGTTAGTAAGTTCATAGTTTAATTATGAGAACAGATCATTCTTTAAATTTATTTCTTATGAAAAAATAAACTTACGGCTCTAAAAACAACAGAGTCAGCTTCCAGTCCATTTTCAATTGCAACGGTTGCATCACACATAGATGTGACAATTCTCTTCTTTTTATCGTCTTCCGTTGGCAGTACTAGATACTCATCAGCAACATCTACTCCATTACATAATACATCGACTCCATTCGTCGAAAGAGCTTTGTACGTCTGAAAGAAAAAAAAAGTCAGATACATTTTTAACCGACTTCAAAAAAAGGAGGAGGTTCTCAATTCGATTGTATTTTTTTTTATATTTTTTTTTATGTTTGTTACCTCAGAGCTCCGTCGTTTATGGACGGATTTGCAAATTTTTTTTTATGATTGAAAGGATATGCTTTCAGATTGGTCCCATTCTTTTCAAAATCGAGTTTTGATGATAGGATCCATGAGAAATCGAGGGAACTCCTCAAATATTATAGGCAACTATATAGTAATTTTAATATTTTCATAGAGCACTCAAGCATTTACAGTCAAAAAGTAATATTTGATGAGGTGGAACTGGTGAAGAAGATCAGAAATGGGTGATGAAACTTGACACTCGCATAGATATCACAATCGAGGTAGTTCAGCAACTATGAAAATGCACTGTAAACCAATGATCTTAAATAATTATGTTGAAAATGTTATCATCGAACTGATTTAATGATGATTATGGAGCTGGAAGGTAGGCACTGGAACTGCGTACCTAATTAATATATCCTAGCCGTGTTTGGGCTTGTTAGAATTGTTATAAGATGCACTTTGGCTGTAAGGTACTATTGAACTGATGTGATGATGAAGCTGGAAGGTTGGCATGGGGCCTAGTATTGTGTAAGCTTATTAGAGCTGTCAAGAGCTCATAGTTTCCGTGCATGTTCGAATCAGAAATGAAGAAATCCGCAGAAGAACCAGCGTCACCGACATAGCCCGAAGAAATGCCAAACTTAAGTGACAGTGGGCACGTCACATTGCTCGTAGAACAGATGGCCGATGGGGCCGAAAGGTTCTAGAGCGGCGACCGCACACCTTTGGGGGCGGAGTTTGGCCTAGTGTTGGCTATTTTGCATTAGTCCACGTGGACTGCGTTTACACATTAGTGGTGAAATGCGTAATAGTGTTCTTATCGTTTTCCTGGTAATAGGCTAAGAGAATTCATTGGCATTTTTAACAAAACAGTCGTTTTAAATGGGTTACAAAACAATAATTGCGTCGTACAAAACAATAATTGTGTTTCTTTTGTGTGCACATATGTAGATAATACTTACTTAAAAAGGTTCATACATTGAATGAGTCATAAATGTATATTTACAATAGCGATGGTCTTTTGTATTTTTACCAACTTGTCTATATAGGAATGTTCTTAGTAATAACAAAATAGTATTCTTCATTTAATGGGTTACAATTTATACAAAACAATAATTGCATCGGTCTTTTTTCTATGTACGAATGTATTTAATCATAGATACTAAATTAGATTGCATTTGGTATCTTTGAACTTTATCTGTCTGTTGATGAAAATATCTAGTTTTTTTGTTATTTGGCGAGAACTAATATGAATTTATGATAAGATTATTATTTTATTTTAACTATAAGTCATAAGTATCTCATGCATTATATCATCTCTCCTCGAGATCAAAACGATTACACAGTAACAATGTACTATGATATGTATTTCTACGTATAAGTATGACATTGGTAACTTTTTCAAAAGAAATGTAGGAACGATATTGACTTCTTTGCCATAACACATTATAATAAAAAAAAACACTAAACGGCTACAAATAAAAAAAAAAATTACAAAATAAAAAAACCGCCTTCAAAAAAAGTCAAGCAATAAAAGTTCCTACACTAAAAAGTAAAAAATTACAATTTGAATTACTGTAAAAAAACTTAATTTATAGGTAAACTTATTTGACATTAATATTTTGCAAATATTCAAAATTTATTACTTATTTTTGGAGTCGGTGCCAGCCCATGCAAGGAAATACAAATGGGCAACAATCCCTTGAAAAACTACCTCTTACTTAATTATAAAACTACTTAATACCTATTTGCATACTCAAATATAGGTATATTAATTAAGACATAAATACAGATTAGACTTCTCTACAAAAAATATCCGATTTGCACATTTTTTTTAAATAAAAAATATATACTTACAAAAACATTTTAAGTACATTGAAAATGTTTAAGCATTATGTAGGAAAAATGGCACCGGATATTAAAAAGCTAACTAACATTAAGTTTCAACTTTAAAATGCTGGCACCGACGCCAAAAATATGTAATAAATTTTGAATATTTGCAAAATATTAATGTCAAATAAGTTTACCTATAAATTAAGTTTTTTTACAGTAATTCAAATTGTTATTTTTTACTTTTTAGTGTAGGAACTTTTATTGCTTGACTTTTTTTTAAGGCGGTTTTTTTATTTTGTATTTTTTTTTTATTATATCACACTTTTAAACATTCGAAAACTTTCCCGTGAAAGATTGATGTAAAACGGGATGATTAAGAAGGGTGAATTTTTATTATAACTTTCGTGAGACATTCTAAATTATGTTTTCCGCTTACTCACGTAATAATTTGACGAGATACTCGACTAGTTTCAAGCCATGCTAGAGGCCCATATTCATGAGCAGTCTGTTCCGGGTCTGGAGTGTGACACAGTTAGCGCGGTATGTAGCACTGTTTTTGCGTCAACCCGGATTCGAACCCAACACCAACGCAGCTGCAGGCGGGCGAGTCTAGCGTGCCAACAGTGTCGCGCGCGCCGTCGCTGCCAACGCCACGGCTAGAAGAAAGTGCGCGTGAATCGCGGTAGAGGGCGCGTTGGGCGCGCAGACTCGAGTAGCCAGTAGCAGCGCGACAGTTGCCGAGTCGCGGAATGCTGCTCATGAATATGGGCCTCTAGCATGGATTGAAACTAGTCGAGTATCTCGTCAAATTATTACGTGAGTAAGCCGAAAACATAATAATTAAGGAAGGGTGAATGTAGATAGAAGAGGGGTGAATAGATACTAGGAAAAATCGGCAACATCTGGTTTTTGTTCAGTACGACTTCTAAGAGATGTCATAGAAACTTACCTTTTCCTCATTAAGTGCAGTCATCAGTAAAGTCAGAACTACATCAGGGTACACGTCCTTAAATGCTTGAGCCTGACTCACGGAGCTCTTTTCCAACTGTTCGTTTATCGCCGACACCAGGATGATAACATCATTCAAATACGGAGAAATCTTAAAGTCGAGGATAGGATTCTGATGAACAATTTCCTTTGCTATGGCACCATGGACGACTATTCTGAAAAATAAAGTAAAAGTATAAATATTTGTTTTCTTGGAATGAAAGAAAATTGTCGGAGTATTTATAGTTTGTTTAAGAAACATTACGTGTAATAAGTTATTAAGTTCACGTAAAATGTCGGTTTATTAAATCCAGATGTTCCATCTTTTCGTTAACCTTCATAAACTATTTAAAGTTAAAGCACTTATTTCAATACAAACATTCATAACAAAAGGCACTTTTAAAACGTTAGAGATATCAATATGGAAAAAATCGCATTTCAATCAAATATTGAGAAAGATTCACTTACAATATTTGTTTTCCTAAATGACCTTTAGCTCGTGTAGCTTTCATAAGTTCAGAGTCTTCCTCTACGTGGAACAGTGAGTTCCAGTCAACTGGCTGACGGTGTTCAGATTCAATGCTTGCGAGAGCCTGAGTAAAATTCTTAAAGATTTTAAAATCTTGCTCAATCGTGTAGAGCTGGTCATTTGTGTCCTTGCCAAGAGTTTCTTGGATTAAAAGGGACGCCATGTTATTAATCTGCAAAACAATAATTTAAATATTTATAGTTACTTGTTAGAACATAAATATGATTTAATGTCAGTGGCTTACATTATTTTTCACTTCAAAGACTCCAAACGATTTAACTAAATCCGAAACATAGTTCCTCCAAATATCCGTGCATAGTTGTTTCTTCAGGGATTCCGCTTCACCCTTTGATACAACGAAGAAAGTTTGAAGCTTGTAAGTGTCACAGAACATTTGCCCCGGAAGATTTATCTTTGACGTCAGAATCTGAAAGTAAAGCAAAGGGTCACATTCGAACTTCCGTAAGCGTTTGTTCAAAACTTCAAATTGATTTTGAACTTAAATACCGCAGATATTAATATTAATTTCGAGTATATACCTGTGTCCTCTCTGCATCAGCTAAAGCTTCAAAAGCTTTGCCAACAACGACTGGTGGTAATTCTTTAAGAATGTTAATGGCGCCGGGATGCCTCAAGGTAACGTTATAGGTCAAGTGTTCTATATTCATGTTTATATCGACTACTTTCTGGGCACTTTCCATCAGCTTCGCAAGAAGAGTCGAATAAAATAGAACATCGTGTTTTGTGCTGGCTGGAAGGAACTTGGTGATGAAGTTCATTATTTGAGTCAATCTGAAATATGGTCAATACCAATTAGTTTAAGGCTGCTTTTTGGTCATATCGTTGTCGTTTAAGGTATGGTACTTACATACTGAATGCATCAATAGAGGAATCCTTTTGCATATTTTCTTCAAACACTTCTGCAGCATTGTGGAATACTTCAGAAATAGCTTGTAAGCCGTTTGTGGTTTCATTGCTAGAAACCACCTCTATTTGACTATTTCTTTGTTTGGCAAACACTTTATCCATATATTGCAGTCCGACTACAATGGCATTGGAAAATCCGTTGATAATTTCAAAAGATTGAGTATCGCCAAACGTTGGTTGAAATAGATCCATAAGCTTTGGTATCCTAAAATGACATTAAATAATGTAAAACAATTCAAACTTGCTAAAACTTTTCATTATTTCTTTTAGTTTTACTTACAAAGTCAGCTGCATGTAACTGAAATCCGAATCTTGACCTTGGAATATGGAGACCAGCTCCCGTGGTAAGAAGTTCTGGAGTTTCATCATACGTAGCACTGCCGTCAACATGTTGCCAATTGTGTTCAAACGTTTGTCTCCAGACATTTTGTAGTACATATCTCCTAGCTGGAAAATTGTCCTTCTCTCAAAAAAGTTCTATTTTTTATAGCATAGAGGGATTGTTAGAAAGAGCAATGAGAATTATTGCTTTGGAAAATGGGAACTCACAAACACGGTGAAGAGATTTAAAATTTTAAGAAATTGTCAAATTTTCTATAGGTTATAGCAATCTAAGCTACACTCACCATCGTCAAGTATTTACTGTAGTTGACTTGGAACAAAATATCGATCATCATCTTCTGCAGCTCGTCCATTGACATTGAACACAACTTTTCCTTTAATACGCTCAAGTGTTCGTGGTTTTCTATTATAATCGTTTCTTCCAAAGACGCTGTACTGCATCTATCTATATTCCCTTTTATTAACTGTAAGTGAAGGCTCATTTCAAATATGCATGTCTTTGATTTTAATTAAAAGTAAACAACGATATGTTTTAACACCTTTGAATAAATGAGACAGAATTAATTTCTTATTCACTATCAATGTTAAAATTAGTATTTATTTTAGTAACTGTTAAAAGGTAATTAAAATCAATCTTAATTTTATGCATGTGATTTAATTTGTCTTTGTCAAAAACATAAATTATTTATAAACACTCTCAATTTTCATTTAGTACTCCATAGTCGACATCATTACTCCAGAAATTCCCACTTTTAAGTAAAGGTCTCGACTCATATTCATTGATTAGTGATTTAACGTTTTTCGGTGGCGTCTAAACAAGTTTAGAACGTACATATAACACGGAAATCACTTTGATATGTAGATGTTACCTTAAGTAGTTAAAGTTCTTATTAATAACACTGTATCATTGTTAATAAAATTAATTACTTTCAATTGTTACGTTATTACAACTATGTAGTTCGTCAATATTGTTAATAGTTTTAAGGACATCGTCTACAGTCGGTAAATAATGTGTTATTTAGTTATTTCCAGCTGAACACAAACTTACACCTTGTAAACTAAGCTCGGCGTTCATGATGCTCTGTGTGACGTCATCATTTATCTTCAACTTGTCTGACACGTACCGTCTCACCCTCGACGGCTTTTCGAATAGATCTTTAACTTTTAGACCATTATCTGTGAATGTAAGATTATTTGTTAATGTTCTATTTGCTAAAAGAAAGTTCTTGTTAAAGCTAGTCAATGTAGTCGTTATATTAACAATTTGTACCTAAGATACTTAAAAACACAGTTAAAATAAACCACCCCACAAAAATGTAGGCGTACGTCGAAGTCTAATCTATATTTATATGAAAAAACTGAAAGGTTTGACCACCGGCACAGTATGCATAACAGAACAATTATTTTTGTGTTGGCTTGTCTAGTAATCAAGAAAGACTATAAAATATTACGGAACAATCAACAGGAGCCAAGCACTGCGAGATTAGATTGTAAGAACTTAATAATAAGTATTATGAATTGCAAATTAAAAACTATTTTTTTAATTTAATTTACCTAAGTATTATTAACATAATCCTTTTGCTAAAGGTAAGTTTTATTTTTATTCAATTATGATTGCCTAATACGGCTTACTTACTGCTAATTTCTATAAACGCTGGTTCGTCCACAACATTAGCTAGCGTAGCGAGCAGTTTGATAGCATCGGGAACTGAACTCGCTATATCTAGTACAGTATCGTTGAATATTGGTTCTAGTGTCCGTTGCAGCTGTGTGAGTCTGTGGGACAAATTGTAAATAATGTAGAAGTGAAAAGTAATTACGAAAAACGCTTATTAAGAGCTTTACTCTAGTTGCTCGAAAAAAAAAAATCTGTACGTCACATTTCAATGTTACAAGTGGATAGCTTATTAGGAAAACGCAGTTTCCATAATAATATTCTTTTAATGCTACCAGCAAGCTGGACACGTTTCCACGGAAACCGATGCGGGTTATTTTTTTTTAGGCAATGTAAATAGTTATTTTTACATTTACTTTAAAAGTAAAAGTAACATTTAATTAGACTTTTACAAAATATCATGGTTTTTTATCATTCGATGTACATAGACATACATAATTATGTTGTATATGTTCATTGTTATGGAAACTTAGTCCCACTCTTGACTAGAGAACCTTAAAGATATGGATGACAGATTATTTATTCAAATTTTTCACCCTCCCCATCATGGCGTTTGTCGGAGATCCTAATGTTGTTGTCTTTATATAATGTGATACTAGATAGGGAAAATAGAGCTGTTTTCAGTATTTAGCACAAACATATTTGTACGTCTAGTTTCAAATCAGCTTTTAAGTTAGTTTTTCTGTTCCCCATTGAAAACCTTTTTACAGTTTAACTGAAAAGATAGTCTAACCAAAAAACATATTTTGTTAGTTCAACTGGCTATAAACTGACACAAGCGTTCCTTTCTGCAGAACGGGTCCATTTAACAGGCGTGGTTCTTTTTTTAAACGACCACTACAGAATAAACTAGTACGGTTCTCACACATAATATTATTTTATTAATTTATCTGGACTATGTTAAGAGACGGACCTCTGAGTTTGTTTCGGCATTTCTCCTCAGAGTAGGAGGGATAGGAGTCTTCATATAGTTTTTTACATATATGTATATATATATAATTTTGACGTGTTTTATGGCCTATTTACAAAAAATAAATAATTTGTTTCATTGTTCTTACTTGGAGTTTTCATATAAAGGTATCTCGTCATACTGTTCGAGCGGAGAGCATTCGTTGTTGACGGTGCACATAAACGACTGCATGAACCGCAGCATGCCAGCGCTGGGCAGCGCACGCGCAGGGAATGCACCTGTGGATAACAGAAAATAAAACATTTGAATTTTAAGTGTGGGAGAAGCATGCTTCTGCACGAATGGGTCGGCTCAACCGGAGTGATACTGCGGTCTCAAAGAAAACCGGCGTGGAATTACCACAGCGTTGTTTCGCCGTGTGATTGAGGTTACCGGAGGCCTCCCTTCATCCCTTCCCTATCCAAACCCTAAATCTCCGAAACCCTAATCCCCAAAAGGCCGGCAACGCACTCCTCTGTGTTGCGGGTGTCCATGGGCGGCGCCGATTACTTACTTTCAAGTCTCACATAAAAAAAATGGTTTGACTTTGATTTTGAATATAATAAAAAGTAATAAAGAGCACTTACAAGTAGGATAGTTGACATTGTCGACGTTGACCCTGACGATGTACAGACTGCACATGACCAGTGTCGCCCATATTATACCCACCAGAGTTATCTGAAAACAAAGATATTATATTAAAATTACTATTAAACACAACTGTCTCGTTGGTGCCGGGGTTACGGGGTAAGCGCAATGAGGCACCGCAGCCTCGGTCTAGAGCAGGAGAAGGAACGAGCGTTTTTAGTCAGTAAGATTCTGACAATTCCACTCGTCTTACCCTGGGCGGGAGAAGCCATTTGATGATCATCCACTGACAAAAAAATTAAAAACTCTCTCGTATGTCGACTGATCAGAAGCACACCGCACTATCCCACTTTTATGAGATAGGGTAGCAAGAGTGCGTTGTCGATCTTTTGGGGAGGGATTGGAGTAGGGGAAAAGGTTTTGGCTCCGGTAACATGACTCACACGTCAAAACACAACGCTGTGGTTGTTTCACGCCGGTTTGCTGTGAGGCCGTGATATCACTACGCATACTAAGACTTAGCATGTCAGGAGTTAGAGATTGACAGTCCTGACAGTGTACTAGCTATTATACTGGCAGAAAAAATGATAAGCCTTTTATTAGACATGGGACAAGTAGACATGTCTATGTCAATAATTGATAAATATTAATAATATTAACTTCTATTTTCTATACGAACATTAGGATAAGAAATTACAAATGCTTTTTGGTATGGATCTCTGGTCTGAAATAAAGGACTTAAAATAAATAATTAAATTGTCTGATAAATAATAACTACAGTGAACTGACCAGTTTTCTCTTTCGTATGAGGTAGTCCTTCCATAGCAGCAATCGTAACTGCTGCCCTCCCTCCATGGTGAGATCCTGCTACTGTCTGGCGACATTCCTGCAACAAAAATAAATTAAAATTAGAATTAAAGAAGTTCACAAAACTATATTAGGATCTGTTGGAATAGAAAAAAAAAACTATTAATAAGAACCACCGAAATTAATTTGAATTATCCCAAATAAAAATGTTAGGTAGGTACTTTATCAGACAAAACAGTATTTAAAAAGAATGTTTTAATATTTAAAATTTTATTCAAGAAGGTTCCAAATTGAAAATGGAACTGTCAAAAATAATTACATACAATTATAAAACCATCACCGTTACGTATACCTATTTTACAATATTTTTGATTTTTTTTTTAATTTTCGCTTTGATGCAGATACGGTGATATCACCACAGATAATGCCTATACGTGGAATATCGAAAAAAATATTACTATTTAATAATATTTCTATTTAAAAAGACACAAATTTCCAAAATAGTAATCTATTTAATTCAGTTTCAATTTCATCACACAAAAAATGTTTGCACCTAATTGTTGCATCAACACCAAATAATGATATATTTCCGGCTCATCCGTACATTGTATATGTTTAATGACTATCACATACAAATTCATACAATTCTACACAATGGCTCGTTTTGGGGAAATCCGATTCATTAAATAAACGCGAGATTATTGATAAACATCTTTAAAAAGTTGCTTAATGTTCTGTAATTATATCTTGCAGTTAGTTGCAAATGGTTGCAGTTATGGGTAATCATTACCATTACCTACCTAAGTCTTTGACTTTGGATTAGGATTTAATATTGTTTTAGATTGCACTGCTGACGATTGCTGTAGTAGCCAGGCAACCGGTTGTCGCGGTTTCGATTCCCGCACGGAACAACACTGTGTTACCGACAAATTGTTGTTTCAGATCTGGGCGGGAGAAATCATTTTATGATTTTCCCCTCACAAAAAATAAGTTCTGGTTTTGGTACTTTGTGTATACTTGGCGTAATGTACCGCGTGTAATTGCATCCACGACACAGGAGAAATCCAAGATTGGGGCAACGTTTAAAAAAAATAAAGAAAAAAGAAAGATTTACAGAATTAGCCTTTTTTCGTAGAATATAAATTTCTTAATTGACCACTAGCTACTCTCGCGTGGTTTCGCCCGCTGCTCGGCTCCATTTAATCGTAGCGTGATCTTTTATAGCCTATAGCACTCAGAAACATTGTACCTATCTATCAGTGAAAGAATTATGGAAATCCGGCCAGCGGTTCCAAAGATTACCCCCTACATACAAACTCACAAACTTTACCTCTTTATAATATTATGTATAGATTACAACTTAATCATATGAATTAACTATTTTTAAGTCACAGTGGGAATTTTACTATCTGCGACGTCGCACGTTGGTCATGAATAAGAGCCCCGTTGTGACTTGAAACTGGTAGAGCTTTTCTTAGTTCATTCACGTGAGTAAGTCGTTTTTTTCAATACACGTGGTATATCTATACTAATATTATAAAGAGGTATTGTGAGTTTGTATGTAGGGGTTAACTTTTGGAACCGGATTGCCAAAATTCTTCCACTGACAGATAGCTACAATGTGCCTGAGTGCCATAGGCTATAAAACATAACGCTACTATTAAATGGAGCCGGGCAGCGGGTGAAACCACGTGTGAGTGTCGTTTGTGACATTTAGGAAAAAACATTGAATTTTATTTAATAAGTTGGAAACAATACTAGTTCTTCTGTACATACATACATACGTGTGACAGTATACTTCTGGCAATACAAACATCATGCGAAAGCAATGTATTGCATTCACCATTTTTCCGGGAACCGACCATAACATCAATATACACTGGAAACTATCTTTCCGGGCTGGCTGGCTAAACAATCATCCTGATTGGCTGCGGCAGTGCTACTATTGTCTGCCAGGTAACTACTTGTTATACAATAAATCTGTACAATTGTTGCTCTTGATTATCGGTGGCAAGGTCGTAGATCCGATTGGTATCTGGAATTAATTCTGATTGTCATTCCATTTGTGTTAATCTAGTCATTTTTGATAGTAGGCGATAGTGTTAACGCCAGACTATCCTGTTTAAGGACTTGCTGCTATCATTAGATAAATAAGTGTGGGAGAGCCAAGCTTCGATATGAATAGGTTCGGCTCTACCGGAGTGATACCACGACCTCACAGAAAACCGGCTTGAAACAACTACACCTTTGTGTTTCGCCGTGTGCGTGAGGTTTCAGGAGGCTCAATCCCTTCCCAATCCTTATATCCGCAACCCCCAAAAGGCTGGCCATGCACTCGTAACTCCTTTGGTGTTGCGGGTGTCCATGAGCGGCACCGATTGCTTACCATCAGGTAATCCGTCTGCTCGTTTGCCGACTTATACCATAAAAAACATTGTTTTTCTTCTTTTAACCTTTAAACTTTATGACTAGGCACATCAAATAAGAACGTCTGTTATAATTATTATTCGTGTTTACTCGTTTCCTGTCATGGCGGACGTAAAGATGGTAGATGTCACTTTAATAACATGTTGGCTGTCATCTGAGGCGAGTCCTAGGTTCGTGACGTGACGAGACGTACGGTAAGGCACACGCAATCACTAGCCAACTTTATCACTAATTGAAAAATAAATGCTGCAATTATAAATTCAATGATAACGGGGTCTTGGTCGTTGCTCGTATATAACTGTTGGTCAATGATGCCAAAAATTACTTTCCTGTAATTTGGCTAAAGATCGTTAAAGGTGTATTGTGTGGGAGGCGTGAGGATGACTTGTGATTGATAAGTTGATTATCTAAATATGAAACCAAAAGATATTTGGGCATAGCTCAAAATCGCCTAGATTAATTTTGCCAATTTTGATTTTGATTTCAACAGAGAAGGTTCCTGTGAAATGAATTTATTTTTTCGTCATTAGTGAGGTAGTTAAAAACAAGTGCGTAGTAGGGGTGGACCGTTTGTTTTAAATAATCGACAGAAAAATATAACTTCGTATTTTTGTACCCCAGATATCATAGTTTCAAAGTCTTGCATTTTACCAAGACTTAAGTAACGAAATCATTTATTAAAATTAAGTATATAGCATTTAATAAACTAGCTTTTGCCCGCGACTTTGTTTGCGTGGAATAGTGACTTACAAACTTGAAAAACTACCCTATGTCCTTTCTCGATTTTCAAATTTCACGGCAAACGGCTCAGTAGTTTAGGCGTGAAGAATAGACAGACAGAGTTACTTTCGCATTTACAATATTAGTTTGGATTTATGAATTGAAAAGTCAAAATTATTAACTAATTTTGACTGAGGAAACTATTTGTTTAAAAAAATCACATCAAATTCCGTTGCGTAGTTTTGAAGATTTAAGCATACATAGGGATATAGGGGCAGAGGAAGCGACTTTGTTTTATACTATGCAGTGATTCGCATTTAGCTACCGATTCACCAACTATTGTACTAAAAAGTTATCACAGATAAAAAATCCTGACTAAACAGCTAATATTAAAAGTAAATATTCCGCGCAACAACGGACGTAGAGTAAGTAAAAAAGTTCTTTAGGTAAGCAAAAACTATTAATGCTTAGTAATGGTTGCTCAGTGCAAAATGTACAGTTTAAGTGGCCACGTTGTTCTTTGGAGACTAGATTTTGAAATAGTCAAGGAAATAAGTTGCATTTAGAAATAATTAATATACATATAGGTATGTATGTATACTTGTAGACAACATACCTATTTGTTATGTATTTTGTTTCAGTTTATTAATAATGACTGAATTTTTTTTATGTGATGGGTCGGCAAACGAGCAATCAGATTACCTGATGGTGAGCAATCAGCGCCGCCCATGGACACGTTGCCGATCTTTTGGGGATTAGGACATTCTAGGAATAAGGAGGGATAGAATTGGGCCTCCGGTAACCTCACTCACACGGTGAAACACAACGCTGTGGTTATTCCACGCCGGTTTCCGCCCATGGACACCCGCAACGGAGGATTTACGAGTGCGTTGCCGACCTTTTAGGGATTTAGGGATTGAGGAGGGATTGGGGGAGGGGAAGGATTGGGCTTCCGGTAAACTCACTCACATGGCGAAACACAACGCTGTGGTTGTTTCACGCCGGTTTTCTGTGAGGCCGTGGTATCACTCCTGTCGAGCTGACCCATTCGTGCCGAAGCACGGCTCTCCTGCACTTTCTTCTATTTTTAGTCACTTTGATTGACTAAAAAAAACAATGTTGCGTTTAAAAGTATAGACTTAAATGCTGTTTCTATTATGTACACGTACCGTCGCCACTTTTTGCTTTTTAAAAACTTTAATATATATATTTTTTGTATACTAACTATCGTGAGTCTAGAGGTACTGCTCGTGAGTATTAAGATGAGCTTTTCTCATCTCAATACGTAAGTAAAGAAAGAAAAAGTATTTATCCGTGTCTAGGACGCACATAGGACACAGAAAGTCGTTATTTTCTTACAATAAATAGACTTATAGTTTATTTATTGTTATATGCTACGCCATTCAATATGAAACTGTTTAAATGAGTGGTACTTTGTTAGTAATTATGTAGCAGTTAAAACGTTTGCAACAAAAGAATCTATCTATACTAATATTATAAAGAGGTAAATTTTGAAAGTTTGTATGTAGGGGGTAATCTTTGGAACCGCTAGACGGGTTGCCAAAATTTTTTCACTGATAGATTTGTAGCTACAATGTGCCTGAGTGCTATAGGCTATGAAATATCACGCTGCGATCAAATGGAGCGGAGCTGCGGTTGGAACCGCGCGAGAGTAGCTAGTCAAAAATACATTTCGTATTCCATTCAAGTGTAAACAGCAAAGTATTTATTAACCAAGGCTTTACTTGCATAATAAAGCTAGTTTTTTACATCTTATTTTTTTATATTCTGTAAACTGATACGCATCATCACTCCATGACAAGAGAATTTAAATTATTATTTTATTAGAATCATTGGGTTGGGTTTTATGCCAACCTGAAGTGGCTTGATTTCCATTTTAT